AGGATAGGAGGGTATGCAAAGAAAGCAAAGAAGTGAACACTCGGGAGCAATGACACTCTAGGACACTCAGAAATTCCTACACACCTCCATGCAGAGAGACATCCAAATAAGTTCCTGAGACTATCTACCAATCGGATGAAATATCTACTCAACTGGTAATTATACTGGTTTCATTTAATTAATTAAATTAATTAAAATTTACTAATAGCACGATATATGACTGGATAAATCACGGTCAGATTTCCATATTAAGAAATCTTAGTTAACTAAAGAATATATAGTTATAAACATTCCATTCTGCAGGTGGAATTAAGAATAATTATATATTAATGTGATAGTATCACATGTTAGCATACCGCTGTTTTTATCCAGGTGTATTGATTTGCTCTAAAATAAGATAAGATATCTTTTTAGGTGAATTAAAATTCTGTTTTTATAAAATATGGTAGATTCTCTTATTGGATGGTTCCAGGAAATGACTAATGAACTGGTTTAAATGTTATTTTATTTAAAATTACATACGAATAGATCTTAATTACCTAGGAGATCTAGCCAGCATTGAAAGGGTTATTCTAACTGTTAGTCAGGGTTTTATGGCCCTTCGCTGTGAAAAGCTTCGCTTTCTCTCTGTGAAAGATAGTCATAAATCGTAACTCTTGACAGAAAATGCTGTTTAGCCATTGAAACGTGTATAGCCATTCCTTTGTATTGCATACCATTTTATACTGGATATTCATTGATTATAGTCACGCATGTTACATATTATTATTATTAATTAATTTGTTCTTATAAAATAAAATCTATTTTTATAACATTGTGATTTATTTATATGAAATACTTTTCACTTACGATAACGATCTTTGGGATCTGAGAATTGAATTAGTGGGCAATTCTCACTGTTTACTATTATTATCCCATAAATATCCCCACAACTCTATCAAATATTCTATACTTGACCATTGAGTTTTTACGTCCAAGATGGATTATCTTATTTTATTGTCACCAACACAGTAATTTATACAGCATGGGGCCCTATTTAAGACAGTGATCCTGCCCTGGTGCCTCTGGGAGAAAATTGTGTGATCTCACGCTAAACTAATTATCTCTCAGACAGATTTTGTGTTGTAACATAGGTTACAACACATAATATTGGCAACAACATAACAAAACCCCATATATTATCCATATATTATGCCTTCCCAGATAGCTCTGATCTGAGCACTCAAGTTGACAAAATAGGATCCATGCAGAATTGGGGAATCGCCACCGGGGTAAAGATTTGGCTAGTCAAATATCTGGAGCTCCTGTGGACTGAAAAAGGGGCACTCCCCCAGGTTCTGCGGAGCAACGGTTAATAAGAATTCATAGCAGTGGCGGATCCGGGGGGGGGGGCAACGGGGCAATTGCCCCCCCTGAGAAATCCGACGGTCTCCCTCTCCCCTGCCAGCACATGCAGGCGCTAGCCCTGCAATGTGCCTGCAGACCGGTGGGGAGATCAGAGATCTCCCTCCCCGGTCCGCAGGCACTGTGTTGACAGCCGGCAGGGGAGGGAGAGGGAGGACCTGGGAGCTCAGCCTGCAGCTCCTCCGGGTCCTCCTCTCGCGAGATTTGGAGCGTTGCCGAGGTTACCACGGCAACGCTCCAAATCACGCGAGAGTGAACTCTAGCCCTGGAATGTGGGCTAGAGTTCACTCCAACCACTAGGACCACCAATGAATCCCCCACCGGACCACCAGGGAAATGTCCCCCCTCCTCCCCAGTAAAGGTAAGAAGGGAGGGGGGACATAGAATATTTATTTATTTTAATTAAATTAAAAAAAATATGTTATAAAAAAAAAAGCCACCCTACCCCTGATCACACACACATACATTGCCCCCAATACACACAAACTGCCCCCCCATTCACACAAACTGCCCCCATTCACACAAATTGCCCCCCATACACACAAACTGCCCCCATACACACAAACTGCCCTCATACACACACACTGCCCCTCATACACACACACTGCCCCCCATACACACATACTGCCCCCCATACACACACACACTGCCCCCATACACACACACTGCCCCCCATACACACACACTGCCCCATACACATACACACACAAACTGCCCTCCATACACACACTGCCCCCATACACACACAAACTGCCCTCCTTATACACAAATCCGCTCCGCCATAATACAAACTGCCCCCATACACACACTGCTCCCCCATACACACACACTGCTCCCATACACACACTACTCCCCCATACACACATACTGCCCCCATATACACACAAATGCCCCACATACACACATACTGCCCCACATACACACACACACTGCCCCATACACACACAAACTGCCCACCATACACACAAACTGCCCCCATACACACAAACTGCCCCTCATACACACGCACTGCCCCCACATACACACACTGCTCCCACATACACACATACTGCCCCACACACACACAAACTGCCCGCCATACACACATACACACACTGCCCCTGCATACACACGCACTGCCCCCACATACACACACTGCTCCCCCATACACACATACTGCCCCCCATACACACACACTGCAATACTCACACACACTGCAACTGTCCCACACATACACTGCATCCCTGACATACACTGCCGCCCTCACTCACACACTACAACCTTCACACACACACACACTGCACCCCTTACACATTGCACCACTCACACACACCACTGCTCCTATGCCCTACTACAGCCCCATTTCCCAGAAGATCTCAGGTAAGTTGTCAAACTGTTCTTAAATGGTTTGACTACTTACTGTGGGAGGGGGTCCTGGCACTATTGACACCATAACCACTACACTGAGCTGTAGTGGTTATTGTGTCTGGATTATTTCTTTAAATAATCTACAAGTGCCCCTCCCGAGATCAGGCTCTGGATCCGCCACTGATTCATAGTCTATTCCTTCATAAAAGGGCACTCCTGGCTGGTTGAGAAGTGGGGGAAAACGGAGGTAAAAGTTGGCTGGGAGAGCAGGTTTGCCTCTGCTGGGTCGGAATTCCAGAGAAGTTGTAGATAAGTCCCGCTACAGTCCTTGCGGCCCTCTGGACTCCCTGGATGGCCAAGGGAAGGGATGCTACAGGTGAATGAACTTGGAGGGGATAATGAGGAGTCAAAGTGGTTTGGGACAAAGTCTCTGGAAGAAGACATGAGGTATATGGGTCACAGTGATTATTCCCCTTTTGCAGTATGGTGCGGGGCTGTTCCTTGTATTGGCACAAGTGACTGGGTGTTTCGTCATAGGTAATATGCTTCCATTTAATTGGCTATTTATCTATTATTACTAATTAAAATTAGTACATACATTATTTCTATGCATAAGCCCAAACATAGGTTAGTAATCACCAAAAGAGGTCCACATGATAACTCCAGTTTAAGAATTTACTGCAGAACAAACCAAAAGACAAAGCGATGAATATCAGCTTAATATTATGTGGCTATAAAGTTCATCACTATTTTAATCGAAAACAATAAGAAAATTACCTTCCCAATTCCAAATTACACAAACCTAGATTATCGTGCAGATTCCCAAGAAGGCAATACGCTTCAATCTAATCGGCTTTCTATTTAATTACCACTATTCATTTATAAAACAGAAATCTAGACAAACCAATTTAGATAAAAACCAGGACAATCAGGGGGAATAGTATTTATCTTTGTTAGTTATATCTGCCTTTGTGACATACTGTTACAGTGTAAAACAAGAATTTATGCAGTCAAAGGGAACGGTATGACTCTAGTCTAGTGAACTATTCATAGCTCTCAATTATTTGTTGAATGTAACAATTAAAAGACACTGTTCTCTTAAAGGACCACTATAGTGCCAGGAAAACATACTCGTTTTCCTGGCACTATAGTGCCCTGAGGGTGCCCCCAGTTTCTCTGAAACTGCTATGTTTATAAATATAGGGGTTAATCCTAGCTGGACCTGGCACCCAGACCACTTCATTAAGCTGAAGTGGTCTGGGTGCCTAGAGTGGTCCTTTAAGCATTTATGGGCATTTACAATGTTCTCAATGACATAAATACTTTTAAAACTGCATCTCTTAATCAAAGGTAAAATCAGGACAATTTCTATATAATCAGAATACTTTTGTACTCTGCTCAACCTATTTAGTAAAAGTTGTCTCTGATAGCACCAGCTAGACTCTGCTACAATTACAAGTCCACTGGTTTTACTGATTCCTTCCTTCGGGCCATAAAACACAGAAAGTATAACACTTGAACTAGTTGTGGAAAAAAGAACTGCATTCACAGTGGAAGCGGCAGCAGACTTTTTTGTGCATTGTCGTCTTTTTCTTGGAACAGGGATCTAAATACGGCCTTCTTGTACGTGATGGGTGGATTTCTAAGGGGACTTCCTACTATGCTGCTCTCTTTTCCTTTCACTTACTGCTGGTTATGTGAAACGTAGCACAGCAATGAGTTTCATGGTAGTGCAAGTAGTTCTAGTCCTGCTGCTGTTGCTGCTAAAGGTATTCTCGGTCTGTGTTGGGGAAGCCATGCATGCTTTATAAAGAAGGGGTGGGGTTGTGCTGTATGGGATATATCAAAGGAGGTGTGTCATTGTATGGGTATCACACTGGAGGTACTAAGGAGAGTGGTGTCACTGTGGGGGATATATTGGAGGATGTGTGTTGTCACCATGGGGGTAGAGAAAAGTCCTAACTGTCTTTGGGATGTGAGCTGTTGTGGGAGGATGCCCCTTGGGTGGCCATGGAGGATATATCAGGGAGGGTTGCCACTGGGTGGGATTATTCCTGATTATGTCACCATAGAGGATGTACTGAGGGAAGGGTTGTCGCACCTTGGAGATGTAAATAAATAAGGAGCAATCAGCACAGAGACCAAAAGAATATTTTTCAACATTTAACACTTTGCACTCAGAATAAAGCTTGTATTGTTGATGAGTCTTTCTCGTTGTTTGTAAACTATGATATCTTTAATTTGACTCTAAACATGATACAATAAATGAAAACAGCAGTCCAGTATATTTTATAATTTTGTATTAAAATACTGTATGCCCAAGTATAGGACAGACAGTTAATATGGCATGACAAAATAATGTGAAAAATATTTTTTTGTATTTCATTATTAAAAGACAATGTTTCTTCAATGTGAAAGACAGCATATGGCACATTAAAAAAGTTCACATATCTCCCATATCATTTGTTTTCCTTCTGTGTTCTGCTCCAGGTCTGTATTTTTTCCCCTTACACCACAATTTATAATCAGTTCACATTAGCATTAATCTGTTCAGGAAAAAAAAAATATTGATGAGTATGTTTAGTGAACCCTTCATATACATGCATTTTGTTTTTTAATATGCTTATATAATTCTATTTACCAGTTTTAAGAGTTCACATAATTCCTCAGACTCTGCAGGAGCTTGCGTTTTGTGGGCTATTTGTTTAAGTCGTCCAAGTAAGATTTGCCAAAGCTTTGGGACACCATTCTTTGTTTTCAAATGACTCTTAAAGCTTTTCCATCTGGAAAATAATAATGTAAGAAAAAAAAAAATGTAGTTTAAGATATGGGCTGAAAGTCTGATATAGTAGACAAAAGAAAACTTATGAGCTCTGTTTAAGTGGAAATATGTTTTATTTAATTGCCCAAATGAGTGAACCTGCAACATTTTAATACATTAGCAGAGCAGAGTCTGAATTTTCAGGAACTCACTAGAATATTGCAAATTTAAGGCCAAAATGTCACGGAGCTCTGCACTTCTGTACTCTGGTGCACCCGCAGAATCCTGGGAGCGGGTCTACAAGGGGTGCAGCTCCCAGCGATTAAGTCAAGTGTTCGTCTACTGCACCCGGTCTTCATGATGACACAGCCATGGCAAGATAGTGGCTGTTATGCGAACAACATGCCTGCACAGCATGTTGTGTCACTCAGGAAGGAGCGGGGGGTGGGGCTAAGGGAGCTGTTGGGAGGAGCCTTGGTGCAAACAACATGGTGTCAGGTCCTGGCTCCTCCTTTATGGCTTCTAGGCCTCTAGCTACAGTAGGAGGTGGGTCTGGCCTCATGATCTCCTCTCCCTATAAATAACCAAACACTGCACTTAGTCAGTGCTTGGTTGTTCTGGTGCTTGCTTCCAGTCTCTTGGCATTCTTGACTTCTTAATCTGGTCCTTGTTCCTGATCCCAGTCTGTGTTCCCGATTCCAGTCCATGTTCCTGATCCAGGTCTGTGTTCCCAGTTTGCTTCTCTGCTTCTCACCTTTGGCTTTGACCATTGGACAGGCTTAAACCGCTTTCTCCTGCATCTTTCTGGATTTTTTTCTTTATCTTTAAATAAAGGCACCCATGCACTCATAGATCTCCCAGGTTCCCGTATCACTATCAGGCACCTGGGAAGGTCATGTTTGAAAGGGGTTGCCGTTCCACTGCAACTGAGTTCCTCTCCAAACAAACCAACCGGTAGGTTGTCACACAAAATAGCCAATCTAGAAACATAAATTACATGAATCATTTTTGCTATCTTGCTATTGTGATGGGATTCCAGCATGGTCAAAATTTAGTAGGCCAAAATCTCCATGTGGCATATGTGTATGTTGTGTCAGTTAGTTAGCTCAACGTAGCTACTATACTGTCATCAGTGTACTGAGCATGTCCAGGAATGCAGGAACTGAAATTGCACTTATTTCCTTTGTCTTGGATGAGCCATGTGGTTTGACTAGATGTACAAGTCTATATTCTGCTCACTGATTGGTCTGAGGAATATAGGAGGGGTTATACTGTATGGGAGGAGATATGCAGTTAACATCGGTAATGTGAATAAAGGCCTCTTACTTCCTGAAGACTTGTGTCCATATCTCTGTGTTTGGCTTCTGCATGCTTACACGATAACACTATTATGTCCTAAAAGCTAGCCTTGGAAAGTTCTTAATGACTGTGGTATCTGGAAGCAGGAATCCTATCTTGCAGACCTGCTTGAATTGAATTTCTTGTAATTGTGAGTGATAATTTATACTTGATACTTGAAAGATGCCAGTGAGAAGCACTTTGAAGAAGCTAGGGGGCAATCTTCAACCAGCAATCTTCAACCAGCATTATAAAAAAAATGTGATAGTGTCTAATTAAACCCTGATGGAATTATGGGAGGAAAATTATGAGGTCAATTCTCCCATCTACACTGACCTCAAACCAAAGAGCCGGTTTACTCCACATTTAGGCAACTATAGGAATATTGATTTATTTCTAGAGACAATGAAAGAGGAAATTGAAAAAAATCAATATTAGATCTCTAGATTATGTTCCAAATATGAATTTGTCTAAACAAGAAAAGAGAGCTTTGAAATCCCTAAAAGACAATGATGAATTAATCATCAAACCGGCAGACAAAGGGGGCAATTTTGTAGTTATGGATTTGAATAACTACACTGAGATGGTAATGAAGGTCCTAGAAGATACAACAACTTATAAGATCTTGAAGTCCGATCCCACGGACACTTTCCTTACAGAATATAAAGAGATTTTGGACCAAGGCCGCAGTGAGGGGTTGCTATCGGGTGACGAGTTCGAATATATCTTCAATCGTCACCCGATAGCAACCTTCTACTGCCTGCCCAAGGTCCATAAGAACCTTCAAACTCCCCCAGGACGATCCATTGTTTCAGGCATTGAGAATATGACCCAAAATGGGAGTATTTATATCGACCAAATTTTACGACCTTTTGTCTAGGGCCTTCCCTCTTATCTAAAAGATACAAAACAAACCCTTGCCCTTGTCTCTAAATTAAAAATTCCCATGTCGGCTAAACTATGCAGTCTGGATATTTAGGCACTGTATTCTTCTATTCCTCATGAAAATGGAATCCAACATGCAAAATACTTTCTGGAACAAAGAGGTGATCAACATAATTCCCATACAAACTTTTGTTTAAAACTTCTCAAATTCATACTGACTCACAATTTTTTCATCTTTAAGAACAAATTCTACCACCAGGTGAGGGGCCCTGCGATGGGGACGGCTTGTGCCCCCTCTTACGCTAACCTCCACCTAGGCTGGTGGGAGGAAAAACTTATCCAATCTAAAGATATTGCTAAATACCTCCCTTCCATCTTCTTTTGGCGTCGCCATATTGACGACGTCCTACTAATTTGGCAAGGAACCAAGGAAGACTTTCTCGAGTTTGTTAAGATCCTTAATGTCAATGACGAAAACCTAAGATTCACGTGTGAGTTTGGGGGACAAAGTCTTAACTTCCTCGATTTAAAGATCTCTATTTCAGACCAGAATACGATACAAACCACATTATATAAGAAACAATCAGCGTCTAATAACCTTTTAAGATGGGATAGTTTTCATCTCAAATCACTCAGAAGAGGTATCCCTATAGGCCAATACCTCAGGGCTAGATGTAATTGCACCGCTATCGAGTAATTTAATCAAAAAGCAAAAATCCTCCGAACAGATTTCAGGGAAAAAGGATACCCTAATAGATATCTCAAAAAAGCCTACCAGTGAGCAATAGCATCGGATCGTGGTACCTTGCTAGATGAATCTAACAATACCTTGCAAAAGGATTCAAAGATCATCCGCCTTATAGGTACCTATGATGCAGGCTGGAGTAAGGTCAAAGATTCCCTCCAACGTTTCTGGCCATTACTTATAGGCGATGAACATCTAAAACAGATACTAACCCCGAACGCAACTATTACAGCACGGAGAGGGAGAAACCTACGTGATATCCTGTCCCCTAGCCACTTGCAACTGAAACAACCCACTACATGGCTTCAGAGTCCTGTAACGGGTAGTTTCGGATGTGGCAGATGTGTCACCTGTAAATACATTAAAAAAAGATTCAAAAAAGGTGAAAGACAGTGAGGATCTGGAGGAATTTACGATCACGTCTTTCTTTAACTGCAATACTAATGGTTTGGTATATCTACTTACCTGTCAGTGTAACCTAAAATACGTCGGAAAGACATTTAGGCCCTTTAACAAACGGATTCAGGAACATGTAAGATCTCCAAAAAATCCAATGGATACCCCCATCTCTAGACACCTCAGGGAATGCCATAATGGTGACCCTAAAGGACTACGTTTCTGTGGTCTGGAGCTCGTGAAAAAAAGTGCTAGAAGGGGTGACTATGCTAAACTCTTAAGACAAAGAGAATCCTTTTGGATTTATAGATTAAAAACTTTGAACTTTAGGGGACTCAATAAAGGATTCTCCTTCTCGCCCTTCTTGTAAGACCCCGGAACTCATTACATTAACTACATAATTTATTTCTGTCCCCTTGTATTTAAAACTGTAAGATCCTTTTGCCCCATATAATCAATGGGACAAGCTCAACGTTTTGACTTAACTCATAAGATTACTATTTGTCAATTTATTTATTTTTTTGAATTTTCCAAAATTAGTGTACACTCTAATACAGACCTTTTGCTGTGCTAATACCTTTCTCTATCTGAGAATAGATAAAATTTCATCTCTATATACACTTACATGTTTTATTTTATTTTATTAATGAGGATGCGATTGATTAGGATACTATAACCTTGTATTTACAGCCCCACAGGGATATTAAGTTTACTCCTAATTTAATTGAACATAATCAGGGGTTCGGGCTCCCCCCTTCTTCTGTTCTGGTTAGACTTCTAGGGCTCACTTAGTTCAAACAGTGGTGCAACAACGTGTTTATTTTGATATCTCTTAATAGTATCTGGCCAGTAACTAAACTTATACTGCTACTGTTACATAGCTAAGTAAATACATTGTTGCATTTTCATCTCTGTGCATATATCACACCCAACGGCCTCAGTATTGCTGGATACAGTGAACACATTTCTATTCTCTATTTACTGGTTAACTTGCACGGCAATCGTGTTTTTATTTAGAGGATTGAGCCCGACGAGCCACCGTCCAGATGACGTCACTACTTAATGACGTATAGATTGGAGGTGTGTCTCTTCCCTCCCTTTAAAAGGCGGGTTGCCGATCAGGCAGTCTGTACTCTTGACAAAGGCGCCTGAGAGCGCCGAAACGCGCGTCGAGTTCTGACGCTTTCTTTTTTAACTTTGGGGCAGCTCTTTTCAGATATGGCTTTGTAGCTAGGTTATGGGAATTCTTAGAGACAAGTGGTCTAGTCTACATCTGATGGTTTTGAACGACTGTATCAGGGACTTTTAGTTACTAGGCATTCAAGCCAATATCATTTTCGTTCCTGCCGTCACCTCACTTAGGGATTTTTTTAGTGTAGCTATGACTAGAGTCTTTTTCCATGAATTTTACAGCACTCTGTTTAAGGGCAACATATACCTTAGGGAATGAGACTATCTTTTGCTAAGGGTTGTATAGATTTATCAAGGGCTTGTCTCAGGAGCTTTACAGCACAATGTTAAAGGGCATGTGATACCCTAGGGAAAGTTTAATAGTTTTGCTCCATTGGACAAGCTGTATCGTCTTTGAAATATTGACTTTAAGTGCATTACTGTTAGCCTTTAGAAACCATTTAACAGATACCTATTCCTACTTAAGCCTAGTGATGTCGCGAACACAAAATTTTAGGTTCGCGAATGGCGAACACGAACATCCGCAAATGTTCGCGAACCGGCGAACCGGGCGAACCGCCATAGACTTCAATGGGCAGGCGAATTGTAAAACACACAGGGACTCTTTCTGGCCACAATAGTGATGGAAAATTTGTTTCAAAGGGACTAACACCTGGACTGTGGCATGCCGGAGGGGGATCCATGGCAAAACTCCCATGGAAAATTACACAGTTGATGCAGAGTCTGGTTTTAATCCATAAAGGGCAGAAATCACCTAACATTCCGAAATCACAATGAATATGGATTGACACCTGACATATGACATATTGACACCTTGACATATGGATTGACACCTGTCCTCAGAGCCCCTGATGCACACGGACACAGAGCAGAATAGGGACTGTTCCCCCTACATAGGGTCACTTGGCAGATATGGATTGATACCTATCCTAAGGATCCCTGATACACACTGACAAAGAGCAGAATAGAGACTGTTCCCCCAACATAGGGTCACTTGGCAGATATGGATTGACACCTGTCCTCAAAGCCCCTGATACACACTGACACAGAGCAGAATAGAGACTGTTCCCTCTACATAGGGTCACTTGGCAGATATGGATTGACACCAGTCCTCAAAGCCCCTGATACACACTGACACAGAGCAGAATAGAGACTGTTCCCCCTACATAGGGTCACTTGGCAGATATGGATTGACACCTGTCCTCAGAGACCATGATACACACTGACACAGAGCAGAATAGGGACTGTTCCCCCTACATAGGGTCACTTGGCAGATATGGATTACACCTGTCCTAAGGATCCCTGATACACACTAACACAGAGCAGAATAGGGACTGTTCCTCCTACATAGGGTCACTTGGCAGATATGGATTGACACCTGTCCTCAGAGCCCCTGATACACACTGACACAGAGCAGAATAGGGACTGTTACCCCTACATAGGGTCACTTGGCAGATATGGCGTGGTCGTGGGAGGAGGAGGATGACTTTCACCTCTTCCCCTGTTAGATTCCCGTTGTGCTGTGACATCACCCTTATACGCTGTGTAAAGCATACTTTTTAATTTATTTTGCAAATGCTGAATCCTTTCTGACTTGTAATTCGGTAACATTTCCGCCACTGTCTGCTTATACCGGGGGTCTAGTAGCGTGGACATCCAGCACAGGTCGTTCTCCTTCAGCCTTTTTATACGAGGGTCCCTCAACAGGCACGACAGAATGAAAGACCCCATTTGCACGAGGTTGTATGCCGAGCTACTCATTTCCCGTTCCTCCTCCTCACACAGAGCAGAATAGGGACTGTTCCCCCTACACTTGGCAGATATGGATTGACACCTGTCCTAAGGGTCCCTGATACACACTGACACAGAGCAGAATAGAGACTGTTCCCCTACATAGGGTCACTTGGCAGATATGGATTGACACCTGTCCTCAGAGACCATGATACACACTGACACAGAGCAGAATAGAGACTGTTCCCCCTACATAGGGTCACTTGGCAGATATGGATTGACACCTGTCCTCAGAGACCATGATACACACTGACACAGAGCAGAATAGAGACTGTTCCCCCTACATAGGGTCACTTGGCAGATATGTATTGACACCTATCCTAAGGATCCCTGATACACACTGACACAGAGCAGAATAGGGACTGTTCCTCCTACATAGGGTCACTTGGCAGATATGGATTGACACCTGTCCTCAGAGACCATGATACACACTGACAGAGAGCAGAATAGAGACTGTTCCCCCTACATAGGGTCACTTGGCAGATATGTATTGACACCTATCCTAAGGATCCCTGATACACACTGACACAGAGCAGAATAGAGACTGTTCCTCCTACATAGGGTCACTTGGCAGATATGGATTGACACCTGTCCTCAAAGACCATGATACACACTGACACAGAGCAGAATAGAGACTGTTCCCCCCTACATAGGGTCACTTGGCAGATATGGATTGACACCTGTCCTCAGAGACCATGATACACACTGACACAGAGCAGAATAGAGACTGTTTCCCCTACATAGGTCACTTGGCAGATATGGATTGACACCTGTCCTAAGGAACCCTGATACACACTGACACAAAGCAGAATAGGGACTGTTCCCACTACATAGGGTCACTTGGCAGATATGGATTGACACCTGTCCTCAGAGCCCCTGATACACACTGACACAGATCAGAATAGGGAATGTTACCCCAACATCGGGTCACTTGGCAGATGTGGATTGACACCTGTCCTAAGGATCCCTGATACACACTGACACAGAGCAGAATAGGGATTGTTCCTCCTACATAGGGTCACTTGGCAGATATGGATTGTCACCTGTCCTCAGAGACCATATTACACACTGACACAGAGCAGAATAGAGACTGTTCTCCTACATAGGGTCACTTGGCAGATATGGATTGACACCTGTCCTCAGAGCCCCTGATACACACTGACACAGAGCAGAATAGAGACTGTTCCCCCTACATAGGGTCACTTGGCAGATATGGCGTGGTCGTGGGAGGAGGAGGATGACTTTCATCTCTTCCCCTGTTAGATTCCCGTTGTGCTGTGACATCACCCTTATACGCTGTGTAAAGCATACTTTTTAATTTATTTTGCAAATGCTGCATCCTTTCCGACTTGTAATTCGGTAACATTTCCGCCACTGTCTGCTTATACCGGGGGTCTAGTAGCGTGGACACCCAGCACAGTCGTTCTCCTTCAGCCTTTTTATACGAGGGTCCCTCAACAGGCACGACAGCGTGAAAGACCCCATTTGCACAAGGTTGGATGCCGAGCTACTCATTTCCCATTCCTCCTCCTCACACAGAGCAGAATAGGGACTGTTCCCCCTACACTTGGCGGATATGGATTGACACCTGTCCTAAGGGTCCCTGATACACACTGACACAGAGCAGAATAGGGACTGTTACCCCTACATAGGGTCACTTGGCAGATATGGATTGACACCTGTCCTCAGAGAGCATGATACACACTGACACAGAGCAGAATAGAGACTGTTCCCCCTACATAGGGTCACTTGGCAGATATGGATTGACACTGTCCACAAGGACAAGCTGCAGGCTTCCTGGCAGGGCCCATACAAGGTGGTAGCAGGTCTGTGATACCACCTTTGTGATCGGTGCGGTCACAGGCACGGGAGGCAAGCGCATGCTCCATGTGAAGATGCTCAAGCCATACCATGAGCGCACGGAAGAGGTAACCGCGATCTGTGCACCTGCCACTGAAGATTATGATAATTTGCCACTCCCAGATCTCATAGACCTAGAGGGCCAGAGCGGAGACCTGGGAGAAGTAGTTAGGAGAACGGTTAGACCCCCAGGAGCGAACCCAGGTCCAAAGACTAATCCAGGACAAGGGGGCCACGTTTTCCAACCTACCTGGGTACAGTCCGTTAACCACTCACAAAGTTGAAACCCTAGACCAGACCCCCCTTCGCCAAACCGCCAATCGCATACCCAATGCAGTTAAAGAAAATATTCAGAAAGAAATTGAGGAAAAGATGCAATTAGGGGTGATAGAACACTCTGACAGCCCCTGGGCCTCCCCGGTAGTACTTGTTCCCAATGGGACGGCACGACCCATTTCTGTGTAGACTATCGGAGGCTAAACGATAAAACAACCTCAGACGCCTACCCTATGCCCCGGATAGACGAGCTCCTAGACAAAATGGCCAGAGGCCAGTACCTCACCACAATAGATCTGTGCAAGGGGTACTGGCAAATTCCATTAGCCGAGGACGCCATCCACAAGTCAGCATTTGTCACCTCGTTTGGCCTGTATTAGTTTAAGGCCATGCCATTCGGGATGAAGAATGTCCCGGCTAACTTTCAGAGGATGGTAGATCGGCTACTGGATGGGTTTCAGGAGTATGCCTGCGCCTACTTGGATGATATAGCCATTTTTAGCTGCTCCTGGCCCTAACACCTGACCCACATAGGAGCCATACTAGACCGGATTAGGGAGGCCGGACTGACCCTAAAGCCCAGTAAGTGCCATATAGGAACGCGTAAAAACCTCCCCAAGATATTAGTATGGGCCCCAGAGTGTGAACAGCCCTTCCAACAGCTCAAGACGGCGCTCATTAAATCACCTGTACTTTCTGCTCCTGATCCAACTAAACGCTTTCTCGTCCATACAGACGCTTCTATGTTTGGATTGGGAGCAGTACTGAGCCAAGTGGGAGCAGATGGCGGCGAGCAACCCGGGGCTTATCAAAGCCGGAAACTTTTGCCCAGGGAAGTAGATACACTGCCCAATGAAAAGGAGTGCCTGGTGGTGGTGTGGGCCCTCAAACAGCTGCAACCTTACTTGTATGGACAACCGTTTACCTTACTCACAGATCACAACAAATTTGGGGCACTGCGCGTGCAATCTAATGTGCCACCAGATAGGAGTGGTGTGTTTAGTACTATTTTTATCAGTTTAATCCCTGTTACGTCCCCTATCCGTTGATGTGGAGCAAGACGCAGCAGCAGAAGAGGACTCAGCCTAGGAGGTTATGGAAGAGGATGGAGTAGGAGGAGTAGAGGAGGTGGCAGCAGGCCTGCCTGCAAGTCATGGCGGTGTCACCAACTCCTCTGCAGAGCCACGCATTCCATGCTTGGCAGCCGTCAGCAGGTTTGCCCAATGTGCAGTGTAGGTTATATACCTGCCCTGACCATGCTTTGCAGACCAGGTATCAGTGGTCAGATGGACCTTTGCCCCAACACTGTGTGCCAGACATGCCATTATTTCCTTTTGCACAATCGAGTACAGGTTGGGGATTGCCTTTTGTGAAAAGAAATTTCGTCCGGGTACCAGTGAGTGGTGGCACTGGGCACAGTATTCACTGTGAGCCTGACACAGAAGCTGGCAGCAGTGGCAGACAACTAACTGCTATTCAATCTATAACAGTGAAAAATGTTTTTTGTTTTTAAATGCAAGCTATTGTGACACCAGATATGAGTGGAACTGTGAACTGGCAGAGTACACGCTGTAGGGCTGACACACCCGCTTTGAGACAACTAACTGCTATTCACTCAATAACAGTGAAAAAAGTTTTTTGGTTTTAAATGCACACTATTGTGACACCAGATATGAGTGGCAAAGTACACTGGCAGAGGTCTGCAGAGCACACGCTGAAGGCCTGACACCTGCTTTAAGGACACTGACTGCTATTAGCTTACACTGAAAAACTTTTTTTCTTTGTAAAAGCACGCTATAGAGACACCAGATATGAGTGGCAAAGTACACGGGCAGAGTTCTGCAGACCACACGCTGAAGGAGGCCTGACACCCGCTTTAAGGACACTGACTGCTATTAGCTTACACTGAAAAACTTTTTTTCTTTGTAAAAGCACGCTGTAGAGACACCAGATATGAGTGGCAAAGTACACGGGCAAAGGTCTGCAGAGCACACGCTGAAGGAGGCCTGACACCCGCTTTAAGGACTGCTATTGGCTTACACTGAAAAACTTTTTTTCTTTGTAAAAGCACACTATAGAGACACCAGATATGAGTGGCAAAGTACATGGGCAGAGGTCTGCAGAGCACAAGCTGAAGGAGGACTGACACCCGCTTTAAGGACACTGACTGCTATTAGCTTACACTGAAAACTTTTTTTCTTTGTAAAAGCACGCTATAGAGACACCAGATATGAGTGGCAAAGTACACGGGCAGAGGTCTGCAGAGCACACGCTGAAGGAGGCCTGACACCCAGACGCTTGCAGACAACTAACTGCTATTCAATCTATTACAGTGAAAAAAAATTTTTTTTCTTTTTAAATGTCAAGCTTAAGCTATTGTGACACCAGATATGAGTCGTGGCACTGGCCAAATGGGCACAGTATCCACTGTGAGCCTGACACACCCGCTTTAAGGACACTGACTGCTATTCAATCTATAACAGTGAAAAAAGTTTTTTGTTTTTAAATGCAAGCTATTGTGACACCAGTGAGTGAGTGGTGGCACTGGGCACAGTATCCACTGTGAGCCTGACACACCCGCTTTGAGAAAACTAACAGCTATTCAATCTATAACAGTGAAAAAAGTTTTTGGGTTTTAAATGCAAGCTATTGTGACACCAGTGAGTGAGTGGTGGCACTGGGCACAGTATCCACTGTGAGCCTGACACAGAAGCTGGCAGCAGTGGAAGACAACTAACTGCAACTACATTACACAGAAAAAAAAAAAGCAGACTGATGTTCTAGCCCTAAAAAGGGCTTTTTGGGGTGCTGTCCTTACAGCAGAGATCAGATGAGTCCTTCAGGACTGTAATGGACACTGTATACCCTAACCTAGCTATGCATTTCCCTATCTAATCAACAGAAGCTACACTTTCCCTCCTCTCACTAAGCATGCAGCTTGAGAATGAATCTAAAATGGATGCTGTCCAGTAGGTGGGAGGGTCTGCTAGGGAGGATGTGCTGCTAATTGTCTGGAATGTGTCTGCTGACTGTGAGGTACAGGGTCAAAGTTTACTCAATGATGACGAATAGGGGGCGGATCGAACCGCGCATGTGTTCGCCATCTGCGGCGGACTCGAACACGCTATGTTCGCCAGCGAACCGTTCGGTGCATCACTACTTAAGCCATTACGACCAGCGTATCAACGTTATTACTTAATTGATATACCATATGAGCTAGCCCCTCTTCATTTCTTCCCTTCCCTTTTCCCTCCTTTTAAATCACTTACACTTTTTGGTTTTATTTAATACTAGTTTTCGATATCGGTGTTAAGGAGTCTAGACGACTCGAGCAAGATAGAATCTAATAAAGATTGTTCTTTTATTTACTTCGAACCGCGCATGTGTTCGCCGTCTGCGGCGGACTCGAACACGCTATGTTCGCCAGCGAACCGTTCGGTGCATCACTACTTAAGCCATTACGACCAGCGTATCAACGTTATTACTTAATTGATATACCATATGAGCTAGCCCCTCTTCATTTCTTCCCTTCCCTTTTCCCTCCTTTTAAATCACTTACACTTTTTGGTTTTATTTAATACTAGTTTTCGATATCGGTGTTAAGGAGTCTAGACGACTCGAGCAAGATAGAATCTAATAAAGATTGTTCTTTTATTTACTTCCTCATACCATATCTACCTATCTTTCTACTACTTACTTTAGATTTTATGGGTTAACATTATTCCCTGTGGGTATATCTCTGGAATTGTCTCTGAGAGAAAGGGCTTTATGCCTCTTTTCCTCTTGATTTCCCTGAGGCATTTTTTCTCTTTCTCTTAATTATTTGGGTACATGCCCGTTTATACCCATTAGGTCCTGTCCTGAACTGTGGGATTTGGCTTGTCCTGATTCCACTGTTTCACTTTTTCTATATCTAATTAAACAACTACTCAGATAAACAATATGGAATGGTCAAAACATTTTGTACACCTATGCTTTCCATGGTACTAATTATAACTTGTTTACTGTCCTTGTGAAATGCAACTTCTTTGCTATATAGGAATAAAATGGGGTTATTAACATATCAGTACATGTCAGAAATGCCCCAAGTAAGGGTTAATTTAATCTCATATTCCTTTCTCAGTTAGAGTTATGTAACACCCTCTTTGAATTCTATGGTTTTACATGTCAGAACATAACAATAATTTGTTCTTTAGCAGGTCTTAAATTTAGACAAACACAGACTCAGCTGAACTCAGATAAACTCAAAATGGAGAAGCCATGTTTCAAAAAATAAGTACAACCTTATTGCTTCCATATTAATTAACAGTCTAAGTAGCAGTCAGGTGCTGCTAATCAAATGCACTTGATTTATTGATCATTAGCAAGTGTGACCACCTCTATAAAAGCCAAAGTTTCAGCAGTTTGCTTGTCTTGATCATTTAGGTGTGTGTTCACATAATGCCATGGAGGAGAGACATTAGCAATGATCTTAGAGAAACAATTGTTGCTGCCCATCAAATTGGGAAGAGTTATAAGGTCATTTCCAAACAATTTAAAGCTCATCATTCTACAGTGAGAAATATTATTCAAAAGTGGAAAACATTCAAGACGGTTGCCAATCTTCCCAGGAGTGGATGTCCCAGCAAATTCACCCCAAGGTCAGATTGTGCAATGCTCCAAGAAATTGCAAAAAAAAAAAAAGAGTAAAATCTCAAACTCTTTTATCTTGTTAAAGTGCAAGACAGTACAATTAGAAAAATACTGAGCAAGTATGGTTTGTTTGCAAGGGTTGCCAAAATAAAGAACTCTCATATGAACAAACCACAACATTTCTGAAACAAGGTCCTTCGGACAGACTAGACAAAAGTGGGGATATTTGGCCATAGTACACAGAGCAACATTTGTCAAAAACCAAATACAGCATATCAGCATAAGCACCTTATACCAACTGTCAACCACTGGGATGATGGGGTAATGATTTGGTCTTGTTTTGCAGCCACAGGACCAGGGAACCTTGCAGTCATTGAGTCCACCATGAAATCCTCTGTATACCAAAGTAATCTAGAGTCAAATGTGAGGCCATCTGTCCAACAGCTAATGCTTGGCTGAAATTGGGTCATGCAACAGCACAATGATCCCAAACACACCAGCAAATATACAACAGAATGGCTGATTAAGAAAAGAATCAAGGTCTTGCCAAGGCCCATTCAAAGTCCAGATTGAAATCCTGTGGTGGGATCTTAAGAAAGCGGTGCATAAAGAAAATGTCAGCAAACCTCAATGAACTGGAGCAACATTGTAAAGAAGAGTGGGCCAAAATTCCTCCACAACAATGTGAGAGACTGATAAGGTCATACAGAAAATGATTACTTCAAGTTTTGCTGCTAAAGGTGGTTCTACGAGCTATTGAATCACAAGGTGTACTTAATTTTTCATATATGGCTTCTCCATTTTGGCTAAATAATTCACGACATGGAATAATAGGTCATGTGTTGTTGTTCATCTAAGGTTGTACTTAAATAATTTTAAGACCTGCTAAGGAACATATGATTGCTATTATGTGCTGGTTTGTAAAAACATAGAATTCAAAGAGGGTGTACTTTCTTTTGCCCATGACTGTATGTTATGATTAAATACTTAATTGTCTCAGGCTGTTTTAATCAGATATTGCCTATTTAAACCTTGCTCTTGCTCTTGCCTTGTCTAATGGCTCGATTATACAGTTGCTTGGCTTGCAATGAGTAACCTTGTCCCTTTATAGCCTCAGTTCCTATTACTACTTCTCTCACAAATAATGTTGCTTTGTTGCAACACCTGTATTAGACACCAGCTTACAAATTATGACCACGCACACGGATTATCCATTTTATAATAACAGTTTTGGTTGCACTCGTGATGTAAACATGGTACTGATGCTATATGAGTTATTGAGAAATACCTCCCAAAATATTAAATGGACAAAGAAACACTTTAATTTTAAGGGTGTAAGTGGTGAGAGATGTTCTAATAAATTTTAGAGTGAATTACTAATAACAATTTATGAAACTAAAATGACATTTTGAACACTGTATCTTAAATACATGGACTAATTTCTAAACACATTTATAGGAGTTTAAGGATGCATTACTGGGAGTTTTATTGCAGTGGAGCTCTGTTACACATTCACAGTCACACCAATAGTGTGGAACTCCTAGAATAGATGGACAGATAGATTTGGGCCCATGATAGGATAAGGCCTTCTAAATAAAGTAGTAGAAGGATATTTCCAATGGTAAGTAAACCTGATTAGTAATGTAGAACTTGATATTTTGAACTTTGGGTATTTATAAGTTAATGCCAATTTGTGTAATGTGTTTATTTGATGCATATGGAATATATGCCCCACGTGGAGTCATTGAAATTCCACAGCATCGCAGCTGCATGTCTGGTGGCCAATGAGGAATAGGTTTTTCTGGTGATAGTAGTACAAATAAATAGAAATAATAAAAAAATAAAAAAGAGGACCACACAATCCTGTTATTTCCTTCCAACGTTCAGTTCACGGCCCAGATCTCTGTTGGGTTTGTAAGAAACACATAACTAACTAACTACATTTAATATGGGCACAACATATTGTTAGTGAAAAACAAGAGTTTTAGGCGCTCACTAAAAAACCAAAAAGTGTATAAGGCAGCAGTGAACCAGCAGGACTTCCCAATGCCTGCTATATGATAAACAGAAATGTGAAAATAGGAAAAGTGGTAAACCGCGCCAAAAGAATTTCAGTTGATCATATCATACATACATACATACATATAGATCTCGGGTAGTACAGCATGAAAAACCCCTCAAAAAAGATAAAAATAATACAATAATAGTGCAGTATGTTTAAATATTAAATAATGTAATCTAAAACAGACTTGGTTGTAGATAAAAGGCAAACTCACACTCTGCAGAGCTACTAAGAGCTCTGCTGTATAGCGCCTTGATGGTACAATCCCCGTCTTAGGATCTGTAGATGGTAGGGTGTCCAAACATCAGCAACCATATATATGGGAGAGAGAAAAACAGAATACACAAACCAATGGTGTAGTATTAAAAACCAAACGTTAAAAAAGAAAATGTAGGTATCCTACTTACAGTATCCAGAGCAATAACTTGCTCTGGTGATGATAGCTTGTGGTGGTATGATCCCCACCAAAGGACGTCAACCGGAAATGATGCGCCGCGACCACTGATGCATGATGGGAGATGTAGTTCATATGTATGTCCGCAGTAATAATAGTACCAAATCGCGGCCGCCAACCGGAAGCCGGAAGTGACGTGCCGTGAACAGCAATGGTTGCTGGGACCTGTAGTCACTTGGAGCAACCATATTCGGATACAAATTGAAAAGACATAGATATAATGAAATCCATGGATTTCATTATATCTATGCCTTTTCAATTTGTATCCGAATATGGTCACTTCCAGTTTCCGGTTGGCGGCCGCGATTTGGTACTATTATTACTGCGGACATACATATGAAGTACATCACCCATCATGCATCAGTGGCCGCAGCGCGTCATTTCCGGTCGACGCCCGCGACCAACAGGAAACAGGAAGAACAGCACCACATCTGATTGACATCTATGAATTAATACCCCCTATATAAACCGGGCGGAATGCCAAGGACACCCACACTTTTGATAAAGCCCAAACCCTTTTGATAAAGCCCAAAGCGTCAAGGGAAGGACTGGAAGCTACCTTATATGTTTTAATATATTTTTATATATTTTTTTTTGTAAAATAAAGTGAAGCTTTTTTTATCCAATCCTCTGGCTTTCTGGTGCTGCTGGTTTTCCTGATACATCCATATATCCTTTGGTGTGGATCATACCACCACAAGCTATCATCACCAGAGCAAGTAATGGCTCTGGATACTGTAAGTAGGATACCTACATTTTCTTTTTTAACATTTGGTTTTTAATACTGTACCATTGGTTTGTGTATTCTGTTTTTCTCTCTCCCATATATATGGTTGCTGAGTTTTGGACACCCTACCATCTACAGATCCTAAGACGGGGATTGTACCATCCAGGCGCTATACAGCAGAGCTCTTAGTAGCTCTGCAGAGTGTGAGTTTGCCTTTTATCTACAACTAAGTCTGTTTTAGATTACATTATTTAATATTTAAACATACTGCACTATTATTTTATTATTTTTATCTTTTTTGAGGTTTTTTTCATGCTGTACTACCCGAGATCTATATGTATGTATGTATGTATGATATGATCAATTGAAATTCTTTTGGCACGGTTTACCACTTTTCCTATTTTCACAACATATTGTTAACATTAAAAACTGATTTACCTAATCTCATGAAGCTGCAACATACTGTTAATGAAATCTCCTTTTACATTCATCACGGCCTGCTGAATGTTTTGTTTTGCCTAAATAAAAAAATGTAAAAGTTATTTTCATACATGTGCAAAACTAAAAAGGGGGAATATTTTTTACTTTCTTAATTTATGATCTTTCAGGATATATTGAAAGCCTAGATACAATATTGGACAGAACATTAGACAAAACATAAAAGTATAAACAGAATGTTACTTTTCTACATACATACATGCATTTGGTCAAACTAAGGGTCTGTGAAAGCAAACAACAGATGGGATTATGCATTAATTATGAAAACACATTCTAATTATAGTCCTATTGAAATTAATGATGAGTGATTGCTATCTATAAAATGCAAAGACAGCTAATTTTGTCTGTTTATAAAATATTAATTAGACCCAATCTTAAATCCTGAACAAAGGATATAATGGAGTTATTCAAATATACACAAGGCTAATGCAAAGAGCTCCATTGGAACTTGGTCAAAGCTGGATAAGGGTCATCCATTATGACATGAAAAAAGGAGATTTTGCCTACAGCTGTGGAAGTTGTTTTTTGAAAGTAAAAATAAAAAGTGATTTGGAAGTCACTGTCTATCAAAACTAAAATATAGTTTTAAATGGGTTGGATGTTTTTGTTTGTTTTTACATAAAAAATAAAATACATTTATCCCAAAATCTATTTGTTTTTATTTTACTGGAAGGGCAAGAGCAGGAATGTGTGTAGATGCATCTGCTCTTGCTTTTAGCTTAAGTTCTGAGGGTTATGTGAATACCAGCAGATTCATGCATGCAAGTAAAAAAAGTGTGTGACACAATCATATAACCAAGTGAACTAAAGCCAAACAACCAAACATGTACAGGGCCGCCATCAGGGCATGACAACCATAACGGTTGTCATGGTCCCGGCGGTCCTGGGGGGGCCCGGACTGCTCAGGTTGTCCTGGGCCCCACATTAGCTATGTGCACACATATATAGCGATTGACATTATATATGTGTGCACTGCAGGCCCCCCGCTACCTGTATCCTGCAGGAGCCCAGCACACTTGAAATATACTGCCCAGCTACTCTGCTCTGTCGAAGTCTCACGAGCGACGCGATCGTCAGAGCGTTGCGAGACTTCTACAGAGCAGAGTAGCTGGGCAGTATATTTCAAGTGTGCTGGCCCCTGCAGAATACATGTCCAACCAATGCATTTTATATAACCAGTCAAAAAACCTTTTAACAGTGGGATATTTTTTTTATTAGTGTCTTTGTGGGTAGACAGCTGTCCATCTGGCAAAACAACAAGTTAGCAGTAAGCAGCGAGATGATTTGAAAGATACCTTTGACTTTGCTTCATCCAAGTCCTCAATGTTATAGGCAGGTATTAGCAATTTCTTCTTCAAACTTAATTTTTTACTTTCTTCAAAATATTTACTAACTATGCGTTTATTGATGGGCATCTTATGTTTGCCGATATACCTGTTAAAAGTAAAAGTGCAACTTTATTTTTACTTTACTATAATGTGTGGTAGCTACAGTACAGTAAAACAAATAAGAACATTCTCACAATATAACCTGTAATTTCTACATTTACTAGAATGTTATACTTGAAAAGCAGAGAGAGACAGTACTATCCAATGGCCAATAGTGACTATAGTGACTATTGGCCATTGGACAGTACTGTCGCTCTCTGCTTTTCACTTATATCTGGGTTACCCCCTATCATTACTGTCCCTTGATTTGCTCCAACACCTCTAAATCTAGAATGTTATACTATCAGCCTTTTGGGTGGGCTTCATTATGTTATTTTTTATTATATAATAATAATTAATAATAAAATTAAACACATAATGCATAATTTTTTTAAAGTAAAGAAATATATCCACATGAAGCATTTTCAGGACAGTAAGAGACATGATCATATAAAAAGGTGGCGGTTGCTGGGCAACCTACCAAAACTACTACCACAGAGCAAGTAGAGGTTTCTAATCTATATGTAGAGTGGCACATCAAGTGTACCTAGCCTGTACACAATAACAACCACGTCACACAATGCATAGCGACAGCATTTGTTTTATAAAGAGTCACAGATACACGCCTTCACAGGTTTTTCATGGTCGAGGAACAAACTAAAAATATATCCCTTAAGAAATTAAACCCAGAGTTATATGTGAAGTATATGATGACTTTCCATTAATTTTAAAGTTTATATAACTCTTCACCACATTCATGACAATTCTGTGCTTTTTACAGACTCTGAATCGTGCTGACTGTATGGTGAATTGACAACAAAATTGCAAACTGTATGCTATAAACTGTATAAGTAGGAGAACTAGAAGAATAAATGAGTTTCCAATTCAGCAATATATTTTTTTCACTTATTCCACAATCACTGATTTAGTGAACAGACCCATGTGTTAGATAGAACAGAATATAATACATTCAGCAAAATGTACCAGTTCAAAGCCTCAGTCAGTGGATCTTTTATGATCTGTTTAACAAAACCCGACCAGTCGACATTTCCAAGTCCATTTGAGGAATACAGATCATTCATTTGTTTAGTGAACAGTTCAAAAACATGTTTCTGCAAAAAATATACATTTTCATTGACACATTGATGTAGGCACATTTATATAAATAATTTAGTTTATAACATCATATATATGTATTTTAAAGCACACATGTGCTAAACCACTACCCACCAACTTTATCTGTCTTTATTATGGTTAGTGTTTGAAAGGGTTAAAAAAAAAAAAAGGAAGAAAAGGAATTAACATTCTCTGAAACAGATCATTTTATAGTAAAACAAATTTCACAAAATAAGTCAGTAATGCATAAGGAACAAAATGGTGAACAAAGACACCAATGCAGCAAGGGTATAGCACAAAGGTTGCACACTATCACTTAAATAAGGAAACAAATACAACAAAGGACAGACCACACAAAGTAACACTTACTTGAATTAAAAAATATCAAAAAAAAATTCCTCAAGACCCTTTTACAGTCACATAAAGCTTAAAGAGACACTATCGTCCCTTTAAACCATTTCTGACAGCGACTCTCTCCCTCTCCCAGTCACGTGGGGTGTACCCCAAGGTTCCATTCTCGGCTCCCTACTATTTACATTATTTATAAATGATCTGCCTAATGTCTGCAAATCCTCAAATATACACATGTACGCAGACGACAGTAAGCTATGCAAGCAAATCCAATCTACCGCAGCTTGAGGCTGTGCTCCAAGACCAGTTTACAGAGGTAGAAAAGTGGATCGCAAAAAACAAACTCTTCCTGAACACTGACAAAACTGTCACAATGATCTTTGGAACAGTACCTAAATTACACAAATTACACAATTCCCACCTATCCATCATAACAAATTCAAATGGCACACTGACCGCAGTCCACTCTTTCAAATACTTGGGTATGATATTAGACCCCAATCTATCTTTTGGCCTGCACATAGAATAACTTGCATCTAAACTATATCCAAAACTAGGTTCCCTGTACAGAAACAAATCCTGCCTAAGTCCTACAGTAAAGGAAAGGATTGTACAGCAAATGCTGATGCCACTCATTGATTATGGAGATGTAGTGTAAGCATTTGCATCGCAATCCCACATTAATAAACTCAACACATTGTATAACTTGTCCTGACGATTTGCGCTACAATGTAATTACAGGACTCACGATTGTGACATGCTAAGAGAACTAAACTGGCTGTCACTGGAATCCAGACACACCCTTCATCTTTCCAGCCTTGTGTTTAAAGGACCACTCTAGGCACCCAGACCACTTCAGCTTAATGAAGTGGTCTGGGTGCCAGGTCGCTCTAGGATTAACCTTTTTTTTTTTATAAACATAGCAGTTTCAGAGAAACTGCTATGTTTAGAAATGGGTTAATCCAGCCTCCAAATCCTCTAGTGGCTGTCTCATTGACAGCCGCTAGAGGCGCTTGCGTGCTTCTCACTGTGAAAATCACAGTGAGAAGACGCAAGCGTGTGCGCATTCAGCCGAAAGGGAGGAAAGGAGGTGGAGAGGAGGAGGAGAGCTCCCCGCCCGGCGCTGGAAAAAAGGTAAGTTTTAACCCTTTCCTCTCCCCAGAGCCGGGCGGGAGGGGGTCCCTGAGGGTCGGGGCACCCCCAGGGCACTATAGTGCCAGGAAAATTAGTGTTTTCCTGGCACTATAGTGGTCCTTTAAGAGCTTTTCTGGGAAACTCCCACCCTACCTGAACAAAATGCTTTCCCCAGCTGTTCCCACTTCCTAAAAGCTCTGATCCAGTACCAACACTTTACTTAGTCTACCTCAATACAAAAAGAAAGCTGCCCGATCCTCCTTCTCCTATAGAGCACCGCAATTGTGGAACGACCTCCCGCACAATTTAAAATCTTCCCTAAGCCTAAAGTCCTTTAAGAGATCCCTCTCTACATATTTCAAAACAGAATGCACCTGTCATGGTTGATTATATATGTCCTACATGTTAAAGTTTGTATTTATTGTGTATTAATATTGTTTTGGTATTTTATTGTACCATAATGTAACAATGCAATGATTTGTGGACCCAGGACCTTGAAAATGAGAGAAATCTCAATGTATCTTTCCTGGTAAAATATTTAATAAATAAAATAAATAAATAGTCACCAAAATGACTTTAGCTTAATGAAGCAGTTTGGGTGTAAAGATCATGCCTCAGGTCATGCCTTTAAAGGTTTTTATCTCCTGCTCTCAAAATTGGACTTTAATTACATACAGAAAGGTCCTGGAGGGACTATCATGCTATTAATACAGCAGTGTTAATTTTGGCGGCTAATTTCAATTTAGTTTAAGTCCTCGTCTTTTGACTAAAAAGCCTTTTTAGTTTTAGTCATCTGAAAAGTTTTGGTTTTAGTCTAGATTTAGTCGACTAAGTCTTCCGTAGATTTTGTTGACTAAATCTCCAGTAGATTTTAGTCGACACGACTACAATCTAATGGGTTAGGTTAAGGCCTCTGTCTCTTTTTCCCCTTCCCCAGCCTGTCTGTGTCTCTTTGTGTCCTCCCAGCCCTTCTAGGTGTCTCTCTCCCAAACCCTAGGTGTTTCTTTCCCCTTCTCTTTGCCCCTTCCCCAGCCCCTCTGTGTCTCTTTGTGTCCTCCCAGGCTCTCTAGGTGTCTTTCTCCCAAACCCTAGGTATCGTTCTCCCAAGCCTATTTTGTTAATTTTGGCAGAAAATTTCTATCTAGTTTTAGTCATGGTCTTTTGACTAAAAAGTAATTTTAGTTTTACTTGTATTTTAGTCATCTGAATTGTTTTAGTCTAGTTTTAGTCGACTAAATCCAAAAAGTTTTAGTCGACTAAAATTTTACTAAAATTGTTAGTCAACAAAATTAACACTGTGATATAGCAGGGGATAATAAATACCAAAATAAACAGAATTTGCTTTAAAGGAAGTGTAAAGATTAGATAACTCTTTACAGGAAGTGTTTAGGAAGGTTGTGTCACATACAGGCATTCCAAAATAGCTGATTTAGAAGAATTCTACAACTCAGCTACTGTCACAGATCAGCTGTTTTTGCTTACACTTTACAATTCGGTTTCCAATTCACTGCAATTGAGTTTTGTGAATAAACCTTTGAAAGAATGTAGTTGCATTCATGAGAGGACAACAAAATGGACCTTTGCCTAGGGCGGCAGGAATCCTTGCACCAGCCCTGATCTTTGTGTATGTTAGTTTAGACAGGGACTGTTTCCAGTATTACCAGTCTATCTTTCTATCCAAATTTATTTAAGTCTGTTTGAATAATGCACACTTTTGAAACAAAACACAATGCACAAAAAATAAAAACTATGATTTAAATCCTGCAGTCTTTTATTAAATATAATGTCTCTGTCATGTAAAATGTCTGTCATTATAGAGGAAGGTGGCGGGTATGCCACAGGCAAAATAGTAAGTGAGGATGCAGTGAGCACATAGAATATAAAATGTGTGTGATAATAACACGCTGTATCTCCATGTGATGCCTATGCTTTACCCATGTATTTAAATTTCTGTTTCTGTTTATATGTATATATATGTATATATATAAGCTTCTGTGACTACATAACTCTAGTATGTATCTGACTTACCAGAATAAAGAAATAAAAAAAAAAAATGTGTGATAAATGCATATATATTGTCATTTGTAGAAACTAATACATGTTTTGTATATCACAGCAATTATTTAATCAATATTGAACACCGCTCATATGGCTACTCATTTAATTATTTGAATAGTAACAAATGACAACAGTCTGGTAACTCTTTAAATATGTTTAAATTTATAGCGTATTTGATAAACACTATACTTCGTGATGTATTCTTCATTTTACTGCATTCATTTAACTCGGAGTACTTACTCGAAACTTTGAAACTAATCTCCTTATTTCAACTTGAAGAAATACAAAGATCTCACTCTTGTGGTTTTCGGAATTGTGAAAGAGAATATTGGTCAACCGCACCTGAAACAATTGTTATCTCAAATTATCAAATCAGGTTTTCATGCTTTTAGCAGATGTTTAATGCCATTATTTGTTTAGAATATCGTAATGCTGGGCAAGAATTCAACTTCTCACTTGTGATAGTGAAGAGGAAAAAACTATTTGCAAAGCTTTTTCTCAAAAATTAACCATTCATTGACATCTAGTTTTAAATTATTCTTGAATTTACCTTGACTTTACAATTTGAGTACTAACTAGAAGTAATTCAGTGGTAATTTTAAAAATTAATCTCAAACTGGCTAATTTAGTTTTTGAGCAATTTAGTGTTAAAAAATGTCAAATGTTGCCCAAATTTAATTCAAGGTATAGTCATTGCAGCATTCACAAGACTTGTGCACAGCAAGAATTTTGGTTCTGCAGAAAAACTTTTTCAGAAGATAGAACATTTTTCAGGATACACAAAATACAGTTGGATGTCGTTTCGTTCTGCTGAATATCCAATTAGGAACTGGGACTGAAGAACACACAAAAAAGAGTGAAAATAAGCCAATCAGTAAGCTGCAAAATATATACATAATATTATATTATGTATTTATTTGGCAGCAAAATGATAGGAGCGTTTTCTCACCATTTGGTCCAGCTGAAAAAAAAGTAACCAATAGAGGGAAAAAACAAAAAATCTATATTTATATCTTATATATATTTTTTTTCCCACTTCTCCTGTGCAGTTTAGAAATTAGTCTGCAAATCGTTCGGAAAGTTTTGCATTTCCTAAGATCTAAATTGCGTTTCAATTACTGACCAATTTAACAAATCATTTGGTAAAATTTGAGAATATTTCGGAATATTAGTAGGACGAAGTAGTAGGACAAACTAGATTTTCTGTCCTCTGAAATTCACCACAATGCCTTCAAATTGATTAAAATCAGCCTGATTTTCCCTCAAATTACATTGTATACTTCAAAAATTCCTCAGGTTGAGTGGGCCACCTGGACCTTTTTAATAATTTTTTCATCACACAGCTCACTACACAAAGGGTGGGGGAATGTTGCCCACCAACTCTAATATTAACTTTCATAACGCTGCCTACGATGTGAGGAAATAGGAGGGACCACATTGCAGGGTTTTCTCTGGTTCAGTGGGAGCCCAAGGGAAAATTGTTTGAGTTTATTTATTTATTTTAGCTATTTGCTTGCTGGCTGCTCATCCCTTGTGATTGGTGTTTAAAATACTCCAAGAACCATAACAACTACAGCTCGCTTACAATGGGAGGGGGTGTTAGTGCACTTCTGTCACCATAGCCCCTACAGAGGTCTGTAGTAGTTATGGTGCATTCAGTATTCCTTTAAACTGAATATTAACAGGAATACAAATAATCTATATTATTTTTTCTCAGTTTTTTTTTACCAGTGTTTTTATTTTTAGACTCAAGTTGTTTATAGTAAAAAATACACAATACTCAATTTTTTACCAATGCATTTTTTTACCTTTTTTTTTTTTTTTTTAGTAATTACATTTTATTTTGAGCAAAGGCCTTTTCATAAGCCCAATCAAAATGTCCTACTTATCTATTTGATAAAAATGTCTCACGGTGAATCAAGTTTTGCTCATAATAAAACAATTGCAATCTCTATTCAAGTCAATATAAAAATTAACCTTTGGAATAGAAAAAGATTTTTCTTCACGACTGAGACATGATTGCAGATGACACAAAATGTTGCGTTATAAAAGAAAGGCTTCTAATTTGCCTTTCTGTTCAGAAAACCACATAAATACAAACTTCTGATTACCTGATATATAGGATGGTTGCCACAAAAGTATGGATTGAAAATCCCTCTTGCAGTTATACGATCTTCGTTTTCTTCCCATAGTTGCTTGGCGTTTTGAACTGAAGATGCCAATATATTTTCCACCTGTTTTATAGATGTTAAACACTAGAATGGTTTTTGAATTCCAGATTACATTTATAAAAATAGAGATTTTTCAATTATTAAAGTAACATTCTAACTTACTTGAAAACAAATTCAACTTTCTCTAGCAGCTAATCTTACCATTCCTTGTCAGTAGTAATTAAAAAAAATAAAATAGTAATTAACCTTTTCAACTATTTGGAGATGGTGCTTAGTGTATATAAGGGGACACTCCAAGCACCATAATGCACTCGTTCAAAGAAGTCCTACCAATGGAGAGTTTGAAAAGAGTATCTAAAACCATGAACAAGCAGAGCTTTCTTTAGCTTATTCTTTTCTAATGTTTTTAATAGAGGATCGTTTTCACTTTGATGGAAAAATATTTTCACACTGCTAAAAACGCTGAATACTGTGTTTGTTACGTGCTAATTAGAGCGTTGATTTAATTTCAGCTGATCATGTTGACCTGCAGGCAAATAGTTTAAAAAAGAGGTATGGAAGGATCAATATGACTGAAAAATGAGATTTAAGAATAAAGAAGATGTCTGATGCCTAGTATACATTTGTATTTAGCAGGGATTAGATTTATTGACCCCCTTACTATTATCAGGATTTTTTTTATTTGAGTCAGAATCTAGGGGTGCATAGAATGTTCACTCCCCATTCTACATTTTATTAGTAGTCCCACCTACCTCCCATAATTTAATTTAGATCCTTCACCCGATGCCTTTTGCCAGGTCCCCCATTGTACTTTAATAGCTTCTCAGTCACTAAATTGGTCATGATGGTTGGAGTAACCCTTAAAAAAAATCACCTTTCTATTTCTTGATCCTTCAGTTGTTTAGTAGATAACTCCCTAATTTGGTTTAGAAACAAAATTATTAGATTGGTTAAAGATCCTTTTATTTTGTTTTCATGTGACGGCACTTGGACTTGGCACTTTGACACTTCCAAATCAGATGAAATTCTGATATTGGCTATACTCACATAACTAATTAGTCATATTGAAAAGTTACCAGAAGGTGGCAGCAAATAATTTTATAAGCCTCTTCCGATTCGTGTGAATGCAATCTGTAGCTAAAATGCTAGATTTAACATCAGTTTTATATGAATCATCCATAGACAGAATAAGCAATCACCAAGAATGATATTAGCTATAGCAACAGTTGATATACTAGAAATTTATTTTCACAATTTAGATGCGTCAGAAGAGCACCCTCCCCGCTGTCTGATCATCACTTTTATGAGAAAAAACACTTATTGACTTGTTAAAATGTACATATTTTTAAAGTCTTTTTATCTAGTGGGAGGCAATTGAAAGTCGGAAAGGATCAGCTGACACCCTCAGCCTATCACCAGCGCCCTGTCCAAGGCTTCTGCATTAAAGCTGGGGTTGAAGAAGGAGATAGAGTTAAGCGTAACACGGGCGGCGTCTGGAGCACTTTGGGTTTACACTGTTTGTGCAGAGGACTCACAGCTTTTATTTTATTTGCGTTGTATACAGTAGGGAGATATTTTGCAGAGAGCTTAGGTTCTATCAGCATCTGCTAATTAAAGGACCACTATAGTGCCAGGAAAAGAAACTAGTTTTCCTGGCACTATGTAGTCCTTAGGTCCCCTTCACCCTCATGGCCCCCCTTCAGCCACTTACCTTTCTCCAACACTTAGCTTTCCAATGGATGTCAGCGTCTTCTCACTGTGATTTTCACAGTGAGAATCGCGGAAGCGGCTTCTAGTGGCTGTCACATCTGCAGGGTTAAAACTAAAGGGACCTGGCACCCAGACCCCTTCATTGAGCTGAAGTGGTCTGGGTGCCTATGGTGGTCCTTTAAGTCTAATTAAGTTGACACATCTAGAAATTCATTTGTAGTGCTCACAATTACTTGCATTTGAACTATAAATGTATAGGAGCAGTGAATCATGAAAAAAACAAAAATATAATATTATTGGTTAGTGGGTTAATAAAATGACAGCACCATACACACTAAATGGTAGAACTAAAGCGCCAAACCTTAAAGGGACACTGTAGTCACCCAGACCACTATATCTCAACAAAGTGGTCTTGGTGCAGTAGCCCTCTCCTTTAAACTGCAGTGTTTACATTACAGAGTTAACTCCACCTTTAGTGGCTGTCATACTGACAGCTTCCAAAAGCCCTTCTACTGCATTGACCGAGCAGAAATCGCGTGATGTGGAATGACACAGGGAATCATTGACTGCAATGCTTTCCTATAGGGAAACTTTGATGCATGCACATCGGGTCCACTATTAGAAGTATTAGATTAAACCATTGTGAAGGAGCCCAACTTGAAAATTGGGGTGGGGAGGGCCTGCATAGAACTAGGGACTAGATCACTACAGAATTAGGAACCACAGGTTTGTATTCCTAATTTTACAGAGTTCCTTAAAGGAACACTCCAGACCCCAAAATCACTTCAGCTTGCTATTTATGTGAAGAGTGTGTCCTCTTGTTTTCATTCTACAAAAAGTGCACATTTCAATAGAAATTGGCGATTTTTAATTTAAAGGGATACTATAGTGTTAGGAATACAAATCTGTATTCCTAACACTATAGTGCCCTCTGGACCTCCACCCTTTACCGGACCAGTTCCCTCAGCATGTAAACAGTTTAAAAAAAACTTTACTCCATTCCAGTGCTGATGTCCCTCGGCGATGGGTCGGTGCCCAGCTATTATACCCTCCCTATAGGTAAGCATTGCCTCAATGCAGAGCATGTGGACATCCAGCATCAGTTAGGCTACCTAGTAGCTAGTCTTAGTTCTGCAAGGTATTCTCTAAAACTGCAATGATTTACATTGCAGTACTAAGTGGGACAGTGACACTGCACTCAACCACTTCAATGAGTTGACTTGGGCTGGGTGACTATAGTTTAAGTACAAAATCTAACACCCTTGTATAAGAAGTGGAATTAATACAATGTGCAGACAAACCCCTCAAAGAAGGTTTACCTAAAGTTAAAGTCTCCCAAAACTGTATAAAAATATGACAGGACTCCTCCAGGTCCTCAATAGTATAAAGATAAATATCTACAGTGGACAAAAATTAAACTCACAGAGTAGTATAGTGAACTTTGCGCTTTAATAAGTTACACTTACAAAATTTTGTAAGTTGTAAGTGTAACCTATTAAAGCGCTAAGTCCTTTTTATATGCTCTACACTTATTATGGTTTATTTTTTTCACTCTCTCCTATATGCCCTTTTATCGTGTCAGAGGATTTTGCAGTCACCATACACCATGTGATGTGCCTACAATCAATTATAATCTTGTGAGTGCAATCTAAAGCGCACTATTTAAAGGTGTATTCACTATACTGACTGTAGTTTAACCATGTTACACCCTCCTGCCTGTCAGGCAACAGGTCCTGTTACTTCCTGGTAGTTTAGCTAATTTATTCTAAACTCAAGGAGCAAAAATTGCCCAGGACACCTGCATTGCAAAGACTTCTAATTGAACTGCATTAGGAAGTCTGTGATTGGACAGCCACAGAAAGTCTGAGCAGGGTTAAAAGGGGAGGGTTTCTAAGAAATCTGCATCATTAGCAAGCTGTTTTTACATATACCCTAGATTAAAAAAAAATACATAATTAAAGGTATGCATGTTTTCATTGAGGAAAATCTACTAAATAGTATTTAATTGATTTTGGGTAGAGAGTGCCTGTATTAAGTAGGGGGTATCTAACTTGAGTATATATTTTTACAGTAGAAAATAGGGATTATAGGAGACTTTCAGCCGCAAGGAATATGTACTTACTTTGCCATCGAGCGCTTTCGAATATAGTGCTTTTAAATGCTTCCAAAGAGTAACCAGCAGAGAGTCATAGTCTGAGCAAAATGCTCCATCTCGCGTGCTTTTCAACCTGCAATTAAAATTTAATTTATACTGAATGTAGAAAAGAAAATCTGAAGAGAATATTACACAGTAAAATGAATCATTAATCCTTCTACCAGGGAAGGAAAGCTTAGAAGATTGGAAATATCAATACTGTAGATCAATAAATTACTATGTAAAGTGTCCAGACAATTATACATTACAGAATAAAAATTTACTGAAAACATAGTAGCTCAAAGTGGCTCACACCAAGGCTTTCCATCAAGACATTGCAATGAATTAAAATACAAATTTGCTAGCTTCGAAGAGTATTTTAAAATTGAGGCCAGAATAACTGAAATAAAAGTATAGCTGACGTAGAGAATTGTTTCAGTCCTTGGTCCCCTACTGTTCTCTATCTATACTGGCTCCCTTGGTAAATTCATTAGCTCCTTTGGCTTCCAATATCATTTCTATGCAGATGACACCCAAATCTACCTGTCCTCTCCTGATCTCTCCCCGTCCCTCTTGACTAGTGTCTCTGACTGCCTCTCTGCTGTTTCTAACTGAATGGCTGCCCACTTCCTTAAACTAAACTTGACCAAAACTGAAATTCTGGTCTTTCCTCCCTCAAGTGTTGTTACTCCTGTGTCTGTCTCCCTCCAAGTCAACGGTGCTACCATCAGCTCCACCACGCAGGCTCGCTGCCTAGGTGTTCTCTTTGACTCCGACCTCTCCTTCAAGCCTCATGTTCAATCTATCGCCAAATCCTGTCATTTCCATCTCAAAAACATTGCGCGCATCCGCCCCTACTTAACGCCAGATGCAACTAAGGTGTTGGTTCATTCCACTGTCCTTTCTCGCCTTGACTACTGTAATCCACTTCTCAGTGGTCTTACGTGCTCCCAACTAGCGCCGTTACAGTCCATAATGAATGCGGCGGCAAGGCTCATCTTCCTGTCCGCACGCACCTCCCATGCCTCACCCTTCTGTCAATCCCTACATTGGCTTCCTATAAAATATAGAGCTCAATTTAAAATTCTGGTTCTTGCTTTCAAATCTACATAATGCTGCTTCCACCTATCTATCCTCCCTTATACACAAGTATGTCCCGTCTGGGCCCTTACGATCTGCTGAAGACTTACGTCTATCTTCTGTCCGTACTCCCACCTCTGATGCTCGCCTTCAAGATTTCTCGAGGGCTGCACCGTTCCTGTGGAACTCGCTTCCCTCCTCTGTTAGAAGCTCACCCAGTCTCCACTCCTTCAAAAAATCGTTAAAAACCCACTTCTTCATAAAAGCGTATCCATTAAACTGTTAATAGCTCCTGACTGATTCCTCTTCTGAAACTGTCATTAGTCTAATACTATCCTTACCTTTTTGTGTCATTTTACCCCACTCCCTCTAGCATGTAAGCTCATTGAGCAGGGCCCTCAACCCCTCTGTTCCTGTGTGTCCAACTTGTCTGGTTACAACTACATGTCTGTTCATCCACCCATTGTAAAGAGCTGCGGAATTTGACGGCGCTCTATAAATATCATAATAATAATAAATATACTTTGAATTCACTTTCTTATTTTGGTGAATAACTCTGTAAGTTTGCTATGCTTTAAGTTGGGCTACTTACATTTGAAATTGACTTTGAATATTCAATTTAATAAATAATCCCGAAAAAAAAATAGATAACACATTTGTGTTATATAAATGAAATTAGATAGAGGGTGTTATAGGGATTTGTAAAGTGGCAGTTCACGGGGATACCAAGGAAGACATATATATACACTAACAGCAGAGATTTTTTTTCTTGGAGATTCCATTGGTTTCCATGGTGATATAATGGTATCTTCATGAAATAGTATCTTTAAAAAAAGAATTCTTAGTAGCAAATGAAATATATGACTTACTCTTTGTTCTTTAATAACATTAACACTAACATTGCTTCTTCTGATCTTGGCCCTGTCGCTACCTTTTTATTCAGTTTATTCAGGTACTCTTTGACCTAACAGTGAAGAAGAGGCAAGATCAGAAATACTGTACAATAAACAGATATAACGGTGGGCAGGTTAAAAAAATCATATGAACAGAATAGATCTTATAGTAGATCCCTCCTTACCATGCTTTCTCAACATAACTCAGAAGATTATTTAAGCATGTTAGTGGGGTCACAAATGTTTGTATACAGTGTTTATACATTTTATTTTTCCTGAATAAAAACATTTGAGGACAGAAATTTCCCCACTTCTGCCTAGAATGAAAACCCAGTCTATAAATTAAACACCACAGAACCGGAAATGATCACTCTGGTAATTTTAATCTAACTTTTGTAAGTTGCTTCTCAAATTACCCTAGTTTAGTAAATAGACTTCATTATCTTGAGCATCATTTTAAGGGACAATCATTTTTTAAATAAACTATTGAACTACTTTGTGAATATGATATATATGTAATTTTATCACTGATATGACAAAGAACTTTTTTCGGAACTAATCCTACTCCTAATCCTGTTGGATCTTACTCCTGAACCTACTGATCAGCCACGCCATTAAAACTACATGTCTAATATCGTGTAGGTCCTCCCACGTGCAACCAAACCAGATCTAATATGCCAAGGCATGGACGTGTCCTCTGGCATCTTTCACCAAGACATTAGCAGCAGACAGTGGCATATACATGATCCATGGGGCCCCGGTGCGAAAATTGATCCGTGGGCCCCCCCCCCCTCTAGGCACCCAGACCACTTCAGCTTAATGTCCAGGTCCAGGTCCAGCTAGGGTTAACCCATTTTTTCATAAACATAGCAGTTTCAGAGAAACTGCTATGTTTATGAATGGGTTAAGCCTTCCCCTATTTCCTCTAGCGGCTGTCTCATTGACAGCCGTTAGTGGCGCTTGCGTGCTTCTCACTGTGATTTTCACAGTGAGAGCACGCCAGCGTCCATAGGAAAGCAAAAACTGCTATGTTTCACTGAGGGTTAATCCACTGACAGCCGCTTATCTCACTGACAGCCGCTAGAGGAGCACACTGAACGTCCATAGGAAAGCATTGAGTAATGCTTTCCTATGGGCTGTTTGAATGCGTGCGCGGTCACATTCGGAGCTGAGAGGCTGAGGGATCCTCAGCGCCAAGGGAGTCCGGCGCTGGAGAAAGGTAAGTGCTGAAGACACACACACACACACACACACACACACTTACAGACACATACACACTAGCTAACAGACACACACATTTACTGACAGAGACACAGTCAGCGACAGACATACATACACACTCACAAAACATACACTCTCATTGACAAACACACACTTACTAACAGACATCAAACAGACTCACTAACACACACACACTAAGTAAGACACACACAGTAACACACTCACTGACACTCACTAGCAGACACACACAGTAACACACTCACTGACACTCACTAGCAGACACACACACTAACACTCGCACTAACACTCACTAGCAGACACACACACTAACACTCACTCTAACACTCACACTAACACTCACACTAACACTCACTAGCAGACACACACACTAACACTCACTCTAACACTCACTCTAACACTCACACTAACACTCACACTAACACTCACTAGCAGACACACACACTAACACTCACTCTAACACTCTCTAACACTCACTAGCAGACACACACACTAACACTCACTCTAACACTCACTCTAACACTCACACTAACACTCACACTAACACTCACTCACTAACACATGATTTTTTTTAAATGTAATCCCCCCAGCCTCCTTACCTTTTAGAGTGCTGGGGGGATTCCCTGGGGTCCAGTGGTGCTGCTGGGCTCCTGGGCGGGTGGCCGGTTGGGCAGGCGGGCGCCCGAGGGAGCACTCAGTGCTTCCTCTTCAGCTCCCTCGCGCGCCGCTCAGGGATGCCGGAGCTGGAAGATGACGTCATCTTCCGGCTCCGGTATCAGTGCGGTGCGCGAGGGAGCTGAAGAGGAAGCACTGAGTGCTCCCTCGCGCGCCCGCCTGCCCAACCGGCCACCCGCCTGCCCGGTGTCAGCAGGGCCAGCCTCGGGGGGCCCTGAGGTGGTTGGCTCCTGGGCCCCCCAGGAGAAGAGGCTGGCCCAGTGGCTACATACCGGGTCGCAGGGGCGGCCGGGCCCCCTGGAGGCCCGGGCCGGTCGCAGCCGCGACCCCTGCAACCCTGGTATGTACGCCACTGGCAGCAGATCCTGTAAGTCCTGCAAGTTGTGAGGTGGGGCCTCCATGGATGGGAATTGTTCTTCATGCACAACCCACAGATGCTCGGATTGAGATCTAGGGAATTTGGAGGCCAAGGCAACATCTTGAAATCTTTGTCACATTCTTCAAAGATTCCTGAACAATTTTTGCAGCGTAACAGGGTGCAGGGTTCTGAAAGAGGCCACTGCCATCAGGGAGCAACACTGTCATGAAAGGGTGTACGTGGTTTGCAACAATCTCTTGGTAGGTACGTGTCAAAGTAACATCCACATGAATGGCAGGACCCAAGGTTTCCTAGCAGAACATTGCCCAGAGCAAAACACTGCCTCCGCTAGTCAGCCTTCTACCCATAGTATGCAGCAAATGGCAATGCACTGTGTGTTCTGACACCTTTCTATCATTGCCAGCATTATGTTTTTTAGCAATATGAGCTACAGTAGCTCTTCTATGTAATTGGACCAAAAAGACTAACCTTTACTCCCCATGTGCATCAGTGAGCCTTGGGTACTCATGACCCTGATGCCGGTTCACTAGTTGTCCTTTCTTGCATTAATTTTGGTAGGTGCTCACTATTGAACACTGGGAATATCTCACAAGACTTGTCGATTTGGAGATACTCTGACCCTGTTGTCTAGCCATCACTATCTGACACTCGTCAAAGTCACTCAGATCTCTTTGTTTGGACATTTTTCCTGCTTCCAACACATAAAATTCTAGAACTGACCATTTACTTGCTATTCCAACCCTTGACAGGTGCCATTGTAATGATATAATCAATGTTATTCACTTTGCCTGTCGGTGGTTTTAATTTTGTGGCTGATCAGTGTATTAGACTCAGAGATTAATTTCAGGTCGAAATATAGTTCTGCTGAATTCAGCCCATTCCTCTCATTTTCACAATGCTGTACAGCTTTCTACTATTTTGGAACAAAACAATAAGTGTATAACTGTATAATTGTACTATTATGCAAACAAATTTAAATAAAATATTCATGCGTAAAAAAACAAAACAACCCTCCCTACTATATCAAGCTACAAATATGAAATTATGCCGCTATTTGACAAACATACACATCTCTTACCTTCACAATGGATTCACTTTGTTTAAATGCAACAAATTTGTCAAGATGGATAAGGAAACTGTTAATTCCTGTATGGTCTAGAAAGTCCATATTTTTACTAATTACCCTGTGCGGTGGTCCCTGTTGAAGACACACACAAATCATGCTGTTAAAACATTTGAATATACAATGAGTAAAAGTAATAAAATCCTTTTTTGCTCACAAGACATAATATTGAATCTTAATGAACAGTTTAATGAAAAGTTTGTAAGGTTAATATTTCTTCTTTCTCAATAGAACAGAGAGAGAGAAAAAAAAAGTTTTAAAAGATGGGGGTCCAGTTTCTTTCTGAGCCCAGCACTTTGCATTCTACTTACTTCCCATAAATGGGTGCCCATTTCTAAGTTTTGTATGTTTTTTTTTACCTCTTGCATGAGGATTGAGGTATGTAGTACCGGCAATACATATGATGTAAAAATTGACTTGTCCATGTCTGTAGATAATGTATGCTATAGAAAAAAACAATAACAATACATTAAAATAAAATGTATAATGATAAAGCAAGAAAAGTAAAAGTCGTAAATAATGAATAGGTTAATTTTATTTCTAACAAGCCTAACACATTCAGTGCAAAATTACTAAAGATTATTCTTTGTATGAACTTATAATATCCTACTATTGTAAAGATAATGTATAGGATGGTGGAGTAATATTAACGATGATTAGAGAACTCACATAACTGTTAATGGAATCCACTTATCTTAGTTGGATAACACAATGTTATGGGAAGTTGAAGAGGAAAGTGACTGTGCATTGCATGACATTTCAAGAAAGACTGTGTAGTATATGGGCCAGAGGACCTTAAACATAGAACATAGAAACATTGAATGTGACGGCAGATAAGAACCATTCGGCCCATCTAGTCTCCCCAATTTTCTAAATACTTTCATTAGTCCCTAGCCTTATCTTATAGTTAGGAGAGCCTTATGCCTATCCCACGCATGCTTAAACTCCTTTACTGTGTTAACCTCTACCACTTCAGCTGGAAGGCTATTCCATGCATCCACTACCCTCTCAGTAAAGTAATACTTCCTGATATTATTTTTAAACCTTTGCCCCTCTAATTTAAGACTATGGCCTCTTGTTGTGGTAGTTTTTCTTCTTTTAAATATAGTCTCCTCCTTTACTGTGTTGATTCCCTTTATATATTTAAATGTTTCTATCATATCCCCCCGTCTCGTCTTTCCTCCACGCTATACATGTTACTATCCTTTAACCTTTCCTGGTAAGTTTTATCCCGCAATCCATGAACCAGTTTAGTGGCCCTTCTCTGAACCCTCTCTAAGGTATCAATATCCTTCTGAAGATACGGTCTCCAGTACTGTGTACAATACTCCAAGTGAGGTCTCACCAGTATTCTGTACAATGGCATGAGCACTTCCCTCTTTCTACTGCTAATACCTCTCCCTATACAACCAAGCATTCTGCTAGCATTTCCTGCTGCTCTATTACATTGTCTGCCTACCTTTAAGTCATCAGAAATAATCACCCCTAAATCCCTTTCCTCATATGTTGAGGTTAGGACTCTATCAAATATTCTGTACTCTGCCCTTGGGTTTTTACGTCCAAGATGCATTATCTTGCACTTATCCACATTAAATGTCAGTTGCCACAATTCTGACCATTTTTCTAGTTTACCTAAATCATTTGTCATTTGGCTTATCCCTCCTGGAACATCAACCCTGTTACATATCTTAGTATCATCAGCAAAAAGACATACCTTACCATCAAGACCTTCTGCAATATCACTAATAAAAATATTAAAGAGAATGGGTCCAAGTACAGATCCCTGAGGTTCCCCACTGGTGACAAATCCACGTTTTGAATATATTCCATTAACTACAACCCTCTGTTGCCTGTCACTCAGCCACTGCCTTACCCGTTCAACAATATTGGAATCCAAACTTAAAGATTGCAGTTTATTGATAAGCCTTCTATGTGCAACAGAGTCAAAAGCCTTACTGAAATCTAGGTAAGCAATGTCTACTGCACCACCCTGATCTATAATTTTAGTTACCCAATCAAAAAAATCAATAAGATTAGTTTGGCATGATCTCCCTGAAGTAAACCCATGTTGTCTCTGATCTTGAAATCCATGTGTTTTTAGATGTTCAACAATCCTATCCTTTAACATGGTTTCCATCACTTTCCCCACTACTGAAGTAAGGCTTACTGGCCTATAGTTGCCCGACTCCTCCCTATTACCTTTCTTGTAAATGGGCACAACATTCGCTAACTTCCAATCTTCTGGGACTACTCCTGTTAACAATGATTGGTTAAATAAATCTGTTAATGGTTTTGCTAGTACACCACTAAGCTCTTTTAATAGCTTTGAGTGTATTCCATCAGGTCCCATTGACTTATTTGTCTTTACTTTTGACAGTTGAAATAGAACCTCTTCCTCTGTAAACGCAGGTGTAATAAATGACTCATTTATCCTTGTTCTTAACTGAGGTCCCTTTCCTTCATTTTTATCTGTAAATACAGAACAAAAATATTCATTGAGACAGTCAGCTAGACCTTTATCCTCTTCTACATACCTTCCTTATTTTGTTTTTAATCTAACTAATCCTTGTTTTACTTTTCTTTTCTCATTTATGTATCTAAAAAATGTTTTGTCCCCTTTTTTTACTGACTGTGCTATTTTCTCTTCTGTGTGTGATTTGGAAGCTCTTATATCTGGCTTAGCCTCTTTCTGCCTAATCTTATAGATCAGTTTGTCTTCCACACTCTTGGTTTTTTTATAATTCCTAAATGCTATCTTTTTGATTTTATCTATTTTGGCCACATCTGCGGAGTACCACAGTGGTTTCTTGAATTTTTTGCTTTTACTGACAAGCCTAATGCAATTTTCTGTTGCCTTCAATAGTGCAACTTTTAAATAATCCCATTTCTCTTGGACTCCATTTAAATTGCTTCAGTCTGATAATGACTCCTCTACCCATATTCTAAGTTTAGAAAAGTCTGTTTTTCTAAAGTCTAAAACTTTTGTTTTTGTGTGGTGTGACTCAGTCACTGTTCTTATATTAAACCACACTGACTGATGATCACTGGATCCTAAACTTTCACCTACAGTAATATCTGATACCAAATCTCCATTTGTTAGCACTAAATCTAGTATGGCCTCTTTACGAGTTGGCTCCTCAACAACTTGTTTTAGATACAATCCCAGTAGGGAGTTTAGAATATGTGTGCTCTTGGCACAAGTAGCTAATTTTGTTTTCCAATTTACATCAAGAAGAATAAAGTCACCCATGATAATAACTTCCCCCTTCATTGTCATTTTAGCTATTTCCTCAACTAGCCTATAAATCACACCTACACGAGTTACTGTGTGATTACCAAATTCTAACGTAACCCAAACGGACTCTATGTTTGCCTCACTAACTTTTATTAGGCTACATTTTATACTATCCTTCACATACAGGGCCACCCCTCCCCCTTTCTTACCTTCCCTATCTTTTCTATATAAAGAGTACCCTGGTATTGCTATGTCCCAGTCATTTTTCTCATTATACCATGTCTCAGTAACAGCGACTAAATCTACACTATCAGTTGCCATTATTGCCACAAGTTCATGGATCTTATTCCCTAAACTGCGAGCATTTGTAGACATGACTCTAAGCTTATCATTTTTTAACACACTTGCTACAGGCACCTTCTGTCCTTGTTTTGGGGACAATTGGATTGATGTTTTATCACCCTTTTGCCCCCCCCTCCTAGTTTAAATACATCCTAGCAAAACCTCTGAACTGCTCACTGAGAACATTTGTTCCCTTTTGAGAAAGATGCAAACCATCTTTTTTGTACAGCTTATTTCCATTCCAAACAGAGCTACCATGAGAAATAAAGCCAAATCCTTGCTCCCGACACCATTCACCAAGCCACAAATTAAAGTCCCTAATACGCATCCGCCTGTCGTTCTGAGTGTTATGCACAGGCAGAACTTCAGAGAATGACAGTGTGGAAGCAACCTGCCGTATATCATTGGCAAAAACACTAAAAACTTCCTTAACCTCTGAAACCTCATTGCAAGCCAAGTCATTTGTCCCTAGATGGACAAGTACATCCAATTCCCCTTCCTGCTTTGCTTGCTTAACAATATTACAGATACGTCTCCTGTCTCTGTGAGCAGTAGCTCCGGGAAGACACCTCACAAGACCACCATTGTCCATCTCCACAACTCTTATGATGGAATCCCCTGACAACAACTGTTTTCTATTAGGCCTCACCATAGTCTCCAAGCCGGTCTCCACAACACCACTAGCCTCAGGGCCTCTCTCCACAACACCACTAGCCTCCGTGCCTCTCTCCACAACACCACTAGCCTCCGTGCCTCTCTCCACAAAACCACTAGCCTCCGTGCCTCTCTCCACAAAACAACCACTAGCCTCAGTGCCTCTCTCCACAACACCATTACACTCTGAAAGTGCAGAAAATAAATTATGTAGAGAAACAGACTGTGCAAAATGCCTTTTATCCACAACTCTAAGTCTACCAGATCCTACAGTAATCCATCTGCCATTCCTAGTATGTCTCTGCGGCAGTGGCTTTGCAGCAGTTCCAGTCTGAGTTTGTTCACCACATAATTTACAAATCTCAGACTTCAAAAATACAATCTCCTGCTGCAAGATTGTCAGGGTACCTGTTGGTGCTGAATCCAGGGAAGACATCCTCTCTGTTTAGGGGCTCCCTGCCCCTAGCATTTCGGCATATTCCGGCCGTTTTCGCGCCGGCCGCGCTAGCTCCTCCCCCTTTTATGACGCGACGGCTAGCGTCGACGTCATGACGTCGGCATTTGCATAAAGTGCCGGGAACCGCTATTCCGGACCTTTTGGGGGCGTGGTCTCTATTTAGGTAACAGGGTATTTAAAGGAAACCTTTACTACTGCTCATTGCCCTGTCGTGGTTCTAGCTTGCTAGTCACTCAGCGCGTTCTTTATCTTGTGTTTCTGGTTTTGACCCTTGCTTGTCTTTTGTCCTGTTGTCCTCTCCTCTCCTTTGACTCGGCTTGTATCTCGCTTACCTGTCCTCCGGCTCCCTCGACCTCGGCTTACCTTTTGACTATTCTTGCTTTGTCCCTACGTTAGTCCGGCCATTCTAAGGTCCGGTATACGTACCTCCTTCTGTCCGCACTCTGCGTATTGGATCCCTGTCAGTATCCTGACATTACGACAGGGCCAAATGGATCCTGCAGGTGCTAGTCCTCCTGACCCCAGATTTGAGGCCATGGACCATAGAATGGACCAAATGGCTTTAGCATTACAAACTTTGTTAACACGCTCCAGCACTCAGTCTGAAGAAATACGTTCCACTGCTAGCCACTCGCTAAGTACTGGTTTGGAAGTAGCCACTGTAGGCGCATCTTCCCATGTCACTTCACCGTTACGATATGGGGGTTCGCCTGATGCTTGTCGTGGTTTTTTAAACCAGATAAGCATACATTTCGAACTTCAACCCCGGGCTTACCCTACTGACAGGGCTAAAGTAGGCTTTATTATAACCCTGCTAATAGATAAAGCACTTAGATGGGCCAATCCCCTTTGGGAGAATGACAATCCTTTAGTCTACAACTACACTGCTTTTGTCACGGCTTTTAGAAGAACCTTTGACCCCCCAGGAAGGAAGATTAATGCGGCCAGATCCCTGTTACGCCTTAAACAACAGAATAGGACCCTTGTAGAATATGCTCTAGAGTTTAGATCATTGGCAGCAGAAGTGAAATGGAACGAACAAGCTTTTATGGATGTATTCTTGAATGGGTTGTCTGATGAAATTCTAGATGAGATTGCCACAAGAGAACTTCCGGAAAATTTAGAGGATTTAGTATCCTTCATTTCCAGAATAGATGAACGCATGAGACAGAGGCAGAACACTCGGGAAAGAGTTACTAGACTTCCTGTAAGACTCGCTCCCTCATTTCAGAACCCTGACTCCTATAATCCTACTCCACCAGAACCTATGCAAATAGGTAATACTCGCTTATCTGAAGCTGAGAGACAGTACAGAAGAAGGGAGGGTCTTTGTTTATACTGCGGGCAGAGAGGTCACCTACGTCTTAGTTGCCCTAATCGTCCGGGAAACGCTCGCACCTAAGTTCCCTTAGAGGACGGGCCTTGGGTGTTTCATTACTGTCCTCTATGCATAATAAAAAAGACCATAGGCTTCTGATTCCTGTCTCTCTAGCTTGGGAAAAGGGGTTTATTTCTACGATGGCATTATTAGATTCTGGAGCAGCAGAAAGCTTTATAGACCAAACTTTCGCTAATAAGCATTGTATCCCAGTCCAATTGAGAGATACACCCTTGGCCGTTGAGGCCATAGATGGTAGACCTTTATCTGAACCAGTAATATTCCATGAGACCAAACCCGTTAAGCTTACTGTTGGTATTTTCCACGAGGAGTTGATTTCCCTTCTGTTAATTTCCTCCCCGGCAGTCCCAGTGGTGCTAGGATATTCTTGGCTCAAGAGACACAACCCTCAGATTGACTGGGAGGGTGGAGAAATCGTTTCTTGGGGTATGGGTTGTAGGAAAGAATGTCTGCAGAGAGTTACTTCTGTTTGCCCCGTAAACTCTTATGCTAACACTTCCCAATCCACAGACGTTCAGATACCATTACAATATCTAGACCTCAAATCTGTATTTGACAAGGGTAAGGCGGATACTTTACCTCCCCACCGGTCTTATGACTGTTCTATTAAACTTTTCCCTGGTACTATGCCTCCCAGGGGTACGGTATACCCTCTATCCACCAAGGAAAACTTAGTTTTAGAGGAATACATCAAGGAGAATTTAGACAAAGGATTTATTAGAAAGTCTTCTTCTCCGGCGGGGGCGGGTTTCTTTTTTGTAGAAAAGAAAGACGGTACCTTACGTCCTTGTATAGACTATCGGGGATTGAACAAAATTACTATCAGGAATGCTTACCCTATTCCTTTGATTACTGAACTCTTTGACAGACTAAAGGGCTCGAGTATTTTTACCAAACTTGACTTGAGAGGAGCATATAACTTGGTGCGAATTAAACAAGGAGATGAATGGATGACAGCATTTAATACCCGTTACGGGCATTATGAGTATACCGTAATGCCGTTTGGGCTTTGTAACGCCCCGGCCGTCTTCCAAGACTTAATCAATGAGGTTCTTAGAGAATTCCAACATGAATGTGTAATTGTATATTTGGATGATATACTAATCCATTCTAGAGACATTAATTCACATCATAGACAAGTCAGAAAGGTATTACAGAAACTTTTACAACATGGATTGTATTGTAAATTGGAAAAATGTAGCTTTGACCAGTCTCAGGTAACTTTCTTAGGTTACGTAATTTCCAAAGACGGGTTTATGATGGACCCGACCAAACTAAAATCGATTTTAGATTGGCCTTTACCTAAGGGACTCAAAGCCATACAAAGATTTCTTGGATTTTCTAATTATTACAGACGTTTTATTAAAGGGTACTCCTCTGTTATCGCTCCTATCACTAATATGACCAAACAAGGAGCCGATACCAAAACCTGGTCTACTGAGGCTTTATCTGCTTTCGAAACGCTCAAACAGTCTTTTGCCTCAGCACCTGTATTAGTTCATCCTGATACCTCTCTACCCTTTTTACTTGAAGTTGATGCGTCTGAAACAGGGATAGGCGCAGTGTTGTCCCAAAGACAAAGTTTAGATAAGCCGCTGCACCCTTGCGTTTTTTTTCTCCAAGAAACTATCGCACACTGAAAGGAGATATGATATTGGTGATAGAGAACTTTTAGCTATCATTATGGCATTAAAGGAATGGAGACATTTGTTAGAGGGCACTGTCCTCCCAGTTACTATCTTAACTGACCACAAAAATTTATCGTATATGGGGGAGGCCAAAAGATTATCTGCCAGGCAGGCACGTTGGTCTATGTTCCTTACACACTTTAATTATATGCTTACTTACAGGCCTTGTTCTAAGAACACTAAGGCAGACGCTTTGTCACGTCAGCACGAACCTATCACCTCTACAGAGGACACTTTGTTCCCTATTATTCCTGAAGTCAAGATTATCGCCAACACCAATGTCAAAATACACTCTCCATTGCTCGCTGATATTATGAACGAACAATCTCTTGCTCCCGAACGTACTCCTGTGGGCCGCTTGTTCGTGTCTCCCAAATTCCAAGTGGACATTATTCGCTGTTTTCACGATAGCAAGTTCGCTGGTCACCCCGGCATCCACAAAACTTACTGCCTGATCTCCAAAGACTTCTGGTGGCCTGGTTTACGTAGGGATGTGGAAGACTTTGTCAAGGCTTGCAATGTTTGTGTCAGGAATAAACTTCCGCGGGATCTCCCTTGTGGTTTATTGCAGCCCTTAGTCGTTCCCAACAAACCTTGGGCTTGTTTGGCTATGGATTTTATTGTTGATCTACCAGCTTCCAGTAGGCATACGGTTATTCTCATGGTCCTTGACAGGTTTACTAAAATGGCTCATTTCATTCCCTTGCCCAAACTTCAGTCCTCTCCTGAACTGGCCGTGATTTTTGCTAGAGAAATTTTCCGTTTACATGGTATTCCCAATGAGATTGTGTCAGACAGGGGTTCCCAATTTATTTCCCGTTTTTGGAGATCCTTCTGTTCCCAGTTGGGCATCAAACTGAATTTTTCTTCGGCCTATCATCCTCAATCTAATGGAGCAGCCGAACGCACTAACCAAAAAATTGAGCAATATCTACGTTGTTTTGTTTCTGAACACCAGGATGACTGGGTCGGTCTGATTCCTTGGGCGGAGTTTGCTCACAACAACCTTGTTTGTGGTTCCACTCGTAATAGCCCCTTTTTCTTGAACTATGGCTTTAACCCTACTGTTCTTCCGTCGGTGTCTCCTTCCCAGGGTATACCGTCGGTTGATATTCATATAGCCAACCTGAGAAAGTTGTGGGATCAGACTCGACAAATTCTTACACGTAGTTCCGCGGTGTTTAAGTCACATGCTGATAGGCGTAGGCGGCCTGCTCCTATTTTTTCTCCGGGTGATAGGGTCTGGTTGTGTACCAGACACATTCGCCTGAAAGTTCCTTCCTTGAAGTTTGCTCCTCGTTACATTGGTCCTTACAGGGTGCTGAGGAGGATCAACCCGGTTTCTTATTTGCTGGATCTGCCTCCTACTCTACGCATCCCTAACTCTTTTCATGTGTCTTTATTGAAACCTCTTGTTTGTAACAGATTTTCCTCCCGCTCTGCTCCTCCATCCTCGGTCCGTGTGGATGGTCAGGAGGAATATATCATCAAGTCCGTCCTTGATTCTCGTATTTCTAGGGGGAAGCTGCAATACCTCATAGACTGGAAAGGTTATGGTCCAGAAGAGAGGTCTTGGGTTCCTGGTATAGACGTGCATGCCCCTCGTCTTCTTCGGGCCTTCCATGTTCGTTTTCCTTCTAAGCCCGGTCCCATCCGCCCGGTGGGCGTTTCTAGAAGGGGGGGTACTGTCAGGGTACCTGTTGGTGCTGAATCCAGGGAAGACATCCTTTCTGTTTAGGGGCTCCCTGCCCCTAGTATTTCGGCATATTCCGGCCGTTTTCGCGCCGGCCGCGCTAGCTCCTCCCCCTTTTATGACGCGACGGCTAGCGTCGACGTCATGACGTCGGCATTTACATGAAGTGCCGGGAACCGCTATTCCGGACCTTTTGGGGGCGTGGTCCCTATTTAGGTAACAGGGTATTTAAAGGAAACCTTTACTACTGCTCATTGCCCTGTCGTGGTTCTAGCTTGCTAGTCACTCAGCGCGTTCTTTATCTTGTGTTTCTGGTTTTGACCCTTGCTTGTCTTTTGTCCTGTTGTCCTCTCCTCTCCTTTGACTCGGCTTGTATCTCGCTTACCTGTCCTCCGGCTCCCTCGACCTCGGCTTACCTTTTGACTATTCTTGCTTTGTCCCTACGTTAGTCCGGCCATTCTAAGGTCCGGTATATGTACCTCCTTCTGTCCGCACTCTGCGTATTGGATCCCTGTCAGTATCCTGACAAAGATAGAGAACTGTCTACAGATTAGACAACAACCAAACCTCCAAAAAGTGGAACGTGAAACAAATGCATAGCAACTATTACACTGAACTAAGTCTGCCATTCCAATGAGGAGAATAATTTAAATCAAACAAAGCTTAACTTTTTATTTATCCTCCTGAATACCTCAGATTACCTCCAGGTTATCTCCAGAATATCTCCAACCACACACGTAGAAGCAACACTTAGATGAAGCAACCAAGCTATATTAGCCAAGCTAATGACAACAACCTTTATATAACTCTAAAATCACCACCCACTAGGAACGTTTAAAACCTGGGTAGGCCTCTGCTTATTTGCAAACAATAGCTAATTTAAACAGCAATCAATAGCAAGTAACTAATCAAATCAAATGCCTTATAATTACCAACAGGAATTCAAACCGTGTGCAATCAGTAACCTTTTCATACAGATGAATCTTACCTGTAACAGTAGAAAAGAAGCTACTGTAAAACTCTCCAGAATATCTCCAACTACACAATTAGAAGCAACACTTAGATGAAGCATCCAAGCTATATTAACCAAGCTACCCTGACACTATTTAACCTACAGTTATTAATGCACCTACAACCCAGTGCACCATTAATGTTTTCCAAAGTAAGAACAGAGTTTGCACTAGAAAGGGAAATTATTTTTTTTGACAATCTTTATTTTTACATTTTTTTGTTTGTGCAAGAGTAAATAGATAGCAATACGATACATAACAACATTATAAAGTCAACAATTGTCTGTGGGACAATGATGACAGAGTACGTCTATCTGACATTTCTGTCTATCTATGGTATGAGTGTAAGTTCAGACAGGTAGCGATTACGTTATTAGCCAAGTAGGAACAATATTAAGATATATCTGAAACACATTTTAGGCGTATCATAAGGTAAAGGCGTTTGCAAGCATTTATAGCAACTGTGATGATCGCATCTTAGGGTATGACAGTTTAAGGCATTGGCGTGGACCGTGTGAGTTATGATGGTGAAGAATGATTAGATTTCTACTGGCCGTGTGCATCTAGAGTATCTCGTCTTGTGAGTGGTAACAGTAGGGTGGTAACTATAGGGCCATTAATGATGTTTTATGTCTCACTACGTTTAGTTTAAGGCGTGAGGCCTGGGCGTCTAGAGCCGTACTATTGCATCACAGATATGGTCTGTGGGACTGAGTTGGACAGCCTGGTCATTTGGTTGATCTTTCGCTTCTCTAGATGCAGGATGTTTTAAGCGGGTTTTTTACTAAGGGATAGGTAAGGGGAAGGGTTCAGGGAACAAGTAGAGGGAGAATAGGCAGTGTGAGGTAATTAACAGGTATGGGGGTTATGAAGCCTCGGTCTCTCCCCCAGCCCCCTGCGCGCCCGGCCCCCCAGCCCCTCTCGAGATGAACTCAACCCATGGGAACCAGGTCTGGGCGCATTTATCGGAGCGACCCTGCAGTGAGGCTGTCATCATTTCCATGTTTTAGATGTCCTCTACTCTGGCCACACATTGCTGGAAGGTGGGTGCATCCGTTCGCTTCCATTGTGTTGGGATTAAGGATTTGGCTGCTGTGAGTAGGTGTATAATAAGGATCTTTTTGTATGCTGTCAAAGGGATTGTTGTGTGATTGAGGAGCATCGTCAGTGGCAGTAGGGCTAGGTCTGAATCAGTAATTTCCCTAATCTTATCGTTAATCAGCCACCAGAAGAAGGCTATGAGTGGGCATGTCCACCAGATGTGTATTCCAGTGCCAGCGTCCGTTCCGCACCTCAAGCAGTCACCTGAGATAGATTTGTGTACGTGTCAGAGGGTATCCGGGGTCCTGTACCAGTGTATCAGGAGTTTGTAGCTGGTCTCTTGATATTTGGTGCATATGGATCCTTTATGTGTCAGTAGGAAGATTTTATCCCACTCTTGTTCTGTGAGTTCAGTCCCCGTGGCCCGTTCCCACTTTGCAGTGAATCCCGGTGGGGGTCTGTCTCCGCTGGACATCAGTGTGGTGTATAGGGTTGACACCCCGTGTTGTAGGTGTTGTCTGGTTGTGCATAAGTGTTCCATATTCGTCAGGGGTTTGTTTAAGGTAAAGGCCTTACCCTTGATGGCTGTGTAATAGGTCTCAATCTGGTGGTATTGAAATTTGTCTAGCAGGGTAGGTCTGTGGTTCGGGAGCAGGTCTGTTATCGGTTTGAGAGTGTTTGCAGTGCTCCATTTGTGTATGTAGACCCAGTCAGTTGCTTGGAAATTTCTCAGAGCGGTGGGGTGCAGCCCCCCCGCCAGATCTGGGTTATGTGTGATAGGAGTGAGCGGGCTAGGTGAGGTTGTTAATTGTCAGGAGAACCGTAGGGAGCACCAGACACAGTCATGCATCGATCATGGGGTTACCTGTGCGGGTTTCTGCATACGTGGCGCTCCCGTGCCAGAGCCTGGATGGAATCCTTCCTTGTGCCTGGTGGACCTTCATGTGTACCCATAGTTTCGAACTCAGTCATGCGTGCCAGTCCACCAATCGTTGCAGATGATTGGCGTGATAGTATGTGAGCAGTTATGGAAGTCCCGTGCGGCCTTCGCTCTTTGGCCTCTCCAAGATTGTTCTACGGATCCGGGTAGGCCTTTGATTCCACACGAATCGTTGGATTGCTGTTGTCAGAGAATGGAATAAATCCCTTGGTAAAGATGTTGGGGTAGTCTGGAATAGGTACAATAGGCGGGGAAGCACGTTCATCTTAACCGCGCTGATGCAACGAACCATGAGGTGTAGTGGGTTGACCATCTGTGGAGATCCTTCTGCAGTGTTGTGAGAATTGGGAGGTAATCCGTATGGTATAAATGTGTAAGGTCGGTCGGCAGCCAGATGCCGAGGTATCGTAGTTTAAGGGCGCATAGCTTAAAATGGAATTGCGTGTGGAGTCGGCTGTGTTGGTCAGAGTTCCAAGTTATTAACATGGCTTCAGATGTGCACAGGTTAAGTTTTATATTGGATACAAGGTTGTACTTCCTGAAAGCTTCCAGTAGGTTTGGTACGGAGATCCCTGGTTGTTCTAGGAAGAAAAGCATATCGTCAGCATAGGCTGCCACCCAATGCTCTTCCTCGCCCGCGTGGAGTCCCGTGATTCCCCCATCTCGTCTGACCACATCAAGAAAGGGTTTGAGAGAGAGGCCAAACAGGAGGGGGGACAGGGGGCATCCCTGTCTGGTGTCATTGTGGATGGTAAAAGGTTTTGTCAGTGTCCCATTGATGCGTATGTGTGCCATTGGGGAGGTGTATAATGCCACCACCCAGGTCCGTAATGTTGGACCAAAGCCCATGCATCGTAGGGTCTCCGCCATGTAAGTCCAATCCACCCGGTCAAATGCCTTTTTGTCATCGTTGGAGAGGAGCACCACATCTCTTCCGGTGTGCTTGGCAATGTGGATGACGTTGAGGACTCTTATGGTGTTGTCTCTCGGTTCCCGTCCGGGCATAAATCCGACTTGGTCGGGGTGGATGTGGTCCGGTAATATCTGCGTAAGTTGGATCGCTAAGGCCTTCGTGAATAGCTTTAAGTCAGCGTTCAGGATGGAAATCAGTCAGTAACTAGCGCAGCAGGTCGGATCTTTGCCCTCCTTAGAGATGACCACCACAATTGCAGCCAGGGTATTTCCATTTTATTTTAATTTAAAAGCAGAGGGTCTTTTAGACTCTACTATCAGTTAGGTTTGGAAAATGTCCTCTCCTCTTCATTTAACATGGAGTAGAGGGAACTATAGAGCTTCCCCCTTGGTGGTGGGATTAAGGGTAAAATTAAACAAGGATTTTCAAGGCAATAATGGAATATATTATGCCTCTACAACAAGAACAGACTTCAGTCATGTGCTCTGCAATCCTCCACAACATGAGTTAGTTTTTATTTTCTTGCAATAATGTTTGGTTTCTTTTCCAATAGATTTAGTGATCAGTTTCTAGTTATTGTATGATTATTTTCATGGGTTACCAAAAACAATACCGAGCCAAATAGAGAAGAGGGGAGTTGCCTGAGGTAGGAAGAAGGGTAAGGAGTGAGAGTTGCAGGGGTTGGGTGGAGGTAACCTACTGGAAAGCACAGCTTAGATCCAGTATTGTAATCATGTCTGTATATGACAGGGGTAGTCAACTTTCAGATTGTTTTGGACTACATCTCCCATGATGCTTTGACAGCATTCTAGCTGTAGGAGCATGGGAGATGTAGTCCACAACTTTTGGAGTGCCGAAGGTTGCCTACCCCTTGTATAGGAAGTAGGCTTTTTTCAAAGCAATATTTGTTTAAACCGATCAATAGAAATTGTTACAATCCAGTGGGACCAAATCTGAGTGTATGTTTCTACTATGTCTGTGGTGCTGGGAATCAAATTTGTCCTATATCTAATGTGATGAAAGGACTGAGCACCCACTATCCATATAGTTTCTTAACACAAGAAGGCACTCTCTGATCTTATAAATAATGAATACAGTCAGAGAGGTTGGGCACCATATGTTTTCATAGTTACCTAATAGAACCAAAATGATTGGGTGTTCTCTGTCCAGTTAGCTTGTAGGGCCAGAGGGGCTAGGCTAGTATAAAGACAGGAACTTAAGAACCCCAAACTTGCTATTTAATTATAACCCCAATGCCACTAACCAGTTTCTGTGGTTCAGTTGGCTCCACATCCACTTAATGGCAGGTTAATGAATTGGAGCCCATTCAAATAATAGTGGTATCCCAAGGACCCAATGCTTTTTATGATAACTAAAAATACATGGGGGAGAGTTATTTGTCTCTAGATTATTCATTAAAGTAACATTTTAAATTTTTTGGAAAAATGTATCTCTGAATGTGGTCATATACATTGGATGGAGTACGTTCATCACAATTGAGTCTAATGTTTCTGCAAAATTATTTGTGTACATGATTGTGCTAGTTCAATGACAGATTAAAAAAACCTTAAGCTAAACAAATCTTAAACTTGTATATACTGATTATGTATACCCTAGCAGAGATACTAACCAGATCCAGTAATTTACAGAGTTCTTCTGTTTCTAAGGACCGTTTTGATTCCTCCTGCTTAAGAAGATTTTTAATTTTGTCTTTATTATTTTCCCCAAATTGAAAGTTTGTATCCTAGAAAAAAAGGAAACATAAATGTGTAATTGAAATATATCTTCTACATGACACCAACATAAATAATATGCAAAGCAATTGTAGTTAGATGGGTCCCACCATTCCATATGGGTCAGGTTAAGTTGGCTTAGAAACCTCCTGCAGATGGTGCATAATGAGGGGTGCAGGGAGCTTGACTGAGTTATTAGGCATGCAAATTCACCACACTTCAGCCTCGATTTAATTCTATCGACAAAACCCAGTTTTTTAATCACATTTTTCTGGCCATGGCTAGGGGTACAGGGGGAAACTCTGTCCCCTCTGCTTTAATATTTTATATAGAGCCCCTCCATGGGGGCACGAAGACACTAAGTATCCCCTTTATTATTTTAATTAGGGCATTCTGAATGGGCAAGGGAATGGACAGCGATCTGTCCATCTCCTGTTCTTTAATGTGATGACTCCACTTAATGCCCTTGGGTGGGCACATGGAGTGGCGTGTACCAGGTCCCCCCTGTACATTACTATTGGCAATAGCTGCCCAAGCTCTAGCCTTTTATTACAGTGAGCAGTCACTGTTTAGCAGAGATTCTCACACATACAGCATGGTGTGTGGTGGCATGGGGGAGATGTAAAACCTCCCTTGTACTGATATGGTGGTTGGCTTCTTTTTAACTATTTATCCCCTGCCCAATGGTCACATAGTAAAAAAAATAAAAAATAAGCATTAATCAACAGCATTTATATGTCGAATTCTATAGGCCCATGTAATGGTTGTTTCAGATAAGTTATTCTTAATGATATTATTTATCTGCAGAAATTAAATCAATCAAAAAAATGATAGAAGCCTTATCCGTAGCAGATAAACTGCCAATATTATGTATTGGCAGAATTGTAATTAAAGCATCCTTTGTTAGCATAAAGTATGTAACAAGGACATACCCTTCAACAACACAAGATAATTTGATGATTTTGGCCTGAGATGGACCGTATACTGGAGATTTGCCTTGCTAACTACTCATGAAGAGAATCAGGATCTATATTAGGTTTTGTTAACCGACTACAAAAGAAAGTGAAACCTTACATATCACAGGGGCTGGCTACTTAGTGGAACTCCAGGTTACAATTAACCCAATAGATTTAATTGCTAGACTCTCTTCCCCTATACTAACAGAGACTCTGCTTTACATTCCAACCTGACATATGACAGAATGGACCACAGAGTAAGCTATTATCTATGAGATAGGATCACAGTTAGGGGATTCTGTGGGTAAGGGACATCTAAAATATTGAAAAGCTGAAATAGCTTTTATTGTTGGCATTTATAATGCATTCAGGAATCCCCCCAGATATTTAACCCCCACAATACCTTTTCTGGATATGCAAGGAACATCAGTGAATAAAACTTAGGGTATTTCTTCCATGCCTTTATGAATTCACTGTTGAGCAGAATTTCTTTAACTTCTCTTTCTGCGATTTTAAAAGCAAATTCACTCATGACAAATATAGAATCAACCTGTAAGTCAAATACAAGATATTTAAAGAAATACTTATAAAAGTATCTATACGCACACACATACAAGTGTATGCATTTATTAAACATAATGTAGATAGAAAAAACACAGTTATACGCACTCTCTAGAATGTACAAGTGGACGGCAGCAGTAAACCAGCAGGACTTCCCAATACCTGCTATTAACCAGAAAGTGCAACAGTGGTGAACCGCGCCACAGAATAGTAAAGGATAATTAAGTATGAATAACAATATATACATACATACGGGGTATCCCAGTAAAAAGGTAGTAAGTATAAACCTTAAAAAGATAAAAAATAGAGACAATAATAGTGCAGTATATCTATGCAAGGTAATAATAAAATGAAATATTGATGAAAACCAGTAGAAGAACCAACTCACACTTTCCAGAGCTGCTAAGAGCTCTGCTGTATAACACCTGGACGGTATAATCCCCATCTAAGGATATAGGAGTGGTGGTGAGATCTGGTTTCCAAGGCTCCACAGGCATGCATAAAATAGAAGCACAAATAAAATCTAATAGTGTAATATGTACTGAGAATATTGAATAAAAGCAAAGGGTAAATACCCTACTTACAGTTTCCAGAGCTTCTTCTCCTCCAATGGCATCACTTACCTAAACAAGAAAGGTAGGTACTTCCTTCCACCTTCCTATGCCAGGTCCTGCCTTGTAGTACGTGGTATCGGCCATGGTTATGGCCATGCGTATGTAAGTGCTCATTAATGATGTTGGAGAAACAGGACATCACAGAGAGCTAAGCCTCAGATGACTTCTCTCCTTAAGGTATCCTTCCCTACTCAATGTACTGCATCTCAATCAAGTGATCTGGTTGCAGTGGCCCTGGAATTTTAGTCCTGCTATGTAAAACACTGTCATTTTGTAGATACGGCAATGTTTTCACTGCAAGAACAAGTGACGGTAACAGCCACTAGAGCATTTGATTGTAGACACACAGTACTTGCTGAGCATGCGCTCCTCATTCACAATGCTTCTCTCTGAGAAGCATTGGATTGAGCAAGAAGACAGAGGCAGAGCGGGCAGATGTTTTAAGAGTGGCTGCATTTTCCAGCTTGTTTGTACTTTATTCTCTTCCCACATCAATATAGATGTAATTTTTCGTGGTGTTTGGGTTTATAGGTAATAGTGAAGCAGTAGTCTATGGTCACATACATCCTTAACCCCTTAAGGACCAAACTTCTGGAATAGAAGGGAATCATGAAATGTCAAACATGCCATTGGTCCTTAAGGGGTTAAAGAAATATCCACAAAATTAATTGTTTTTAATCATTCCTTTACTCAAAGTGTAAGGGTAGTATAAAACTATGTGTAAACATGTAACCATTATACAAATGCTAAAATAAAAGCTTTTTATAATGTAGAGGATTAAGAAGGCATGAGTTGCCACCTACCGAATCCAAAGCCTTTTGTATGAAATCCATTGCCAGAGGGTCTGAGTCATCCGTTCCTGGCATCTCCAATATTTCCTTCCCACCATAGAGTATTTTACTAGGTATGTACACAACAATTTCTTTAACTGCTGCCACTCTATGTTTCCAGTCCAAGTTTTCACAGTTGTCAGCATCCTGTGGACTTGTTAGTCGTTTCAGATTAGCCTGAAAGTTGAATGCATTAAAATATAAAACATGTGCACATTATACAATTTATTAATTTGCTTTTAATACACCTCTATATTATATGTAAGTTAAATCCTCACTGCGTCCTATACCTGTAAATGTTTTATTAAATAAACCCTCTCTCTCACATCTCTCTGTTTACATGCTGGTCCCAGACTGTTCAGGGCGTCAGTCAGACCCTCTTCCTATGTATGCCATAATATAGTCCTGTAATGTACAGCACCTGGCATGGCTCAGTGTGTATAGTGCTGCTGAATGGCAGCCAGGATAGAGCAGGAGTTAGAAAAGGGCCTGGATACATATTAGAGCATATATCAAGGTCAGCAATCTGATTGCCTTTTGATACTAGCAGAAAAGTATTTGGCCCCATGCTGATTTTGAACATGTGTCCACTGACAAAGAAATGATCAGTCTATCATTTTAATGGTAGGTGTATTTTAAGAGTGAGAAACAGAATAACAAAACAAAATCCAGAAACACGCATGTCAAAAAAGTTATAAATTGATTTGCATGTCAATGAGTGAAATAAGTATTTGATCCACTATCAATCAGCAAGATTTCTGGCACCCAGGTGTCTTTTATGACACAAAATAACTGTCAGTCTCCCTCGGTGTGGTGCTCTATGCAAGATCTCACCTTGTTAAGTTTCAATGATCAGGAGGTGAGGAATCAGCCCAGAACTACATGGGAGGATCTTGTTAATGATCTCAAGTGAGATTCCGAATCTTTACTGTGGTTGAACACAGCTGATAAATGCAGAACAAGCTCTTCCACATAGGTGGTGTAGCCTGGTTTGCTCATCCAACCCTCTGTATGTGATGCACTTGGATCATTGGAGCATTTGTTCTGCAGTTATACTTTTCAGGAAAAAAATACTTTTGTTACATGAACCTTGTTATTTCTGAACAGAGGCTAGATCGTACTGGTTGTTATGAAAGTAGTCAGAAAAGTCTTGAGCAATGCATTTCTTTCATAATTTTTTTTTATTCATGCATAAACATTTATTTTTTTAAATTCTTTATCTAAAGATTTTCACGATAACATTACAAGATAGGTAAAGGTGAATTAGAATACAACAAAAGTATACCTCCCATAGATAGTATGGATACCATGTTTAGTAGGCACACATACGTCCGCTGAACAATTTGTTATCATGGTTTACATTTGGTTCATCATTAAGGAACGTTACAAAAACAGGTATTGATGTGGAGGTGGGTGGCATAACATAAGTAAAATGATTGATGCGATGCACCCACGGCATCATTTTAGCTTCTTGTATTGTTTTAGTTTTTAAAATCATTATTCTCTTTTTTTGTTTAAATGTACAACTAAGGTTAATGCCAACTTAAGTCTCATCTTAAGCAACATCGAAGACAACTGCCCAACTGGGCATAACCTGAAGCTGAAAACACAGAGTCAGCAGTACTCCTCCATGTGTACCTTGTAGCATGGAACGCAGTCACCTTTGTGGTCTGGCAGCCCCCATTCCTTCTGTTCCCTTGCTTGTGAGGCTCTAGCAGCCCTTGAGTTTGAGGCCTCCCACAACAGACCCCAGACCTGTATGGTAGTTAGGCCATCCTCTGGGAAATTCAGCATTGTTTTTTTTTGTAATTCTTTATTTTTGTCATGTCATAAAAGAATGCAAATCATATGTGGAATTCTGCATAGGTACAATAGCAAATCAACAATAGACAGAGATACATTTGTCGTGATAGGCATATGATCACAAAGACATGCAGTAGCAAAGTGTCTACCCTGGTCCTCAATTATGCGGTTGCGATGTTACCACGTCAATATATTGAGTCATTTTTTTATGATTTTATTAGAAAGCCACAGAATTTGTTAAGTTTTCATCTCTAGGGGAGCGCGGGACATGACTGTTACATCCTAAACATGTAGGCTCATATATTGTCGCCAGTGGAACGTTTCTCAATACCTTGCCGCATGTATGTCACGCGACATCCCAGTTGGATATTTTAGGACTGTAGTGGCTTATTCGCTCCCTCCGTATATATATAAACAAGTGATGCTTCAATATAAGGTAGGTGTGAAGGAGAGGCAAAAAAAAAGTGTATGAGGTAAGGTAAGTAATAGGAGAGAAAGAAGGCGAAGGAGAGCAGACCACCGTAGTTGGATGGACCGCGAGGGTGGGTGTATGAGGGGGCAAAGAAGAAGGGGCGGGGGAGAGGAGGGGAGGATAAGGAGGAGGAGGCAGGGACGGGCCCCATCAGGAGTACCCAGGCACCCACTGACGGCCGGCTCCACCGTGGCTAAGGGTCAGTCTGGATAAATTACTGTCAGGTTGCAAGGGTGAAAGACATCCAAGGCTTCCAAATCTTTTTGAATGTCTTCATTGTACCCCAGACTCTTGCTGTTAAGCTATCCATAAGGCAGGTGTCCTTAATTTTAATTATGACTGCCGCTACAGTGGGGACTCTAGGTTCTCTAGGTTTAAACCATGCCTGTGCTACCATTCTCCTCGCTGCTAGTATAATCTTATGCACTTTTGTTCGTGTCTGGTCCACCCTACTGTCGACCTGTTCCGAAGGTATACCCAAGGGGTCAAGGTCCTGCACTCTTAGAAAGATATAGGTTATTAGACCCTTAATGGTGCTACAGAATGTTTGGATATTGGTGCATTCCCACCACATGTGTATATATGTGCCCCTATGCCTGCATCCCCTCCAGCATGTGTCTGGTGGTGACATTTGCATTCTATGCAGGTTTACGGGAGTCGTGTACCAGCAGAACATCATATTAAGAGACTGTTCCTGGAAGGAAACCAAATGGATGTGGCGTTGTTGGCCTCCCAGATCTCCTGCCATTCTATTCCTTCGAGATCCTCCCCCAGATCCCTTTCCCACAGTTCCGTATAAGATAGATGACCCCATTCTTTCGTTCTAGAGCCTCCCCCAGATCCCTTTCACACAGTTCCGTATACTTTAGATGGCCCCATTCTTTCGTTTCAGTACTCAGTTGGGCTTAGAGTAAGTTAATTAAACCTTTCGGCATAGATTCACTCAGACATATCCTTTTGAAGAATGTTAAAGGTTTATGTGCCGTATATATTTTAAGTGAGTCTGTTTTGCATAGTCTACGTTGTACGTATCAAATTAAATTTGCGGGGGTCAAGTGTATTCTCTGTTTTAGGTCATCAAACTTAACTTAAATTCACGTATTTTGTGGCTGACGCGTCCCAAATTCAGGATTGCAGGACAATTGGTCTGTAGCATTATTCGATGGTCTTTGGGCACCCACATAAAGAATTGAGAGAGGCCCGTCCCCATGAGCAAGGACTCCAAATCTACCCCATCTGTCATCTATGGGGATATGCCACATCGCTACCTGTGCCAGTTGAGCAGAAATTCAGCATTGTTAAGGACAAATTTTACTAAACTAACAGGCTGGTGAAATATCCCCAGCGGTAAGCTAATTTGTGGTTGCATAGGGTCTGAGTCACCTGCGCAAATGATCTCCTCTTCCCCATTCTAGCAGCGCATAGATCCGCAAATAAGGCAAGGCCAGATAAAGGGTCTGGGAGCAACTTTAAATTTGTGGATGCCACCACCAGAGCTTCCTTGTATGTATAATAGTGAAGCCTCACTATCATGCCCCAGACCAAGTCTGGGACTATGGGATCCCGTGAGCGTGGTCAGTTCTAGCACCAGAGCTTTGAATAGAGATAGCAAGGAATCTTGCATACTCTCATGAGAGATAGATTCAAAGTCCCCCCTCACCCATACGTTGTTCCTCCGGAATCTGTCTTCTGCTTCCTCCACCTGGTATTTTTGTCCACTACTTTGTTAGGGGTTCCACAGAGCTCCTCAAGCCTGCATTTTCTGTATTCCATCCGCATTGAGGGTTGAACAGAAGCTCTGCAGCATCTTGTGGAACCTTTTTTTTAAGGCAGATAAGTGCTCAGACAGCTGAGACAGAATATCGAACTCGGATGCTGTGTCGATTTGCAGCAAGAACAAAAATGCATAAACACCATTCCCTGCCGTATTGGGGTTTTGTGGCCCTCCACCAATTTTGAGTGCTTCTGTGTCATGTTTTTGGGTCCAAGAGATCACAACTAATATTGCTCATGCTTTGATTTAGCTACTGCTGCCTAGTAGGTCTTTTTGTGCTAATGTCCTGGATACTCCCCCCCCTTTCCATCTTCTTTTCTAAAGGAATAGAATGTCCAGAGTGCTTACCATCACTGTTAACACTAGACTGAGTAAATTTAGCAGTCATAGGGTTGTCACTTTTCTTAAAAAAAAATATCGGCCATGCTAACTTGCATAATTAATTATATCCACATGACATCACAACACATGAAATTACCAGATGTTACGTAACATCACATGGTGTGACAATAGAGAAAGTGAAGTACATGTAAAAGGGGAATATTCCCCTATCTACAAAAGGATACTTCCAGTGTGTGTACAATGTCTGAATGTTCATGCAATTTAGTGTATGTGTAGCAGTGGATGTATTCTGTGTCTGAGTGTGTGTAGTATTCTGTGTATTTGTATAGCCATGTGTTTCATTGTATTAATACTGTCTGGTTGAGTGTGTATAGTAGTGTGTGCCTTCTGTGTCTGAGTGTGTGTGTGTGTCAGTGTGTGTATACTGTGAGTGTACGTGCTGTGTGTGTCATTGTGTGTGTGTATAACGTGTCATATATAATATTAGTGGATATTCTGGCTCCATTTCTTCCATCACTCTCCCAGAGTCTATTTAGAGAAAAATAGCAGCCAATGAATTGCTGGTATTTTTGACAGTATTCATCAGCCAGACAGCCTCAAATACCGGCTGTGCCTGTAAAATACTAGCCAAGTGGCAACCCTAAGCATTATTAACTTTATATGCACACATTTTTGGAGAATTTGAAGGTGACGTTATAGCTTGCTGTAATGTATCTGTCAGCAAAAGTATATTACATGCTAATGTATTGTTTGTTTACATTTAACCTCTAAACATCTTATTAATAATATAATAAAATAAATTATTATATAACAGCATCCAGTAAGTAAACAAACATTTAACATTTTCTATGAAACGAGAGTAATTGATGACTTCTGCTGTCCAGCCCAGGCCCAAATCATAAGTGTGCGAGTCCTCAGACCTGGCCATGACCCAAAAGTTGCACATCTTTCTGGGGGTCAACTTATCCAGCGAATATAGGCCTAAACATATATTAAGCCAAAACTGATATATCTGTCCATCACCATTTATTTTGTGAAATGACATAATAGAGTCTTGGTCTAGATTTATGATCACTTTTGAAACACATTTTACAGCAAGTATGAGATATTTCATTACATTTTGTTTTGGCAGAATATATATTGAACAGGAGAGCATTGCATTTGATATATTTACAAATCTAAATAAATATCAATTAGAATGTTACACATTACACTGTGTGGAATTTTGTTAATTGTTTTTTATAGGGAAAAGGAAGTATTGTGGTATACTAAGGCACATTTTGCATTTTATTATGTACACACTGGTATAGTATAGTGCTTTAAATAATAACAAAAATCATTACAAAATTATATATATATACAAAATTTCAAATATGTCCCGTTACCTGCAAGGCGAGACGGTCTGATACTGAATTTTTTCCACTTCCAACGTAAAGCTCTGTTTTCCCCGCAAACCTTTTAACATCTTCAGAGAGAGCAATATCCTCATACTTTTTAAATTTGTGAAGAAAATTCTAAATGATTGTGAAAAAAAGTACTTATTTCTAACATTTAAGTAGCGTATACCATTTTTAAAAAATGTAGTTTATCAACACAAACACCCTCCTTCAAACATGCACACAGCCTCCATACACATACAACACCATAGACAGCCTCCCCACACATGCACAACCCTGCAACCTGCCTTGTACTACTTTTGTCCTCTGGTACCACATTTATGGGGAATCTAGAGACAAGTCACCAGCAAACACAGCACAAATGTAACACTGAATCATTCACTTCGTAGTGTGTCATTAAATTCATGTCCGCTACACAAGACAAACACAACCCCTCCCACCAAAAAATAAAAGGGCATTTTTCACATCCAAGAGCAGGGCTCTGCACATGGGATGCCTTAGAATGCCTCATTTTGAAGGAGCATGCATAATGGCTTTGTCCGTCCCACTGTGCTGCTCTGCCTTTTAATGTCCGTGATTCAGCCCTGCCTGAAACTACAAGCAGACTGCTCAAACACCATGAGAGATTCCTATTTCATAAACTTTTGCACAGTAGACCTTAGGATGGGTGAAACTGCTCAGTAAACTAATAGCAGCCTTACCATAGCTGCTTTCAGGTTACCCACATCCAGATTCACTTATTAGTTCTACTATTTGCTATGAGCAGTTTGCATCTTGTCTCTGTCTCTTGAGAGCAGAGAGAGAAAGCTCAGTCCAAGTTATGAATATAGTGTGCAGACATTGCTGTTAAACCTGAATAAAATAAGCATTGCCAACCCGTAAACAAAACTTGTTTACCTGTTGATTGACAGGAGCTGAAGGGGAAGCTCTCGTCAATGAAATCAAATATGAAATTCAAAATTCAGTATTAAATACAGCCTGACTGTGACTCTGAGGGGAAGCATGCCACCTGAAATTTGGAATATATAGAGGTACACCTGCAACACTGATGTATTTCTCTGTATTGTGGGACAGTCCTGGTCAAACTGGGACATATAGCTGCAAGTTGCATGAAAATATCTAGTAGGCCAGAAATGTCAGGCAGGTTGGTACTTTGAGATGTGAAATCTACTCTCCATATAGTACATATTAAAAATGAATTCATACCTCATTGATGTTAGAGACACCATTGTTCGTTAGAAGAGCAAATCTGGTCTTCAAGCACTCACAAGACTTATCTTTGACTGTTTTGTTTATGCCATGTGTAACAGCATCTGCAATGGAATATCATCTGATAACATGATGTGAAACAAATACACTGTCATAAAAGATATGTCTCACTGACATGCAACAAAACATACACACATAAAATTCTTGCAAAAGATAGATGTCATCCGTGCAGTTACCTTTTCTTAAACAGAGGCCCATATTAACCCCTTAAGGACTGGACTGTTTTTGCGATGTTGTACATTTGCGACCAGGAATATTTTTACACTTTTGTGGTGTTTGTGTTTGGCTGTAATTTTCCACTTTCTCATTTACTGTTCCCATACAAATTATATATTGTTTTTTTCAGGACAAAATGGGCTTTCTTTACATACCATTATTTATATAATCTCATGTATTTTAATTTAAAAAAAATACAAAAATCTGATGAAAAATTGAAAAAAATACATGTTTTTTGACTTTTACTTGAAAAATCTTTTACTCATCTACAAAAGCGAATGAAAAAAACTGCTAAATAGATTCAAAATTTTGTCCTGAGTTTAAAAATACCTAGTGTTTACGTGCTTTTTTGCTTTTTTTTGCATGTTATAGGGCTATAGGTACAAGTAGGATATTGCGGTTTCAAAACATACATTTTTAAAATTTATCAATAGTGACATTGTAACACTATTATCTGTCATAAATCTCTGAATAACACCCCACATGTACATATTTTTTTTAAAGTAGACAACCCAGGGTATTCAATATGGGGTATGTCCAGTCTTTTTTAGTAGCCACTTAGTCGAAAACACTGGCCAAAGTAAGCATTCATATTTGTTTGTGTGTGAAAAAAGTAAAAAAACTAAATTGAACGCTAATTTTGGCCAGTGTTTGTGACCAAGTGGTTACTAAAAAAGACTGGACATACCCCATTTGCAATACCTTGGGTTGTCTTCTTTTGCAAATGGTATGCCATCATGGGGGTAATTCTCATTCCTGGGCTACCATACGCTCTCAAAGGCAACGTAACCAACCTGGCCATTTTCAATGTAAAAATATTTGACCCATATATTTGACCTTGTAACTTTCAAAAATGCTATAAAACCTGTACATGGGGGGTACTGTTTTACTCGGGAGACATCGCTGAACACAAATATTAGTGTTTAAAAACTGGAAAACGTATCACAACAATTATATCATCAGTAAAAGTGCTGTTTGTGTGTGAAAAATGCAAAAAAAGTAACTTTCACTGACAATATCATCGCTGTGATATGTTTTACTGTTGTGAATCACTAATATTTGTGTTCAGCGAAGTCTCCCGAGTAAAACAGTACCCCCCATGTACAGGTTTTAGGGTGTCGTAGAACGTTACAGGGTAAAATACAGTGCTAGCAAATTAAATTCTCTGGAATTTCGGCCTGGGTTGGCAGGCAGGTCCCTCAAATTGCAATCAATAAAATTACTGAATTATGTAAAAATATTACATAAATACGCACGTAGAATTTAAATATATATGCATATTTATATATTTGAAGTCTACGTGTATATTTATATAATTATTTATGTAATTTTGTATATGGACATATGTATATTTCTTATTATTTTTATTTATTTTTATATACATAGATATATATACAAATTCATTCTAAGTGTATTTTGATATAAATATATATATATTAATTTTAAAATACAGTTAGAATAAAATTTCATATAGCTATATAATTTTTTTTAAATTTTTTATTATTATTTTTAAAAAATTATTTAATTTAAATTACTTATTAGTTATATTTTATAATAATATATATATACAATATATATAGTTATTATATATATTATATATATACGTGTGTAATTTAATTATAAGTGTATTTTTATATTAATATAAGTACATATTAATATAAAAATACACTTAGTATGACATTATATATATATGATATATAGACATATATTATATAGATATAATATATGTCTATATATCATATTTATACATATATAATTATTATTATTTTTTTTATTACCATTAACTTTAATTTTTTTTTTGATTTTACAGTTGCAGGGAGACTGCCTGTCAGTACAGGCAGTCCCCCTGCAGGCAGCACTATGGACACCTATTGTGACCATGTGATCGCTGTGTTAAGCGATCACATGGCCACAGGGGTCCTAATCTGCCGTGGGGAGACTGTCTGGGCTGCAGGCAGTCTCCCCACAACCGGAGGAACACTGATCGCCGCCGGGGGAACGACGGCGATCAGGTAAGTAGCCCCAGACCGTTTGGACGGTTCAGGACCGTCATCGGTCCTCAAGGCAAAAATGCCGATGACGGTCCTGAACCGTCCTCGGTCCTTAAGGGGTTAAACCATACAAACATTTGATGACATGCCCTGTCCATGTCATCAAATGTTTGCATGGTCCATGTATAAGCAGTTTAAAAAAAACAACATTTAGTCTAAAATTGGGGGTCATCTTACACACGGAATGTCACTGCAGGGGTTAAAAAAAACACTTGTGCGCGGGGCATAAGCCAAGGTGACGCCTGCCATGTTTCAGTGTGCCACAGCCCACACACATACCTGACCTCTCTCCCGCCGATCCACTTCTGAATGCTGTGGCAAGGAGGAAGAGACATAATGTATATATTTTGCAGCACATTGATTGGCCAATTTTTGCACCATTTTTTGTTCTTCTGATTCGGTTTCTGCATAGGAATCTCTGTTACAAATTTTGGGCGTCCCAAAAATATTTTCTATTTTTTAAAAAAAAATTAGGGCCGTAGTGTAATACTAACCCAGTCACAACCTATTGTATTGTGCTCACAAATGTACTTATCATGTCACTGTGTACCGATGCCTCCACTATAATAAAGAGGGCTTAAAAAAAAAAGTTACCCACCTTAAAGTTACTCATCTGCAGCCAGACCCAGACTGGCAATCATGCCAATAAGGTAAATGGCAAGAAGTCTGTGGTGGCTATGGGCAGATGTCAACAGGAGAGTTTAGAGTATCTCCCTTGCTCGCACATGAGGGGTTGATGTTGTCCAAGTGCTGGTCCAAGATGGCTTTTTGTCCTTACATGGGCTGGTGGGGAAATCAAAGAACTCCCACACAGGCCCAGGGAGAGGGAGCACAAAGCCTCTGGCTTGCATCTCTGCCGAGTGCAGACCAAGGGAACCTGTCTCCAGAGCTCTGGCCAATCAAATCATTGCCAAAGGTTACCACAGCAGGGTTTTGACACTAAATGCTTGTGAGCTACTCGAGGTCTGCACCTCCACAGAGCACACATAGGGATTTAAAAAAAACAAAACCTATTTTCGCATTAATAATAACTATATGCGTGGTAGCTGCTGAAGACATCAGCACTTACCACCAATAGAGCTCAGGAGACATGCTACACCATAAAAGGAGCAGCCATATTAAGGTTTGCTCCACCTCAGGTAGGTCTTACTTTTTTATTTATATTTATAGGGATGGAAATGGGGATCAGGGAGCTGTTTTGTGGGAGCTGTAGTCTCCCAGCATGCACTACGGAGCAATTAACTTCACAGAGTACCTTGGCACAGGGGGAGTCATGAGAATTAGAAGTTTGTTGTTCTCCTCAGAAGTCACCTCTGAAATATCAGAGTTATCATATTTGGTGTTTAAAATATTTATTTCTTAATTTTGGTCTAAAAAAAAAAATAGGGGGCGTCTTATACACGGAAAAATACAGTATATTGTTAAAATAGCAGGAATTATCTGTTTGAAACAGGATGTAATATTTGCTGTCTGCATGTACTGTACATTATTCATATGTCTCTATAAAACCGAGATTGAGAAAAATAAATTAGCTCTATCCTACACACAACATATATTTAAAAAAAAAAATATGAATAAAAGGAATGCAAAAAACATTTAATGATAGGAAATATCTCCACCTTCTCTGATTAATGATACCAATTCAAATAGCTGTGTTTGCAGTTCTTCAGCTTCAAAATACTCCACTTTTAACTGGTAGACTGTTCCATACCTCAAATGTATAATACATTTTGTGGTAGATTCATAGCTCTTATGTAGACTTTTCCTGGAATGGAAACATAAAGCAAATTCAGTAATTATTTTGCTTTACAAATTACAGTGCTTCCTTGTTCCTATATTCACTACTCTTGTTCTAAGTTATTCAATTATTTTTTCATCTGTGTTTTTCTTGTCTTTCCACAGGAAACCATACATTTAAGGAGAGTCCCTGGAAGCAGTTTAAACAGTATGTTTTGCAGTGAGTATGTTTATTTCCTATTTTAGCATAGAACCCATTGATATTGGGTTACTGTGAAGTACTTGTGGGCTTAAAACAATATGGTCATATGGTGTAACTAAATCCCCATATTTGTTTGCTAAGTTATGTGATATTTTCTTTAGCCTTGTAAGATTTAACATTGTATTTTTTATTTTAATTCGAATCTGTATTTGGTGTCATAGAGAGCTTATCTTACTTAGTACAGTCTGGGAACACTCAGTAAGTGTATCGGTTTCCCCAGTGATGAAGACCTAATATGCTTCAAGAACACATTTATATATTTTTTTATAGTGCAGCACTCTAGTGCTTAAATGGTTATGTCTACATAGCAAGTATGGGTGCAAAAATTAGCAAAAGCTGGTCAGAAGTCAAAGGATTTATTTAACTCATTTTGCCCATGGAAAATAATTAATAAAAAATAAAATAAAACCCACTAAAGAAGCGAAGCATGTAAAATTCTAGGACATATAATACCGTTTAACTGAGACAGTCAGGACCACCACAACCCAAGATGGAAACATGGTGTAGGGCCATGGACTGATAGGAGAAAAATATAGCTCTCAAACATCAGTGCTCTTCTGGCTACAAGTAAACAAAGGTCCCATTGCTGAAGTATGGGGCAAAATCATGTGCTGCTGTATGTGGCCATTTGGACTGCAAAATCCTGACATTGTTCATGCTATGAAGAATGAAATGAAATCTATGGAATCTGGACATAATGCTAAAACTGTGGGCCTGGTCTGGAAAAACAAATGAGAAGTGTTTGCTACTGCTGCCAGCGGACAAACAGTTAAAAACCCTTGTTGACGCAAAGGTTAATTATACGGCAACTGGCCAGAGCTTGCTAGCCAACCGCCATATGAGAATGTAACAAAATATATTACTAAAATTGAATTATTATACTTTGTTATTAATAATGAGGGTAGGGGGCTACAGCTCCCACCTGGCCCCCACCCATAGATGACAGGTGGTGGCAAATATTGTTAATAAAGGGGAGACACACTGTATCCACTATACACACACTGCATCCAACATATATATATATAAAAACACACTCTGCATCTGCATCGACTTTACGGACTTGGGGGCCCCACAATCTCTGATGGCAGCCCTAGCCATGTGTAGCAGAAAAACAAAATCACTTTTGTTTGACTATTTTTGGACTGGTCTCAACTTCTCTACCCTGTAACAAACCTGCCTGCCTAAATTGTCTAAACAGTATTATTAAAGTATCATAACTAAAATGTATTTCATATATTTCCTATATAAAAACAGTAAAGATAACCTAATGAAACTTACTGGGCTAGAAGATAAGGTTCGATTTTGATTCTGCTCCCTTCTGTGAAATATCGCGGTATTGATGAAAATGATGTATTTGAATTCTCCACATCCTTTTAGCAAAAAGAAGAGACACAAAATTAGGTAACTAGAAACTGCTGTTGGAAGTCCAAAAAAAGGAAAAGATCTGCCTTTGTACTTTGTGCCTCTGATAACATAGCTTTTCTGTATCTCCTGACGTAATCATTAGGTGGGTAACTGCCTATCTTCATAGAAGTAAATTATAAAAAAAACGACTCTTGCAGATTCAAAACTCCGTTGTCATTCCCCCCTCCCAATTGCACTCGGCTTTAGCAGCATTCAGAATGTTACCACTCCCTTGATATCCCTTGTTATTCTGAAGACACACTGATGGAAAATGTCCACAATGGAATTTTAGCCAAAACTGAAATTCTAAAAGCAGTAATAATGTGTTCCTTGCAAATCCTATGGACTTTGACACTGACACAGACTGTTCCATGTTACTTCTGATTTCTGTTGTTCCTCTCTGGGCTAGATTTGACAATTATGTGATCAAGGCTACTTGATTATTTCTCTGCTTTTGCCATACTTTTTAAATGCTTTGTTCAATCACTTCCCACTAAAAAAAAGAAATCAGTGAAGTTGTAATACAGAGAGCCATGGACAATTAAAATGTATTATATTGGAATGCTGTTCTATCAAAATATCGTTTTATTGGTTGGGGTTTAAATTCGCCAATTTTTTACAGATGTTTATTAAAATGAATTTGTTTTGTAATGTGAAAACCAAATAGCTAAAAAAAAAAAACCCAACTAAATAAAACAACTCTTACTTCAGTGTTAACAAGGCGTAGCTCCTGGTAAACTGTTTTCAATACTGTTTTGACATCATCCGTGTCATTCGGGTGACTTCTGATGAATTCTCTAACCTAAAACATTAATAGTGACTCGTAAAATAACTTATGCACATGGTTGATTACACATATTTTACATTGTGGAGTAATTGTAAAACACATTATTAACTAAGGGTACCAAAAAAGGTTATTTGAAGACTTATTACAAGCCTCATAAGATTACATATACAGTCATGGAAAAAAGAAAGTACACCCTCTTTGAATTCTATGTTTTTACAAATCAGGACATAATAATTGTCTGTTCCTTAGCAGGTTTTAACATTATATCAATACTTACTTTTTCACACATGGCTTCTCCATTTTGGCATTATTTTTGTTAAAAAATTGGTACCATATGTAATGTGTTGTTCATCTGAGTTTGCATTTAACTACTTTATTATGTTATCATGTCCTGATATGTAAATCCACAAAATTCAAAGAGGGTGCACTTTCTTTTGAATATGATTGTATGCCTCACCTAAAGCATGCTTTTGTGTTGGCTGGTTAACAACTTCCAGACTCCTCTCACTTAACCCTTGCATTGCTGAGGGTTTTGTTTGTTTGTTTGTTTGTTTGTGCATCTGTTTGCTTGTTTTTTACTTTTTTTCCCCACTGGTTACTAGTACTGCAAATGAGCAAACTGTTTTTAAAATTCAGGTTTGGATTTTAACATTTCAGTCCTGGATATTCAACATTTATATCTGGACTTCCCACACAATGAAATCCAGTGGATATTCAAGTCCATTTACATGCTACATTGCAAAATCCTGACATTGATAAACCTTGAGAACAATGCCTGGATGTTGCAGCCCAAATGTTTCTGGATGATTTCTCAAAAATCAGACTGAGGGCAATTGGATTGTTTTAAATAACCCTAGTAAAGTTGGGGTTAGAGTTTGTGTTAGTACTAATGTTTCTTTAATCTTGTGACAGCACCACACAATTTCTCTTGATGAGTGGCCAGAGATATGCTGAGAGTGTCAGCTGATGTTCTCAACTGTGAAAGAATTTACCCTTATTCCAAGGTTCAAGCTTATTTTTGTAACCAAGGCAAGGCTTATTTTGATAACCAGCACGCGTCTCGTGTCTAGTTCACGCTTCTCCAAGTGCACTTGATACAAATTGGGTTCTCCTGAATATACCAAAGATCAAATTGATCTATATAACAACCTACCAACAAATACCTGGAAAACCTTCCTCATACTGTGGAGGACGAAACTCAGAATATAGAGTTATCAGGCACTAGGGGACAAACCATTAGAAAAGAATTTTAACCGAAAGTAAAAGGGCACCAAAACACTCTTGCCTTCATTACAACTTCAACAAGCTAAATTTGTTACTGGGGCAGCAGTCTTCCTTTACTTTTTTGTATATTCCAAGGACTGCTCTTTGACCTTGCAAACTACAACTATGCTTACATAACACAGGTTTTCTTTTTGGGATCACGCTGTCAATGTTGTTACATTTGTAGATTGATTCCATTATTTTACAGGTATTCCTATATCTATACAGCAAGTATGTTCATTAAGATATTGTGACGTCCTTACCACATCTGGGAGATTTAGAAAGTCTTCTTTTGCTTCCATTATGTCTTTCATTTTTGGATTTCCACAGATATCCTGAAAGAGAGATTAGTATAAACCAGAAGTAATTTCCAAACTCTCATTTCAGAGTTTAAAGTAGTATTGGCTATGCTTCTTTGCAAATTATGTTCACTATATATAATATTTAAAATTAGAATTTCAATTTTAAGAATTAGAATATTTATTTAAATTACTTTTACGTGTTCTAAAATGACAGAAACTACTTCATAATGAAATGTGTACAGCAAAGGAGCATTTAAATGTCCAAAAACTGTGCAATGCTTCCTCATTAGCCTGAGAAGCACAGCAGAGATTGGCTGCTGGGAGGCTGATTTAACTTTAAACCATTAAAATGGTTTAACAGTAGACAGTAGTTTAGCACCAGGGGTTGCAGACACTAAAACCCCTTCTTTGAAATCAAACAATTACAGTACCTACAACGTGCCTCCCAAAAGGCCCTATTTTTAAGTCCATAAACGACCGACTTCGATGCTGGACAAGGTCACCTATACACCCGAATTCGACCAACTCATGCTGGCTTTTATGGCTCATGGTGGCAGAGATCCACGTAAAGGAGTCAAACAGGCTTCGGAACACAGAACAAGTGCCTGGATACAATTGGGTCACTTGCCCATGTTATGTACTTGGTGGATGCATAAATGGGCACACAACATATGGGAATGGGCCCACTGTTGCTTCTGCTTCTTGAGCAGTGCTAATGTGGCACTCTCTTTTGAGAGGTGCTGGGCAGCACTGTTCCACATCGATGGGAAATTAGTGGGTCTTGGGGCCAAAGAATTAGGTCCACAGACACAAGGCAAACTGGTCGAAGAGGTGTTCATGAAAGAAGTAAACAAGCAAGTGTACATATTTGCGTCATTGACTGAGGTACAATCTTCGATGAGGAAGGTTTTGTGAGGCAACACCTCCCAAGGTATTTTTGGTAGAGCTGGTCAGCAAAGAGGCAGTGCCGCCAGCAGCTCATGGCCATCAGGCTCCTGTACTTCGCAACCGCAGCCCTTCTACCCAGAAGTGGGTACCAGGCAGCAATTCCACTACTCTAGAGGCTTAGACAGGGACCGTGGTGGCTGTGGACGTGCTCGTGCAAGATTCAACAAAGGTAAGAGACCCTTGTTCTGCCTACTGTTCCCACTGCTGGTTGTCTTTCTCTTTTTTTCCAGAATTGGGGAAACTTGTAACAAGGATGTCAGCAAATCAAGATGGAGGCATATTGCACCAGGAAAAAGCAGTGTAGATTTTTACATTTAATTTTATTTTTCAGACCTCACAAAAATGTATTAAATTAAATGTAGGGGAAAATGACCTCTTTAATTATTATTTAATTATTTCTTGTTTCTTCAAAAATAGCTCAGAAGTGAAGAGGTTAATAGTATTGAGCTCAGCATCTGCAATTAGTACAACTAGTGTCTTATTTTTGTTAACTTACCAATTATGGGGATATATATATATACATATTTGTGCTCGGAATTTAAATACGTGATGGATAGTAACTGTGAGCAAAGTTGGTTGTGGTGTGCCGAAACCAACGTACGAGTGGGCCTGTAAATAAAAGAGGGCCCACCAAGGATAATGTAGTTAAAACAGGGTGTAGGTGGGTGGGGACAATCAGCTGAGCGGCAGCGGTGAGTAGGGGCTGGGAGCTTAAGTAGGGGACTTACTCCTCCCACAAATTCAGGCCTAATGGCCTTTCTACTTGTGCTCGGAATTTAAATACGTGATGGATAGTAACTGTGAGCAAAGTTGGTTGTGGTGTGCCGAAACCAACGTACGAGTGGGCCTGTAAATAAAAGAGGGCAAAAAGATAAATTCGAGAAAATACACACTTTATTGCATTTTACAAGACCAAGTTTCTGAAAGCTTGGCGAAGCTCTTTCTCTGGTTGCGGAATATATGCGTTATATATGGAGGATTTCCATCGCCCGAGCCTTTTGATGATGTGGACCGGTGCGTTTGTGCTTGAGGCTGCTGAGGCGGCTCCTATGCGGAAGGAGTGCCCGGAGAATGCAGCCGGATTGTGTCCGAGCTTAGATAACAGGGTTCTGACATGTGACATCAATTTTGCCGTGGTAAGCGGGTGCCCTTGTAATGTTAAGAGCGGAGAGTCTGGCAGGTGAGTGCGAAAAGTTGACCGTAGTTGGTCGAGAACTTTCACCGGACACCAGGCATTATCAGTAGGGAAGAGAGGAATTATTGTAGGATGTATTGACCGGTTGGTTTTAGTGGTAGGGATAGAAAGGAGGTAGTGATCCTCTACCTTGGTGAGGTGTGAAGTTTTAAGGCATCGTGCGATATCTCCTTGACAAATCACTGTGAACTCTCTAGGTCTGAGAAAACCGTAGAAAGCGAGATATATGGCAGATTTTATCACCGTATTGGTGTAGCTATCAAATGGGGCTGTGTCAAGGAGATTGCTAAGAGACCTGAAGATAGGCCCGTCTATGGGTAATCTAGTGCTTGCGAGTGGTGGTGAAACCTTTGATATACCTTTCAAGACCTTTTTTATGGGGTATGAAGACAAAAAGGGGGTGCTGTTAGGAAAATTGGTGAGGCTGTGGTGCTGAACCCCGGTGAGGTAAAGTTTAATGGTGTTGTGTGACAGATTAAGGTGTAGGTGGCAGAAAGAGGCAAAAGACACCATGGTTTGGATAGAAAAGTCACCTTGTAGCCCGAATTCTGCAGTGAATTTGTTAAATATGTTAAGTGCCCTATTGTAAGTGATAGCAGTGTTGGGTGATAATGCTTGGTGAGTGAGTGATCTAGCGTGAAGCAAGAGTGTGCTTAATCCAATATTAGTTCGTGAAACCGTGGTGTCCTGGATGGCTGATGGTGAGCTGCTGGGAGTGCCTGAGAAAATGCCTGGAATCGAGAACGAGAAAGAGCGTCAGCGGCGGTGTTGTGAATACCCGGGATGTGAGAACATACTAAGTGAAACTGATTGGATGCTGCCAGCCAGGTCAACTTGCGAATCAGCCGCATGATGGTCAGGGATGATGAGCGCCCTTTGTTAATAATATCGCAAGCTGCCGAGTTATCTGAGTAGCATTTTACTGCCTTGCCGGACCAGAGATGACCCCAGGTGTGTGCGGCCGCCACAATGGGGTAAATTTCAAATAGGGTTGAGGTCTCCCTGAATCCTGGCAAGGCATCCGTCTCAGTGGGCCAGTGGCCCCTAAACCAGTGGTTCCCGAAAATGGCTGCGAAACCGGTGTTGGCTGCTGCGTCGTGTGGATGATGGGTGAAGAGGTGGAGAGAGGGGGGATAAACATGGAGATACCATTCCAGTCTTTCAAAAACTTCCCCCACATAGCCAAGTCAGCCTTGGCGTGGGGGTCCAAAGAAACTGTGCCGGAGTCCGAGACTCCATGGAGCAGGCAAAGAAGTCTGAAAATAAAAGACCTTCCCTGCGGAATGATGCGCATGGCGAAGTTCAGAGATCCAAGAAGGGACTGAAGTTCTCTCCTGGTGCAAACGTCATTCCGCAGGAACGTGTCTATCTCCCCTCTCAATCGTGAAAGTTTGTCGTGTGGAAGGCTAGCTCTGAGTTTGACAGAATCGAGCTCTATGCCTAAAAAGGTCAACTTTGTTGTGGGTCCTATAGTTTTGGCTGGGGACAAAGGGACTCCAAGTGTGGAAAAAAGTGCGGTAGTACTATTGATTGCTGTGGGTGTTGATGACCCTGGCTCTATCAGTAGAAAGTCATCTAGATAGTGAATAACGGAGTGACACCTGATGACGTTCAGAAGCAGCCAGCATAGTGACTCTGCGAAAATGTCGAAAAGTTTGGGGCTGCTTCGGGAACCAAAAGTGAGTCGTGTTGAGAAGTAATAATACCCTCGCCATTTAACACCGTGTAAGTGCCAGAGTGAGGGGTGTATGGGCAGTAATTTAAAGGCGTTAGTGATGTCTGTTTTGCTGAGCCAGGGTCGATTACCAGATGTCATGATGGACTGTATGGCGTCGTCGATGGTGACGTACTGCAGAGAGAATTCGTCTGCTGGAATGAGTGCGTTTATGCTTGGAACAAAAGAGGAGTGCGGTGCCGATAAATCGATAATGAGACGTTTTTTATTAGAATATTTGTGAATAGCAATACCAATAGGGTTAGTGCGCCAGGAGGAAAACGGTGAAGAGGTGAAAGGACCGATCATGAAACCGTTTGTGGTTTCTGCGGAAATGAGAGTGTCTACAGCGACTGGGTCTAAACGTGCAGACTGGAGATTAGGACATTCTAGTGTACCTGGGGGAATGGCTATTATGCCTGTGTGAAACCCTTGTGAGAAACCTGTGGTGAGAAAATCCACTAAGTGCCTGCTGGGGTGACACCTTAGATAAAAAACCAGGTTGTCGATATTTATGTCGGTTAGTCATTTGTTTGGTGACAACCTGGCTGGACACATGGTCTTGGTATGTGCCCTGAAACATATGGAGCAGATGTGCAATAATCTACAGGCGCTGAAACTGCAGGAGCCTGAGTTGAAATTATTGCACACCTGTGCTTTACCTAAAAAGGAGATGGGCCTACCCAGCTTATCCCGGAGACCACCCGCTGGCTTGTTGTGAGGGGTGAAAGAGGAGTGAGGTGTGAACGTGGGGTGAGGGGTGAGAGTGGAGGTGGTGGGATCTGGTTCGACGGGACATAAGTCCGCCATGTGGGATGTGGAATTACAGATGGCACAAGCCGGGGGCCTGAGTCCGGCGAAGTGGCGACAGAAAAGTTCAGTGTCCATCTGACCCCAGTTCATTCTAATGTTGAACTGCTTGAGATGGGTCGCCGCCTTCGCTGAGACTGACTTGTGGTAGTCATAGAAGGAAGAGCCCCCGTACTTGATGCCTAGATCCACTACCTTGTGGAGATAGAGATCTAGCTCTTCTCTCCTATGGGGATACACCGTGCAAATGACGTCGCGGTATATCCCGAAAGCTATCACAAACTGTGGGATAGACAATTTTTTATTAAGCCTGGGATCCCTCGTTTTAAGCACAACAGAGATGTCACCATAATTGTATGCCTTGTTCTCGAGTACATCCTGAGAGGCTATGAGTAAAGACACCAGACACACATCCTTCCCGTCAAGGATATCTTTCCTGATAGAATCTGGGACGGAGTGTGCTGGTGACTCGAAAGGTGTGATGGCTGTGCCAGGTGCTGGAGGGGGGAGTATAGAGGGACATGAAGGTATGGCAGGTACAGCCGTGGTAGAGACTGGGACTACGGTGTTAGTACCTGAGGAGGAGATGGCGCTCTCCACCTTAGACAGCCTGCTATTGAGGGCCTGTAGATTGGCCAAGATATCTGCCAGGGTATCCTGGGTGGCCGTGCTGTTACTTGGTGGTTGTCCTTGAGAGCTAGTTCCCGGCCGAGGCTCGGGGACTTGGTGGGTAAGCAGCCTGTAAAGTTCTGCCTTTCTAGCTGTGGCCGGAAAGGGGATTCCCCTGAGCCTAAGCTCGGCTGTGATTTTGGGAATAGTCCATGCTCTCAAGGACGTGGGGGTTGAAAGAGTGAGTGATTCGCCTGGAGACACGGGTCTGATTGGCGTGAATGGTGCTTCTTCTGTCAGTTCTTCGGTTGGAATTGGTTCTTGGGACATTCTAAAAAGGAATGATTATGTGAAAGATATATTAGAAGGGGAGTGAGGTAAGAAGGGGGGGGGTATGGGGAGTGGTGTGTCTTGAAGAACTGGACTTTAATGCTAGATGCCGAGGCGAAAAACTTAACTGTTGAATGACTGGATAGGTGAGGCCCTGCTAATGCCAAGTGGCGATGAGAGGCTCTACCTATGATTTGGCTTATGACGTAGGTGCCACAGACGTGGTGGCGGGATGTTGGCCTCTCGGTGACGATAAGAGAAATCAAAACGTGTGGCCGTGACAGGTGAGGCCCTAACTAGAGCCCTGTAGTAAGGCATGCGAGGCTTATAACTATGATTTGGGCGTGGGGCCGTACCTCCGTGTTGAGGTGGGGTGGGGGTGGTAGGCCTCGCGGGATCAGATTTCCTGATAGGGTGGGCTAAGGCATTAGCCTGTGCCGTATAGCCAGTTCGATAGTATGCTAAAGGGTAAAGTTAGAGGACTGGAATGGTGTGTGGATACTAACCTTGACTGGTCGCAAATGGTATCTGGAGCCTCCTGGTAAGTGTAGAGAGTTTTGTCTTAAATGTTGTCTTTGAGGAAGAATCCTGGGGGTTTAAGACAGATGTTGATGTGTTTATACGTATCGTGATGTCGTATGAATAGTATAGGGAGAAGGTTTGTAAGGGGCACGACGTGAGATCCTGCATTGAGGGATCTGGGAGGTTTAGGTGTAGGAATGGGATGATTTTGGATATGAGTGAGAAGGCAGAATGAGGCCTTGGGGTAGCGAATGGACGTACTTGAGTAAGGATGTAAGTACCTGAAGGTATGGCTGAGTACCGTGTCAGGTTTTTGGTGTCTTCTTGAGCCTGGTGGCCGTATGACCGAAAGTCTGTGTAGACAAGTAGTAAAGAGATAACGTATCCTGGGCGTAAGCCTGAGGGAAGGTAGTAATGGAGTTGAGACCGCGTGAGGTCTAGTATTGAAAAGAGAGTGAACTATACCTTTGTTTAAAGTACAGAGATTGTTTAATCGTGGCAGGTTAACTGCGTAGAAACGGTGGAAGCTTAGATTAATACAGGATCTAAGGGTTTAACCAAGACAAATTCCATAGTTAGCAATAGATGTGGAGATAATTGATAAAACCTGATAACTCAAGGTGATAAAAAACCATACCTGTTCCTGTAATAAAAGGACCTTGAAATAACAACTTTTAATGCAGAAAAGCAAGAGACCGATGCAATCTGTAAAAGCCAAAAGATGTGACAGCGTGATTTATGTGCAAGGAATAGTACGGATTATGTGTAAAGGGTATAACTTGTAAATAGTGTTTAAAAAGACTTATCTGAGTGTTATTAGGAAAGAATGGTATAGCTTGAATTTAGACACGTATGAAGTTATGAATCGTGGTGAACATTATGTTTATTACAGAAAAATACTTTAAATGGTTTAACAAGGTAGAAAAACACAGGGCTGGTAGTTAACCATATAATGTAACCGCAAACTCATATGAAGGAATAAATAATAGTAGGACTGTGATTAGAACTTATGCAAGCTTAGCTTAAAAGAATAGAAATAACCGAATGTAAATTAGTAAGATGGTGTACGTGAATTTGACCATACGAATAGGTTGGTGCTGAAATAACCGAACGGAAAAGTGAATACAGATAATAATGAGCTTAAACATGAAATATTTATTCGGTTGTTTCCGTACGAAAAAGCATAAAATGATAGCGAAATGAGCCGAACGTTCGTGCGTTTTTTGGCGCGAATGGAGATATTAACGAAAGCGTGTATTCGTGAAAATGCGAAAGAGGGAGCCTACCCCTACGTTTTTAGGCCCGAACGGCGGGGAAATAGCGAACGCTAATTCCCACGCCTTGCTTACGTGAACGCGCCGGTCTCGTGACCGGAAGTCGGGTACCTCGACCGGAGGGAAACGGAGTGGAAGGACCTCGGACGGACGGAGGATTGCACAGGGCGTCTGGCTGCTGGAAACAGGTACAGTTCTGGCGGGAAGCTGGACCGGAAGTGCTGGACAATCAGCTGAGCGGCAGCGGTGAGTAGGGGCTGGGAGCTTAAGTAGGGGACTTACTCCTCCCACAAATTCAGGCCTAATGGCCTTTCTACATATATATTTTTTTTTTTTCAAAGATACAGCAAATTGTGTGATATTTATTTGGTGCAAACATCTGGTCAAACATCGAGTCAAGTATAGCAAACGATATTGCACCAGCCACAGTATGTAATTAAAAGAAACACACTACTTTCCTTAAATCATTGCATTGCTGATAATTAGATATTTCCAGAGAGGATAATTATAGTTTCTAGAAAGGTAATTCAAAATAGTCTATGCATACTGCTAGGTGTCTTGATGCCATCCCCACTGATTCCTCTAGATGCAGGTGTTCCTACACCAACATGCAGTATTAAAGAGACAATTTAATTTTCCAGGTGACTGATTCACAACTGAAGGGATAGTCTTGACTAAATTGCCAGATATCTGCTGTGTTTACATCAGTATTTTGTGGACCAAGAAGAGAGGGAGAAATGCAAGATAATCCAAACTATTTTCATGCTGGCAGTGCTAGCAGCTGGTGGGCAAATAGTTAAAAACCTTGATACCAGGTGGTCAGTTATGTGGCAGCTGGCCTGCATTTGTGAGCCAACTGCCTCAATAACAAGGCAGCTGGCTCACTGCCTGGTGGGGGTCAGTTACGGCCAGTCACTAAAAAAAGCCCCATGCCATGAGCCAATGTAAAATATCGGGGGAGGGGGGAGTTAAATTAAATAATGGGGTAGACAGACCACTATCTACCCATGCCCCTACTCCTGGCTAAGAGGTGGAACTATTTAAAAAAAAGAATGGGTACCTCCTAATTTCCCCCACTGCCCCACCCATGGTCAGTGGATTGGGCTTCTCATTTTATACTAGCGGGAACACAATGCCCACTTTCCCAGTCTCCACTCTTTGGGGAAGTGTACATGCTACTGTCTACCACCCAAAACTATTTCCAGTTGGCTGAAGATTCCAAATTCCCAAGCCATACCCAGAGTATATTATCATTAGAGACATCATTCACTACCAAACAATAACAATTCCCCAGTACCCCAATACAAAATAAAATGATTTCTCCAATTTATCAATCCACTTTTAGCCCCTTCACTAATAGGCGGATTGTGAAAAAAAACACCACAATCAGAGCATTTAGGATGTCCTGGAGAGTAGTGTTTAAATGTATTTCAGACATAGATATCGCATTATTTAAAGAAAATAGAAATAAACACTTTGATTGTGCAGAAAAACATTTAGGAAGTCATTCACCAAATGAAATGACGTGACAGACGAGAAAACAATGCTGTAAATTAATTGCGTTTCAGAATACGTAACATAGACGTTTCCCACAAATTGTCTCTCTCTTGGGACGGTGGAAATCCTCTGCTTATACACGGTACATACTCAAACCAGTACAAGAGATACGCAATGCATTTAAGGAAATGTCTGGTTAATTTGATTGATCACTTTTTGCCCTCTTTATTTACAGGCCTACTGCATCGTTGGTTCCGGCACACCACAACAGACTTGCTATTTAATACTATCCTACGCTTATACTGGTCCTTACTCCTTATACGGCTATTTGCCCCCAAGTATTACGGCCGTTTGGCCTGTATTTGTGGGAGGGGCTTATTATTTTACTTACCTACTTAAGGGGCATCCCTTACCTTGCTCCATACCGTTCAAGGTCACTGTTTGAATGACCCTCCCACAACTCCACATACTCAATACATTTTTCCTCATTTCTTTCCCTATTTTCCTTTTCTTTACTCCTTGGTGGGCCCTCTTTACCGCATGTGTATTTGTATCTGGGAGCTAGTGTGTGGGGAGCTGCTTGCAGTGTTTTGTGTGTATGTTTTGTGCTTGTGACCTTAATGTGTGTGTGTGTTATGTTTATGGTGAGGCTGTGTTGTGTGTTTAGGACTTTATCAAGGTAAATCGGATACCTTGATAAAGTCCTAGAGACGAAACCGGTCGGTACACAAGCTATCTCGGTGGTATCCTGCAGCCTGAACCTCTGTCATTTCAACTGGGGGAGAACAAGCACCCTGTTGACTCTGATTTTCCATCCACCAAGGAGGACTCAAACTGGGATCTGCGCTGGGACACCATTGATGCATGTGGTAGAAGGGCACCTTCTGATGAGCCTTTTTGAACTTTATATTTGTGAATGCAATTATTATCCCTTATTTTAATTCTAATTTGTGTGTGGTTTTACACTATGTTGTTTTTATTTATTTTTATTTAAGTGATTAAATACTAGGAAGATTCTATTTATATTGGGATCGCAGCAATTTATATTCTGACTCAGAGGAATGTTTTAACTTATGTAATTTTTAATTTTGGTGATTCTACACACTATATATTTACCGGTTAAGGTGCACCACACTCCTTTTTGCTGTTTTGTTTTTATACATACTCTAATGGTAGCACCTGCTATGCTGTAAGGACAGCAATTACAAATTTTTTTTTGCAATATTTGAATTTCATTTACAATTGTTAAAATAATGTATACATTTAATTGTACTATAATAAATCAAACCTGTGGTTGTTTGAGGTTCTTGTTGTTTTCTTTGTATTCTTCTTCATTGTCACTTGTCATCAGAAAGAGCAAATTCAGAAAGAAGCTTTTACCTTTCCCTAAAATAAATAAATCAATAAATATTAACAAACAAACAAACAAACAAACCAAGATTTACAAATGTTTGCATGACTGATGATGCGTTCCATATATTTTGTTAATTGCTGGGATTAGTTTAAAAATATGTTAAATAGATACTCCAAACCTCTAAAGCACTTTTGCTTGCTGAAGAGTTTTATGGGTTAAGAATATGCCCCCTCTCCTGCAAGCCTCATGTTCAGTCTATCGCCAAATCCTGTCATTTCCATCTCAAAACCATTTTGCGCACTTAACGCCAGATGCGACTTAGGTGCTGGTCCATTCTACTGTCCTTTCTCGCCTTGACTACTGTAATCCGCTTCCCAGTGGTCTTACGTGTTCCCAACTTGCGCCATTACAGTCCATAATGAATGTGGGGGCGAGGCTCATCTTCCTGTCCGCCTGCACCTCCCACACCTCACCCTTCTTTCAGTCCCTACATTGGCTTCCTATAAAATATAGAGCTCAATTTAAAATTCTGGTTCTTGCTTTCAAATCTCTACATAATGCTGCTCCCACCTATCTATCCTCCCTTATACACAAGTATGTCCCGTCTGGGCCCTTACGATCTATCTTCTGTCCATACTCCCACCTCTGATGCTCGCCTTTAAGATTTCTTGAGGGCTGCACCGTTCCTGTGGAACTCGCTTCCCTCCTCCATTAGATGCCCACCCAGTCTCCACTCCTTCAAAAAATCGTTTAAAACCCACTTCATAAAAGCGTATCAATTAAACTGTTAATAGCTCCCGAATGATTCCTCTTCTGCAACTGTCACTAGTCTAATACTATCCTTATCTTTTGTGTCACTTTACCCCACTCCCTTTAGCATGTAAGCTCATTGAGCAGGGCCCTCAACCCCTCTGTTCCTGTGTGTCCAACTTGTCTGGTTACAACTACATGTCTGTTCGTCCACCCATTGTAAAGCACTGCGGAATTTGATGGCGGTATATAAATAACATAATAATAATAATAATAATAATAATAAAGCTCATAAAGAAGCAATAGTTTTAATGTTACTATATGAGATATGTTCTCTTGGCAGAGAGTAGAGGTTGTTGTGCATGCCCCATGTGACAGCAATACTTCTCCATGACCTCTGGATGAGGAAGGAACTAAGCTGCAATTAGACCACCTACCTCTAGAGTAAGTAACTTAGTTTTTTTAGTGCAAGGGGGTTCCAAAAAGCTAAACTAACAATGGAACATTCTAGAGCTAGAAATAACAAGTTTGTGTGTTAACAATCCACTTTGCTGGAATGGGAGTCAGTAAAGACAAATAATGATACACAATGTGTGCTTCCTTTCTTACAAAAAAATATTACAAAAAAACTTACCATTCTGTGATAAGACGGCAATTTTTGTGTAATGGTCTTTTAGATCTTCTATAGTATTGCTGATAGTTTTCTTAGCAATGTTTAATGCATCTTGTTTTCTGTCTTCTGGGATATCGCAAAGAGCTTTATAGCACAACTCAAGCTTGTATAACTCAATGTCTGTTTCTATAGAAAAATTGGGGGAAAAATTGTTACTGTTAAACATATTACAGCTCAAAAATAGGTAAATTAATATTTATCATAATTCTTAATTATATTTTTATCTGATTTAGAAGCTGTTAATATCTCCTTCCTGACACTTCTTCACCTGAGGAATCTTACCCCATGATGCCCAAATGCTGGCTCCACACCTAATTCCGCTAGCAAGCGCAAGAAGCTCCATCTGAAAGAAAAGCATTTTGATGGAGGGCAGGAGAACCACCTGTAGGATGGTTCTCCTTCTCTACACGCTCCAATATCAGCATATACCACTAAATATAAACCTTAAAATAAAATCTCTATATTTGCTGTGATTTTTGCTGGTACGCTGTATAAATAAAATGTATTTCTATTTATTCTTACATGGTTTCCATAATAGGTATGTAAGAATCAAAGCCATTTGAAAAGGAAGTGGATAGTATCTCTTGGTCTTTATTGGCACTGCCATTATTAACCCCTTAAGGACGGAGCCAAATGTACACGTTGTGAACAAAACAAAATGTAAACAAAACCTGGCATTTGCGCTACATGTCTGTCCAACCGTAATTCACCTCTTTCATATTAAATGCACCCACCCTTATTATATATCATTTTATTCAGGGGAAACAGGGCTTTCATTTAATATCACATATTTAGCTATGAAACATAATTTAATATGAAAAAATGGGAGAAAATAAGAAATGTTATTTTTTTTTGTTCTACATGACATTTTAACTGTCAATGTCATAATACTGTTTGCTTTTACTGCAATAAAATACACATATTTGTATTCAGCAAAGTCTCACGTGTAAAACAGTACCCCCTATGTACAGGTTTTATGGCGTTTTGGGAAGTTACAGGGTCAAATATAGCATGTTACATTTGAAATTGAAATTCGCCAGATTGGTTACGTTGCCTTTGAGACTTGTATAGTAGCCCAGGAATGAAATTTACACTATAATGGCATACCATTTGCAATAGTAGACAACCCAAGGTATTGCAAATGGGGTATGTCCAGTCTTTTTTAGTAGCCATTTGGTCACAAACACTGGCCAAAGTTAGCGTTAGTATTTGTTTGTGTGTGAAAAATGCAAAAAACGCCAATTTTGGCCAGTGTTTGTGACTAAGTGGCTACTAAAAAAGACTGGACATACCCCGTTTGCAATACCTTGGGTTGTCTACTATTGCAAATGGTATGCCATCATAGGGGTAATTTTCATTCTTGGGCTACCATAGGGTCTCAAAGGCAACGCAACCAATCTGGCGAATTTTAATGTGAAAAAAATGAAACGCAAGCCTTATATTTGATGCTGTAACTTTTGAAAACACCATAAAACCTGTACATGAGGGGTACTGTTGTACTCCCTGGGAGTCCCCCGAACCGCGATAAGTAGGAACCGGGTAAGTAGGAAAAGACCGGAGGGCGTACTATTACGCCCGGCAGCGTTTAGAGACGCTTAGAATAGGGCGTAATAGTACGCCCTCCGATCTTAAGGGGTTAAACTTTGTTGCTAGTTTCTGTTAAAACTCCACCCACCTGTTTTATAGCTGGATGCTGTGGTTAAAGGAACACTCCAAGCCCCATAACCACTAGAGAATGATGGAAATCGTCTGCTTATGCCAGATACATACCTCAACTCATGAGGGAAATACTCAAAGCTTTCTGTAATATGAATATGTAATAGAAGGTATATGCTTGTTATTGTAGGCTGTATAAATCCTGTTTGGTATAATCATTTTTGCCCTCTTTATTACAGGCCTACTGCATCTTCGGTTCCGGCACACCACAACTTTCTATACTGTACATATTGGGACTTTAATTACCACCTTAATTTGATTTAATTACGGCTTCTGAGCCCTGAGCACATATATATATATACACATCCCAGATCCCTTGGCACTCACCCTGACTGAAAAATATAAATGGATTCTTCCTAGGTGCCAAATTCCCGTATTAAATATATGAAGGCTAATGAAGGGTCTCAGAGGTTTTTCCAAAAACAAGAAAGTCTTTAATAAATCATCAAAAAAGTAACATAAGTGTCTGATCGATGTTTTGGCCCACCTTGAGATCTTAAGAAAGGCCCAAATGTACCGAAACATCGATCAGACACTTATGTAACTTTTTTAATGATTTATCATACACTTTCATGTTTTTTGGAAGACCCTTGAGTGCATCCCATATACATATGTGTATATATATATATATATATATATATATGTGTAAATATATATATGTGTGTGTATATATATATATATATATATATATATATATCTATATATATATATATATATATATTTGTGTACGGCACATTCCAAGGACATATGGAACAATAATAAAAGAAGCAGTAGTAGTAAGAGCAAAGTCAGTTGAGGTGTGCAGAAACTGACGTGAGGTTAGACCTGTAAAAGAGGGCCCACCTAGGTGACATGAGAATAAAGGGTGCCGTGGGAGGGTCACTTCTGAGATCGTCGACGACAGGTAAGCAGGGGCTTACTGGGTTTAAATAGGGATCATAGTGCCTCCCATAATTACAGGCCAAGCCTGTAACATGAGATGCAGGAGACAGAAGTGGAGCGTAAATAAAATCCTATTTAACAAGCTTATATATACCAATAAAACACTTTAGCTATGTTTTAAGGAAACTAACACACAGTGAATGTATGACCTTAATTGCTCTAAAACATCCTGATTAGGATATTTCTGTTCGTTTCAATTTAGACATAAATACAATGAAAATGCTTTTTTTTTTTTAAAAAAAAAAAAAAATTTTTAAATAAAGACGGATCTGTATAGGAGAAGTAAGCATCGAAATTTAGGCGAACGGACAACTAAACTTACATGAGTGGTACTGTGCTGATGACAGTTAACTGAAAGCCAGACCGCACGAATTGCCGTGGTACATAAATGAATGATTAAAGTGAGTGATGTAGAAATTTGGAAGAAAGTTTTAGACGAAGATGTGAATGAAGACAAGTATAGGGAAACGTGCGCATGACCAAGTATAACTTATGGTGTAGCCATTAGTTCGTTAGCTGTTTAGTTATACTCCCCAGACAGATTAGTGTATATTACAGGCATATATATATATATATATATATATATATAATTGTTCTAAGAATAAACACATTAGATGAAGACGATAGTACAAACCTTATGGACGGCCAAATGAAGAAACTTTGACACTAATGTCGTTACATACTATCAGATAATATCAAAAGCGAACAGCTTCCGCTGTATAATGTGTATGCTAGAGCATGGAGAGTGTGTGGGCATGCTTTCATTACGGCAACTTAATCTGTCAGGGGGATACAGTTGCAAACAATTGCTACACCATATATAAGATGAAATACTTGTAAAAATCCCCCTGAAATTTAACAAGAACTGTATTTAAATACCATGAAGACATGCTGATAAACAAACTTATCTTCTCTTTTATGCAGAGCGAAACGAAGGTGCATATGGAATACACGGACATTTACACAAAATACCGAAAGGAGGCCTGATCGTGTTTACTCACAAACGGTTGTCATGTAAAGTAGTAATAATCATAGGAATTTAGGAGAAAGGGCGACTAAATATGCGACATTTAAATGAAAGTCAGACTATATGAATTGCAGAGGTAAGTAAACGAACGATAACGTGAGTGTCCTAGAAGAATGAAAGTTTAAGACGCAAGTGTGATTGAAAATGAGTATAGGGAAACGTATTACTGATCGAGTATCACTTACGGTGTAGCCGTTTGTTTGCTGGCTGTATAGTTATACTCACGAACTCAGTAGGCAGCGAGAGTATTTGAAAGACGGACTGCCAGCGGGCGGGCAAATTATGTCACTGTGAACCGGAAGTAAACAGCATTACTTCCGAGATCGTCGACAACAGGTAAGCAGTGTTATGAACAGAAGAATTAAAATAAAATGGCTATTTACTAATGTCTATTTATTCTGTGTTCACTATGTTAAAACTGGCTGCTAGAGTAAATATTCCCCCCCTCCCACAATGTGTTCAGTCAGTATTTTCTCTGCAAATTCCTCCCATCCTGCTAGCCTCCCCACTTCCCATCGAGCAAGCCTCATGTAACAAATTCCTATGTTAAAAGAACAGCTTCCTTTATTAAACTCCTCCCCCACTTCCTTTGTACAAAGTAACAGCTATGTGCCACATGTAACAAAATAGAGAATCACTGTTAAAGTAACTACTACTCACTTCCCCCCTCCCATTGTGTAACCAAGATGGAGCCGAAATATGGGTGGGAGAAGTCTGTAATGACGACACTACATCCTGTAGGGGGGGGTTTAGACAAGACCCCTTAGACTGTTAACCAATTGATGAATGTATACTGTATGTTAACTGTGACTCTGTACATGACGTATTTCTGCTTTAAAAGGGAAATTGCACCCCCTGGAATAAAGGCCAATCTGGAGTTCTTCATAAACCTGCAATGTGTCCGGTGTGATTTACTTCCAGAAGACATGCGCACAATCAATTTAGAAAGGAGTAGATAGACAAATAATCAAAGTTTTCTTTGGTATCTAAATCAGCAGGGGCTTACTGGGTTTAAATAGGGATCATAGTGCCTCCCACAATTACAGGCCAAGACATATATATATATATAAACGCTGTCAAACAGGAGCACTCACTTGGATTTTTCAATAGTGTATTTACAAAGTGTTCATCAACCTACATCAACGTTTCGAACCTTCCGGGTCTTTATCAAGATGATAACAACGTGCAAAATATGCTTATATATAACAAAATATCAAATATGTAACTTACCCTATCTGTGAAGTGATTCCCATAACCCGTCGAGTGCTGATCGGCCGTGCGCGTGCATAGTGACGTTTGCGCATGCGTGCATGATGGCGTGCCCCTAACGTGACCCTGTGTAAACAATCGGTGACCATAGAAACCACGCGCACCTCAGTGCATCTCGTACTGAATGAAGGATCTAATACAGAGAAACGAAATACCATGCACGATGGAACTAGGATAGTAGTTAGCCCTGTGGACTAGTCCAGGGTAAAAGAGATGCAAAGTCTAAATACTAATAATAGAACAAAAAGGGTTCTGAGGCATAGAATGTGTGAGTGCAAAAGTGAGTGTAGAAGTGTCAGAATGCATAAAGAAGTCTATGATTGAAGCAATCAATAATGATAAATCTCCAATATATTTGAGTCTCAGTTGAAGCTGGATGTGGAGGTGTACAGGTGTAATGTCAAGATTGACTATTGCCTTAATAAGAAACCTGCTGATCGAAAAGTGTTATTGTATTTTACTAGTTTTCATCCTCCTGCATTAAAGAACTCTTTACCGATCTCTCAGTTCCTGAGGGTACTGAGGAATAATTCGGAGGATACCAATCGTGACTTACAGATTGCGACAGTCCTTCCTAGAAAGGGGTTATCAGAAGTATATCTTGGATAAAACTCTGGATTGTGCATATGAGATTTTTGAAAAAGGCCTCACATATCACCATTCCAAATGAAGTTCCACTCAGCAAGTGAGAATATTTCTAGAAGTATTAAAAAAACGATGGGAAATGTTATCAGCTGATAAAACCCTCAGCACTATCTTCTCTAATCCCCCCAGGATAGCCTATGTTAGGAACAAGAGTTTGAAAGATCTACTCATGAAGACAGATTTACCCAGAGATAATTTGGTTCTGATTAAATCTAATAGGATGGGTTGCTTTCGGTGCACGGGATGCGTCACTTGTGGACATATGTTGACAGGCTCTTCGTTTTTGTATATCCACACTCCGGTAAAAGATATAGGATTACACATCATATCACATGCCTTACAGACCATGCCATCTATCTAATTTCTTGCCCCTGTGGACTATTCTATGTTGGCAAGACAGACCTAACTCTTCGTGACAGGATTGCCTTCAGGGATGGGAAAACAGACAAACCGGTGGCTAAACATTTTCTTGCATTTAACCACAGACTACCCACTCTCAAGTTTATCGCTATAGATGTGATACCTACCCTAACGAGAGGGGGGGACCGTTCCAGATTATTGCTCTAGAAAGAGACCTTTTCGATTAAACAATTGGAAACCCTACAACCTAAAGGGTTAAACTAGTATATTTTGTTTAGTTCATTTTTGGATACTCGCTGAGTTCACATTTGCCAATTTACTGCTATTTGTTATTTGTTATTTATTTTTTCTTATTTTTCATTTAGGCGACTAGTTCCAGTTTGGTTTCTTATAGCTGGGTAATGTTCAGTCTCAGCATCCTGTATCTTTTAATTTGGACACATGGATACTTTATATTGTATATATTGTGTTACTGGTACACCTACTGCTGAGTCCTTATTGTTATGACCGACCGCAAGCACAATTTCCTGCCCAAAACAGTTCCATAGATTTGGGCTGTGCGGTCGGTCTATTTTACACAGAAAAATGACTAAGTCGTTTGTTCATTTAGCTTAGTATAGCAGTGAGTTCAAACTGCTGAACAGGACTTAGTCTCTGCAGCTGAAAACTGAGTGTAGGAGAAGGTAAGGGTCAGTGGTGATGGTTAAAATGTGTAGCCGATTTCAGTTCCATGGATTTGGCTACACATACCGCTGACCTCGTTCTAATGAACAAAGATGGCTGCCGCCACGTAAATAGTCTTTAACAGGCAATATCTTCCAAGGGCCATAGTCTTAAAGGGGCATTGTTCCCAAAAGTCACAGTATGTCCCCAGATAGTTTTTAAAGGGCCAGCAGCAGCATAATAAAATACAATATGCCCAAATACTGTATTTAAAGGGCCAAATCTCCCAGGGGCCATAGTCAGCCGGCAGGAGGCGGGCAAACAGGCTTCTCCAATGCCCAGTGGCGAGGTTGGTTTCGCCACACCCTTTTTGTTCTATTATTAGTATTTAGACTTTGCATCTCTTTTACCCTGGACTAGTCCACAGGGCTAACTACTATCCTAGTTCCATCGTGCATGGTATTTCGTTTCTCTGTATTAGATCCTTCACTCAGTACGAGATGCACTGAGGTGCGCATGGTTTCTATGGTCACCGATTGTTTACACAGGGTTACGTTAGGGGCACGCCATCATGCACGCATACGCAAACGTCACTATGCACGCGCACGGCCGATCAGCACTCGACGGGTTATGGGAATCACTTCACAGATAGGGTAAGTTACATATTTGATATTTTGTTATATATAAGCATATTTTGCACGTTGTTATTATCTTGATAAAGACCCGGAAGGGTCGAAACGTTGATGTAGGTTGATGAACACTTTGTAAATACACTATTGAAAAATCCAAGTGAGTACTCCTGTTTGACAGCGTTTATTTATTGGCCTGGAGGCACCCGGGTAATATTACTTTGATTCATATATATTTTCGGGGGAGTTGAGTGACAGAGTCTGGTATTTTTATATATATACATACATATATATATATATAGTATTAGAGTGCACAGTTGCATCCCTATACATATATTTGTTTGTGTTTCTAGTGATAAATTTGTTGCAATATGTTTTATCCGTGAATTTACATGTCAATAAACTGCATTTGAATTCTTCTTGTTAACCGATTTGCTGAGAATACCAAACACAGCCAATAAGAATACAGTTTTTATTTAAAATGTGTAAAATTGTTCTTCTCCAGTTTCACTCTCCTGAGTCATTATTTGTTATCTCCAAGATATAACAATGCAGTGTACAAATGGCTTTTCATATCCTTAAGCAAATCTTAATTTCTCTGTTTGAACTAAACTTTCGCAGTTTCACAAGGTATAAACAGGAAAAAAGAATTCAGTATTATTTTACCAGATAGGGCAGACATTGCACATAAACTATTTCTCCCCTGATTGCATTGAGTCTTTACAACTGTAGTTTTTAAACCCTGGATTAGAACTACAGATCTATTATATTCTCCTCGCCCCAGACAAATACACACAATGAGCAGGTTACTTTAACAACACTGCATTGCCAGCCCTGTGAATATATCTAGAATTAATTTAGTAGAATATTATATAATAGAACACTGAGGTAATTTGAAAATTTGGTCACTGAACTAATGCATATTAACTGGATACTTGGACAAACAAAAGAACCACAGCTATTGTTATTATTATTATTGACATTTTTATAGTGCCGCCAACAGATTCTGTAGTGCTTAAACCATTATTGTAATTTTACAATTTGTTTTTAAGAATAAAAGCAGTGTAAACCCACTCTAGAAAAAATATTATGTTTTACCTGAGATTATAGGTTGCGGTATAATTTCATAGTCTTCCACCTTATCAATCAAAATGTGCTTTACTTCTGACTTCTTCCTAACCACATCAGTCAGTAGCTCCGTGAATCGCTTCAGTTTATCATCAGTGACATTCTGTGAGACTTCACACTCAATAAAAATATTGCTGTTTGTGACACTGTGACATCTTTGGGATCTCATGTTAATGTTAAATTGTCTCAGGCCAATACCTTCTGATGCTTCCCGTAGGATGTCTTTGAATAATTTGTTTCGCAAGTTGCACAGAACCCGAATGGAGTTTTCTGCTTTAATTACAGGGCAAATAGTATTTCCATCTGTGCGGGTGAATGCATCGCCCAGACGAATCAGCACCTTGATGTCTGCAGAGACTCCAAGCTTTGCCTTTTTAAAAGGAGGTTCCATAATGTTTCTGTTTAAAATTGTAACGATTCCTTTTACAGCATTCTGTCCACCATTTGGAAAGTAAATAAAGTTCTGTGTAACGAAGCTGTAAACGCACTGTGTGTAAAGAGGAGGGGTAGTATTCAGGTATTCAGATAAGCTAAACGAAGCAGGAAGTTCTTATTATTTATGTGAATGAAGAAATGAAACTGAAACAAACAGGGGAACTCTGCCACTTCTATTTTTACCCTCTCACTCACTAACAATGACTAAGAGGTTACAAATTAAATTGATTTGTACTAATTTAATTTGAAACTAAATATGAAAATTAAAACATTCAAATGAAATTTAGATGAACCGAATGAAAGCATGATATGATTTGGACAAACCGAATTTTCCTTCCATGCACAAGTCTATATACATATAATGTTTGTGGTAATGAACTGGTAACCAAAGGTGTACCTAGGCTACATTGCATCACAGGCAGAAAAGTATTCTGACACCCCTCTCCAATCTGTAAAAAAATAAAAAATTGACGGTCTCGCTCACTCTATTTGACATTCATATACATTTACAAATATGTATCAACAAACATTCATATTCACACGTACTAACATTAATGAACACACATATGGACACATATACACAGACACATACATTCATACACAGTTGTGCTCAATAGTTTGAGCCATCTTGATGGAAAGATGAATGCAGCATGTTATCAGAAAATACTGGCAGAAAATTAGCATTCTTCTGCATGAAGGCTGCGCATGAGACGCTCTTGGACTTCCCAGCATGACAATATACCTAGGCACAAGACCAAGTTACTGCAGGAAAAGGTGAAGGTTCTGGAGTGGCCATCTGTAACATATTCTTCCTCACCTTGCGGTCTCTGCACCCAGCGTCTGTGCGTCTGCATGACTGACACTTGCGGTATGTTGATGGACGCCGGCTCCATGGTAAATTATACCCCCATGTCCGCTCACGTGATTGATGATGTCGGTGTGCACGTGACGTCAAAGATCAATCTTGGCCAATCAAAAAGGTAAAGCATATATTTAAGCTCAAAATTACCATTCCACATTGCCCTGTCGTTGTTTCCCTAGTGGTTGTCCAAGAGTGCGTTCCTCATTCAAGAATTTTCAGTTTTTTGACTTTGGCTTTGACTTTCCTGTATTCTGGTATCCCTGACCTCTGGTTTTCCTTGATCGTTTTGTCCCTTTCTGTGTCCCCTGACCTCGGCTAGTATCCCGACTATTCTTTGGTACGTTAGTCCGGCCATTCTAAGGCCTGGTAATACGTTACCTATTAGTAATCTGTGTGACACAATTCTACATTCTGGATCAAATAGTAATCCTGACATAACGACATGGCCATGGATCCTGTAGAATTGTCTCAGCACATACCTGCTTGCGAAACGAAGTTAGAGGAGAATGATCACTGCATGGATCAATTTGCCCAGGCATTCAGTACGCTTCTCACTCGAACAGTGCATTTGCAACCTGCGGCTTCTCCAACTGTATCACCTCTGCCTAGTGTACCTCTACCTATAGTACACAAGGCACCTATTATCTCCCTATCCCCTCCACTGCATTTTGATGGTAATATTCAAGAATGCCGGGGATTCCTTAACCAAATTAAGTACCATTTTGAGGCCTCACTGGGATCTTTTCCCACAGACAGAGCTAAAATTGGTTACCTGATGAACCAACTTAAAGGTAAAGCTTTAGCTTGGGCCAATCCGTTATGGGAGAGTAATAGGAGTGTGGCACACAATTACCAGGAATTCCTTACAGAATTTAAACTTACGTTTGAACCATTAGGCAGGTAGGATAAAGCCTCCACTGCCCTAATGCATATCAGACAAGGGAACTGGTCTATCTCGGAGTATGCCATAGAATTTCACCACCTTGGCTTCCGAGGTAGACTGGACTAGCAGTGGATTAATCTCTGCATTTAAGAGAGAATTATCTGAGACTATGTTGGATGATATTTCCGCCAAAGACCTACCCAAAAAACTGAACAAATTTATCACATTTGTCATTCAAATTGATAATAGATTAAGAACCAGAGAAGCTACTAGAAACAAGACCAGACGTATCACTATGCCTTTAGCACCCCGCTTTACCAGACCTATTGTCCCTGACCTTCCGGTACAGTCCGAACCCATGCTGTCAGGGGCAGAAAGACAATATAGGAGAAAAGAAGGCCTATGCCTATGCCTCATACATCCTGAAAACTACCGCACCTAAGAACCTTAAGGGATTTAGGTGTAATGGATACATCCTCTGGGAATAACAAAAATAGTTTTCTCCTCGATTTATATGATCATACTTGACAAAGAACTTTTCCAGCAAAGCCCTGATGGACTCAGGTGCAGCCGGCAATTTCATTGATGTTCATTTTGTTAAAAGTAACGCTATACCTATCAAGGAGAGACTATCACCTATGGCTGTTGAAGCTATTGATGGGAGACCACTCTCTCAACCATTAATCACCCACGAAACCTTGCCCATTAACATGCCTACTGGTGCCTTACACAAGGATGACATAACATTCCAAGTTATTACGTCTCCTTCTTGCCCTATCTTATTAGGCTTTCCTTGGCTTAGTAAGCACAATCCTTATATCAACTGGGCTAATGGGGAAATATTGGAATGGGGTAAAGATTGTAATGAAAACTGTATGTTACACATCACCAAGAGAGTGGGCACCATTACATTACCCAATACTACGCTTCAAACTCCCGAAGTTCCCACACAATACCAGGAGGTTAAGGAGGTGTTCAGCAAAACTCAGTCTAATATTTTACCTCCTCACAGACCATATGACTGTTACATAAACTTACTACCCAGCGCTATGCCATCTAAGGGAGCAGCTTATGCTCTGTCCCCACAGGAGAGTAGAATAGTGGAGTATATTAAATACTCTTTGAGGAAGGGCCATATACGCAAGTCACCCTCGCCTGCTGGTGCAAGATTCTTTTTTGTTTCTAAAAAAGATGGTGAGTTACGTCCATGTATTGATTACAGGGCATTGAACAAAATCACCATTAAGAATGCCTACCCCATTCCACTTATTGCTGAATTGCAGACTCTAGGATGCTAAAGTCTTTACTAAACTTGACCTTAGGAGCGCATACAATTTAGTGATTATTAAGGAAAACCATGAGTGGAAAACATAATTTAATACCAGAAGTGGACACTATGAGTACCTTGTGATGCCCTTCGGGTTGTGTATTGCTTCAGCTGTATTCCAGGATTTTATTAATGACGTACTCAGGGATTATACTTATTCTTTTGTCTTTGTCTGGATGACATCCTTATTTATTCCCCTGACCTTCAAACTCTCCACAATCATGTTAAACAAGTTTTGCAAACCTTATTGAAAAATCAACTTTATTGTAAATGGGAAAAATGTATCTTTGATCAGACAGAAGTACACTTTTTGGGATATAACATTTCTGCCTCAGGGTTTCAGATGGATCCTCATAAACTAGAGTCTGTTCTGCAGTGGCCATTACCTAATGGATTGAAGGCCATTCAAAGGTTCATTGGATTTGCCAATTATTACAGAAGATTTTCTTCTGTAATAGCCCCCATCACCAATATGACACGCAAAGGGGCTAGCAGTACGATATGGTCTAAGGAGGCTAATGAAGCTTTTGAACTTCTCAAACAAAGGTCTGCCTCTGCCGACATATTGATACATCCCGACACCAGCAAACCTTTTTATACTGGAGGTTGTGTAACGATCACTTACCTTTCCCCACTGGACCCACGCAGCGCGGCGTTCTCCTCTCATATGTCCGGAAGGCGGCCCAGTCCTTCTGATGCCGGCCGCTCAAAACACGCCCATTTTTATGATGCTGCACATGTGCGCCGACGTCGGTAAAATAGTGCCGCCAAAATTCAAACGTGGCCACGCTCCCGGACCTTTTGGGGGCGTGGCTTTAAAGTTAAAGTTCCCACACTATAAAAAGGCAACCTTGGCACTTGTTAGGCGCCCTAGTGTGGTTCTTGTTTGAGTCCTCTAGCGCTCTTTATTTCTGATTGTCTTTTTGGTATCCGACTCTTGGCTTACTCTCTCTGACTATCCTGTCCTCTGGTTTCCCATTATTTTGGTTTGGATTATTGTGTGCCTGTCTTCTGTATTCCCTTGACCTCTGGCTATTCCTTTGACTACTCTCATACGCTAGTCCGGCCACTCTAAGGTCCGGTAAATGTCTTCCTCTGGGTTTCACTCTGTGTGAAGCGGTCACTGTCGTGACAGGTTGATGCCTCTGAGACAGGGGTGGGGGCTGTTCTCTCCCAGAGGGAGAGCCAGGATACCCCTTTGCATCCATGTGGTTACTTCTCTAGAAAGTTGTCGCCTGCTGAGCGCAATTCTGATATTGGCAATAGAGAATTGTTGGCCATTATTCTATCTCTCAAGGAATGGTGATATCTTTTAGAGGGTTCCAAGGACCCTCTTTTGATTGTTACTGAGCATAAAAACATGGCTTACATACGAGATGCTAAACAATTATCTTCCAAAATAGCTAGATAGTCACTGTTCCTTTCTCGCTTTAACTTTCTGGCCTGGTTTCAAGAATGTTAAAGCTTACGCCTTATCTAGACAGTTTGATACTGAGTCTATAAAGGAACAAGAAACATCCCCTATCATTCCCCTTGAATGTATCTCTGCTTCCACAGTCCTTTCTTTGTCATCTGCCCTGCTTGGCTCATCATGGAAGCACAGTCTTAGGCACGCTGCAGTAAACCACGGGACAGATTTTTCATTCTATTGGGTGAAAGGGTAAATGTCATGAAAGTGTTTCATAACAACGTGACTGCTGGACACCAGTGAATTAATAAATCCACATCCACGATCATGAGATCATTTTGGTGGGATTCACTTAGGAAAGATGTTAAGCAGTATGTGCAGGCCTGTTCTGTTTGTGCAGTTTCCAAAGTACCTCATAAAATTCCTTGTGGCTTGTTATATCCTCTTTCTGTTCCTGATGTTCCATGATCCCACTTGTCCATGGATTTCATTGTTGAACTTCCTAATTCTAATGCCTATACCACTATTTTCATGGTAGTTGACCGTTTTTCTAAAATGGTTCATTTCGTCCCACTCAAGAAATTACCGTCCTAACAAGACCTGGTACTGATCTTTATACGTGAGAT